AACATTTAAAAAACGCTTTAAAATTATTATTAAAATATAAAAATAAAATTAAAAAAACTTATAAAAAAAATAACGTATAATAAAATTTTAATTAAATTAAATCGTAGCAATTTAATTAATAAAACGTTATATAAATTTTATTTTATTAATTTTTTAAAAAAATTAATAAATTAATTAATAAAATAATAATAAAAACGTACGGTTAATAAAAAAATAATTAATTAAATTAATAAATTTTAAATAATATTAATTAATAAATTTAAAACCGTTTATAAATTAAATAATTACGATAATAATACGTTAAATTACTTTTATTATTAATAATAAAAAACGATAAACGTTTCGTAAAATAAATGTTATAATTTAATTATAAATAGCTTAATAAAAAATGATTAAACATATGCTCGAGTTTTAAAAAGGTTATTGTTTCGGGAAAAATAAGGAAAGGTTCCTAATTAGGCTTAGCAAATTATTAGAGTAGAAAATAAAAAAAAGCGGGGTTTGTAGCAAAGCGTTCGCGCCCGTGTCGCTTTTAATCGCCCATTTCACCCACTCGTTGTAAACTTATTTATTTAAAGCTTTCAACCAATCAAATCGTATAAAAGGCTTATGTAATTACTGTTAATTCAATCACGCCGGTTCAATAGTTAGTTTAATAATTAATTTTTAATTTAAAACTTAAATTAGTTTAAAAATTAATTAAAAAATTAATTAAATTAATCCCTAAATTAATTATTCGATTAATTAAATAATTAATTAATTAATTTTTAATTTAAGACTTAAATTAATTTAATAATTAATTTAATAGTTAATAAATTAATCTTTAATTTAGTTTTTAAATTAATTTAAAAGTTAATTAAATAATTAATAAATTAATTTTTAATTTAATCCTTAATTTAATTTAAAAGTCGGTTTAATAATTAATAAATTAATTAATAAATTAATTTAATTTTCTATTATTTAATAAATTAATCTTAAATTTAATTTTTAAATTAATTTAAAAATTAATTCGAAAGTTAATTTAAAAGTTAATAAATTAATCTTTAATTTAATTCCTTAATTAATTATTTAATTAATTTAACGGTTAATTTAATAATTAATAAATAAATCTTAAAATTAATCGAATAATTAATTTAAAAGTAAATAAAAAAATAAATAAATAAATAAATAAATAAATTAAAAATTAATAAAATTAAAAAGTAAATAATTAATTAAAAAAAATATATTTAATTAAAGATTAATCTTTAAATTAATTTAAAAATTAATTAAATAATTAATTAATTAATCTTTAAATTAATTATTCGATTAATTTAAAAATTAATTTAATAATTAATTTAATAATTAATAAATTTATTAATAAATTAATTATTAAATTAATTTAAAAGTTAATTTAAACGTTAATAAATTAATTTTTAATTTAATCTTTAAATTAATTTAATAATTAATAAATAAAACCTTAATTTAATTTTTAAATTAAATTAAAATTTAAATTAATAATTAATAAAATTAATTTTTTAATTAGTTTAATAATTAATAAATTAATTTTTAAATTAATCGAATAATTAATTTAAAAATAAGTAAAAAAGTTAATAAATAAATGGGTAAGTTAATTAAAAAATAATAAAATCGATAATTAAGTAATTAATAAAAGGATAGGATTAATTAAAAAGCGCGGGGATTATATAAAAATTTACGTAATAAAATTAAATAAATAAAAACTTAAAATTATAAATAATTAATTTAATTCGATTAATTTAATTTAATTAATTTAGTTTAATTAATTTAGTTTAATTAATTTAATTCGATTAATTTAATTCGATTAATTTAATTCGATTAATTTAATTCGATTAATTTAATTCGATTAATTTAATTTAATTAATTTAATTCGATTAATTTAATTCGATTAATTTAATTCGATTAATTTAATTTAATTAATTTAATTTAATTAATTTAATTCGATTAATTTAAAGTTAAGTTTTTAACTTTAAAAAAAGTGGGATAAAGTTTTATATAATTAAAAAAAAAGGTTTAAAATCGGGATAATTAAAGTAATTAAATAATTTTAAGGAGGTTAAGTGGTAAAAGGGGTGGTAAAAACGAAACCGGGTTTATTTATTCGAATAAATTATTTAATAAAAGAGTTAAAATTTTATAACGTATTAATTATTTTTTAATAAAAAGTTTAAATTTACCCGCGACTTTTTTTTTTTAATTAAATTTATTATATAAGATTTTATTAAAATTATTATTAAATTAAATATTTAATTTAACTTAAAAAAAGAAACTTAAATAATTAATTTTTAATCGATTATTCGATTAATCGATTTATTTATATAAAAATTTAAATAATTTAATTAAATTAATTTAATTAAGTTAATTTAATTAAGTTAATTTAATTAAATTAGTTTAATTAGGTTAATTTAATTAAGTTAAAAATTAAGTTTTTAATTTAACTTAAAAACATTTAATTATTTATATAATTAAAACATTATATTTAAATTTAAATAATTAATTATAAAAAGGGTTTAAAGGGAAATTAAAGGATTATTAAAGATTTATAAAGGTTTATAACGGGGTTAATAAAAGGGAATCAAGGGATTAAAGCCGGGTCCGGGTCCAAGTCCAGGTTTAGGTTCAGGTCCAAGTTCGGAGAAGTAAATAAAGGAACGGGTCCGGGTCCGGGTCCGGGAAGGACGGGGGGCCACATCCGGGAAGGAAAGGAAGGATCGGGATCGAAAAAGGGGTTATTATTAGTAATACGAGAACAACTAATTAAACGCTTTTACGATAACAAAACGATGTAAAAAAGTTCGAACGAATAAACATATCGAGGAATCGAACCTTCGCATGGAATAAAATGAGTAACGGTTAAACCTCGAACGTTCTTAAAACTCGGGTTATTATAACCTTCGACTAAAAGGTTTTTTAATTTTTTAAATTAAAACCACATGTATAAAAACGGTAAAAAAAATAAATTAAATTAATTTAATTTAAATTAATATTAAATTTTATCGAAATAAAAGTTATAAAACTTTATTTATATTATTATTATAAATTTTTTTTTAATTTAATTAATATATATAATTTTAATTAATAATTTAATTTTCGTGTTAAATATTAATTTAATTTTATTTTTTATAATAATAAATATTATTATTTATTTTTTATAATTTTTTTTATTAACGCGTTTAAATATATTAAAATAAAATAATTAATATTATATTTAAATTACGTTAATTTTATTAAAAATAATAAAATATTTTAATCGTAAATAAAATTATTAACGCGTTAATATTAATTCGAATTAAATAATACGAAAAAAAAAATTATACGTATTAAAAAAACGTTTAAAATAATTATAAATAACCGGCGTAAAAAAATAAATTCGATTAAAATTAAAAACTTAAAATTTTCGCTACGAAAAAATTTATAATAAAAATTAATAACGAAAATAAAATAACGCGTTTTTTTAATAATAACGTTACGAAAAATAAAATTTATTCGTCGTAATAAAAAATAACCCCGTTTTAATTTTTTAATTTTAACGTTAAAAAAAAATTTATTTATATATTTAAAAATTAAATTATAAAAAATTTCCGAAAATATAATTAATTATTAAATAATATTTAATAACGAAATAAAAATTTAATAAAATTAATAAAAATAATAAAATAATAAAATAACGTACCGGTTTTAATAATAAATTATTATAAATTAAAATAACGTAAACGTAAAATTTCGAATTTTTTATAATATATTAAATATTAAAATAAAAATAATATTTAATAAAATATTTTATATAAAAAGTTTAAAATTTACGAAAAAAAATTAATTTAAATTTATATTAAATAAATATTTTTTTAAAATAATAACGCGGGTAATTATAATAATAATAAAATTAACGAATAATAATAAAATTTTAAAAAAAAACATTAAAAAACTTTTTATAATTAATAAATTTTAATAACGAAAAAATAAAAATTTAAAAATTATAATTTTATTATTAATTTTAATAAAATTTAAATAAAATAAAAAATTAATATCGTTAATAATTATAATTAATAAATTTTATTACGTTAATAATATTATTAATTAACGTAATAATTAAAAAATTATTAAACGAAATTTATTTTATTATTATAAATAATAAAATAATATTATTAAAAATTAATAATTTAAAAAAAAAAATATAAAAAATTAACATTATAAATTATTTCGATTTTAAATAATTAAATAATAATTAAATAATTAAATTAATTAAATAAATTTATAATAATAATACGAAAAAAAAAACTTTAAAATTAAAAATTAAATTAAAAATTTCGCGATTAATAATTAAATTTTTAACGTAATATTTAATTATTTAAATTTATTATTATAAAATTTTAAAAAATTTCATTTTTAATTTTTTAAATTAAAACTTTTTAATAATATAACTTTTTAATTTTAATTAATTTTACGATTATTATTTTATTTAAAATATTTATTTATTTATTTTATTATAATAAAATTTTATAATTTTTATTTTAATAAAATTTAATTTTAAATTAAATTAAATTAATTCGATTTATTTTTATTATTATTTTTATATATATAATTTTAATTTAAAAATATATTAAATTATTTTTTTATTAAATTAAATATTTATAATTAAATTATAATATAAATAAATTTTATAATATTTTTAAAATATAATTATTTTATATAAAATATATTTTTTTTATAAATTAATAAAATTTAATAATTAATTTAATTAAAAACTTCGAAAATTTTAATATATATTAAATTTTTTTTACGTTTTATTATTTTAATTAATTTAAATTAAATTTCCTTTATACTTTTTATACTTTTTTAATTATAACAGTTTTTATCTAATTAAATCTTTCAACGCCCCACAGATACCTTCGCACGGACTTTTTACCTGTGGCGCTGTGGCGTTTAACAAATCGTAGTTTAAGCTCGCTGAAATAAACGTTTCGTTGCGACATAATAACCCTCCGAGCTCGGGCACTCGGGCATTTTCATCTTCCAAAATATAAGTATTTTCGATGCATTTAACTCAAACACATTTATTATTATCCGATTTACCCATTTATATGGATCAGGGCCATGCGTCTAATTCTCATGTCCTTGATCCTTTTACTAGGTCAAATGAATTAACCCTTCATCAACCGTTACACGTTACATCTCATCACAACCACCCCCCCGAGGATGATGGAATATCGTTGGATTCCAGGAGACTCCGCACTCAACATACTGTTGAAGGTTATCGGGATGGGATAACATCTGGGAAAGTCGAATGCATTCAGGCCGGGTTTGATGAAGGTTTTAACGTGGGGGCGTTCTTGGGACTCAAAGTTGGTCGGATACTTGGTTTTATGGAGGGCGTCTCCACTGCCTTGAAAGAAACCGGTCACCAAACTACACATATTGATCACCTTGTATCAGACGCAGCAAAAGACCTTAGCACACACTCGGTCTTTTCTGAAGACTACTGGGCGTCGGATGGGGGCTGGAAATATTTAGTCAACGGATCTACAAGCACTGGCGAGGTTCTGTTGGAGGATGTTGCAAATGAACATCCTATCATCATGAAGTGGGAGAAAATTGTTAATCAAGAGGCAATGAAATTGAGCTTAGATGGAAACTTACCTATTCTATGTAGTGATGCGTCTCAGCTGGAAGGGGAAGAAGCGCTAGCTAGATCTCAAAGTCACCCACAGCCAGTCGTTGATTGGTGATCATTGGCTGCTGGTAACTTATATGGCTCCTCGTACTTCCCCTTCAGCTAGCTATCTTGTGCGATGTATCCCTCCTCTCCGAAAAAGGTAGCAAATGAATAGGAAATCGGGTTCAGCCGCCCTTTATTTTGATCTCGTCATATTCCTCGCTTGCCTTCGCCATCTCCTTGGTAAAGCGGAAACCAAACCCCAACCGATCCATATCACGAGGCGGAACTAAGAGGTATGGAAGCAATAATTGTTTTACGCGAAGAACTCTAGCCTGCCCTTTGTCTACTCTGTCTCCGTGGCTCGCTACTAACACGTTTACAGAGGACTCCCTTCGTGGGCTCTCACGGACTCGAACGGACTGAGTCTTAGACTTACTAGATCCATAGCTACTAGTCCTCCTATCGATTGTACTTCTGACGGCCGACGTTTGAGCCGCTATTCCCGCGTCATAACCTCTTTGTGCCTACCTACATGAAGCTCTCACCAGGCCCGGTAACCTTAAACGATAAATTCATATCGCCCATCGTCGTCGTAGCCAGGTTATGCGGTAATTCGCCAGCCTTTCCTTCAATTAGCCGAAGCCAAATGAAAGAATCAAGTCTAAGAAGTTGATAATGTTGATTCGAAGAAGAAGAAGAAGTAGAGAATCTAAGCTATGCTGGAAGACATATATACAGGTCGGATATCACATGCCTTAACACCCAGAGCCAGAAGGCTCGAAGCCATCTCAGAACGAAGGCATAACCCAGCAGACCAGAAGGAGAGGACCAGAGAGAGAGAGACACACACACAGGACCCTGATAAGTGGAGCCCATCACCGAACGTGTCCTAAAGAATATCGCCATAGTTGTCGATTACGGGACTATCTAACGTGGACGGTGCCGAGATCCCAGGTTACTACTACTTGACAGATTGTTGAATACAATAGGGGTGAAAAGGATAATAAAACATCATTCCCAATTCGCAGTGGCTACTCGATAGGAAGGGGCGGGCGAATATCACCAAGGCCATCAGAACAGCCTTTTATAACATAAGATATATATAGCTGTGTTTTTGCTCATCTGACACGCATTGCTATGATGATTGCTTGTGGTAATCTCAGTGTCAAGCTTCCCTTGCCACCCCCATCTCCAGAAATGCTAGAATATGCCTCAGAATGGTAGTCCGTGCTACCTCAAACACACCCGAGAGTCGCCGACCCTGTAACTATTCCCAATTATTAAATGAAAGGTTTCAAATTCACCCGCAAGGAAGAAGTCGGGAAAGAGCTGCAGCAATATTCTCCAGGGTACGGTAGACTAGAAATATGTCCTAGCAATGCCATTAGAGACCCTTCTGACGTTTTGGGCGCATATGGTATATATCACAGACAGTTCATGGACATTGCCCATACCGCACGACTCCGATCTCACCCTCACACGATTGCACTCAATACGATGTTGCAGGATAATCATGCTGTTGAGTATTACGAGAACACCTAGGACACTGGGAGTTAGACTTGATGCATCGCTAGTAGTACGGGTTCTCATCGGCTGCAAAGTGTATTAAGTATTAACTAGGTTAGTATGATAAAGATAGAGAAAAAAGAAAAGGGGCTGATAGAGGCAAATTGGTGCAGGTCGAATGGTTTATGGGTATAGACAAGTTCCTCCTTTTCTAAGTCTTATGCCAGTTTTTTTTACTTGAAGCTCTGGTACAAGCCAACGAGCTTTGTAGGGTATCCAATGTCCAGCTCGTCGAATATTTTCGTCTTGGAAGCGCCCTTTCGTCGAGGGATCAGATCCTTCGCACTCTCGGCTGTTATTTCAAAATAACGGTTCGATGTAACTTTGATTAAGATAGATTCGAATCTACTCAGAAATTCCGAAGTAGTTAGGTAAGTTAGTTAGTATATGTACCTACTCGATTCCCATATTTGAATGGCGTTCTTATGAATTAATGCCTACCTACATAGGTAGCTGAATGGGCTTAGATTGTGTTGGTGCGATCTACGATAGGTCTCTGGGGAGAGGGGGTTTCGACACTTTAACCTATCATCTATTTACGTATGTACATATATGTCTTTACCGCAATAGTCTCGACGTTGGGGCTTATCGGTTATGTGTTAAGCTAACTTCGGAGGTTTTATAGATAGGCGGCTGAATGCTGGTTAAGATCGAATACGGATATTCGGTCCCTATTTCCAAATTGTTGGGGCGTCAAGTGTTAAGTGTCAAGACCGCGAGCTGGCCGATCTTGCGATATATCTATAAGTATGTATTCGTCATCGTCGTCATCGTCGTCTTAGTGAGAACTTCATCTGTCCCCTTTATACCCTAGCCTGCTTGCATACAACTTTGCAGAATCTTGTCAAAATGGCGATTGTTGGGAGCAAGGAGCACCACGTCGACCCTCGTCTAGCCAACATTGCACGGGCCGACACTAGAAAATGGTATTATAAACCCCATTTACGAGCATTATATCTTGTTAGTCAACTCCAGAAGCTTGATCGGTGTCCCCAGCTCCCCGGCTCCTCGGCTACATATCTGACACACACCTTTAGATAATGGCTCCTTGTGCTTTGGGTGTCGAATGGACTTCTGGTTTTGATTCCTCCATGATGAATTCGTTACAAGCTGTATCATCCTGGGTTAACGACTTTGATAATCCCACGGAGGGCAAACTCGGTCTCTTGAACGCCATGTATTCTCTTGGAGCTCTAATGGCAATTCCGTTCGTCCCTACCGTATCCCAGTATCTTGGCCGCCGTTGGTCGATAATGGCAGGATCGTGGATCCTATGTATGGGTGCTGGGCTCCAGGTAATAACGTGCTTTACAGCTGTGTTTCGTTTCTTGATTCGCTTTCCCTAATATGAGCGCCGAGTTGGTGATATCATTTCTGACATAACCTTCGCAGGCGGGATCCCGGAACAGTGACATGTTCCTTGCCTCACGTTGGGTCCTAGGGTTCGGTATACCCTTTGCCATCGTCAACGCTTCATCGCTTATCGGAGAGCTATCCTACGAAAAGGAGAGGCCTACCATGACATCTTTGTTTAGTGCGTCCTGGCATGTCGGAGCCATCGTTGCTGCCGGTGCGACATATGGAACATTTCAAATGAACAGCACCTGGGCCTGGAGGCTACCGTCTCTCCTGCAGCTGGTGCCTAGCTTGTGCCAGATATGTTTCATACCATTTTGTCCCGAGAGTCCTCGATTTTTGATCTCGACCGACCGTGCCGATGAAGCGTATGCTATTCTCCAAAAATACCACGGCGAAGGGGACAACGGTGGGGAATTTGTTCGTCTCGAGTTCGCGCAAATCCAAAGCACTATTGCTCAAGAAAAGGAGACAGCCAAGGCCTTCGTGTGGGCTGACGTGTATCGGTGTGTTAATATTTCCCTTGTCTTCCAGCTCCCGAGCATGCAACTGACACTTATGTCGAAGCGACCCCCCCATGAGACGCCGGTTTCTCCTAGCCGCGATAGTCGGTTTCTTTACGCAGTGGAGTGGTAACGGGCTTATTAGCTTTTACAGGTGCGTGTTGTCCGTACTGTCGATGCGGAACTAGGTCGTCTAAATCGGGGATTTTCCCCGCATCATCCCTTCCCACCAACCTTACTTTCGCAGCACAATATACTAATGTTCGTGTAGTAGGTCGAAAGGACACCCTTATTGGAGCACGGCCCCTATTACCCTACACGCCTCCGTACTAGTTATCGACGTTCGGTCTGAATAGGAATTTTACTGACTCTAGACTACACTTACCGTGGCTTGCTAACATATCTCAGTGAAGAAGATTCTGAACCTCGTCGGTATCACCGAGAATCGAACTGTCCAAAAGGTCATCCTAAGCAACACGTGCTGGGGGTTGATAAATGCTGTGCCTATCGCTATAATAGCACCACGCTTTCGCCGGCGTACTATGTTCCTTACTTGTACTGTTGGCACCGCAATCGTCTACACCGTGTGGACTATAGCTTCGGCACGATTCGCTCTCGAAAATACGACGACAGCTGCAATCATAGTCCTAGTTTTCATTTTCGTCTACTCTCCCGTGAGTCGACTACCTGCTTTGTAGCATTTGCGACTGACCCCCCCCCAGGACTAACTTGCTCATAGTTTTATAACATTGGATGGAATTCGTTGGTGTATACGTATAGTAAGTTGCCCATGGGGTTTGGTATACTGCCACCCGATTGAGCGAAATCTTACCACAGGCATTTTAGTGGTGGAAATATTCCCATACCAGCAGCGGGCTAAAGGGATCGCGGTTCAGCAGTTAACTGTTCGCTTCGCCGTCTTCTTCAACACGTACGTAAATCCGATAGCACTGGACCGCATCGGGTGGAGATATTATCTGGTTTACTGTATATGGATAGTGGTTGAGATCGGAGTGGTATACGTGCTTTTCCCAGAAACGCATAACAGAACTTTGGAAGAGCTCTCGTTCATGTTCGAGGGCAAGGAGGTCCAAGAGAAGGTTCAGCGCAATGTCAACAAGCAGCTGGAGCTTGAACATATCAAGCAAAACGCCACCGCCAAGACTAACGAGATCGAAATCTGAGCGGGGCTCGAATTAGGACTAGGTCGGAAATAACGCCTTTATTAGATCTAGCCGCTTAAAAGATTACAGTACTATGTACTATGTATGTATATACCCTCTTGAATTTTTATTTCTTAAATCCCGAAAATAGATATCTCCGATCCCACATTTGCCTGCCAAGACTACCTACTAACACCTACTTAGGTAGGTAGGTAAGATCTTTTTTAACATTTTTACATATCAACATTTCACATCTTTACATCTCCATGATAAGGTTGGCTAGGGACGGGGAACTGATTGGCTCGGTCATAGCGATCGAATATGTTTAAATCCCGACGGCTTCTCTCTAGTGAGGACCTCGTAGCCTTACGCCGTCCTCATGTGGTCCCAGGTTAAATAACAAGGAGGGGACCGGCCAAAGGTAATCTAGAGTATCTAGAGTATCTATCTAATATCCTAGTTCGAGGCCAAGATTGAGTGATAAGATCTGTAAGGGTATGTATTATTGTCCTATCTGATTTACTATAAGTTGATACTAGCCAATGCCAGGACGAGCTGACACTTTCACGCTCCCCCGACTAGTCAGGGTCCTGTTTTTTTCTTCTCTTTCTTCTTCATTCTCTTCCCGTGCTCGCGTGCTATATGTCTTCGTACCTCAACCTTTTGCTTCTTGATATTTGACATTTTGTATATATTGTCAGTGGTCGCTTGAGTAATTAGTATCACCTCTTACTTGTCTTTGAAATAATTTTGCTGCCATTGACGATCACTCGTTGAGATGGGGTGGGTTCATCGCACCAACGCGAAGGTCGCCCACAGTTCCGTTGGGCGATGGTTCCAACTCGAAGGATCGGGTCACGTAGGTGGTTTATACTCTCGTCCCCGACATCGATACGCAACATGAGCGCTGATAAGTCTTTTCCGCTGGAAAATAGCCTAAGGAGCGCAAAGGGTCCTACTTCTTCACTGAGCTACGCGCTGGAGTCGCTGCTTTTTTTGCTATGGCTTATATTATTGCTGTCAACTCTAGCATCGTAGCTGATACTGGCGGTACGCATATATATCCAGTTGGTCCCGTCACCGTGAGATTCGGAGAGCTGATAATTACGAATAGGAACCTGTGTCTGCGACGGTGGAGTGGACGATCCTATCTGCAATGTGAACGAGGATTATTTATTATGTGCTGCCGAAGTCAAGCGTGATCTCGTTACTGCCACGGCCGCTATCGCTGCACTTTCTTCGTTTTGCATGGGCTTGTTCGCAAATCTGTGAGTGTTTTCGCTCCTTTCATTACTCTGAGGATAGGGGCCCAACTGATAGCTTCCCCCCTTGCGTAGGCCGGTCTCTTTGGCTCCTGGTATGGGGTTGAATGCGTACTTTGCGTACACCGTTGTTGGTTATCATGGGACGGGCACAGTCCCGTATAGTGTAGCTTTGACGGCAATCTTTGTTGAGGGCTGGGTCTTTTTCGCCCTTGCCCTCTTCGGCCTCCGGCAGTGGCTCGCGAGGGCTATTCCGCGATCGATAAAGCTTGCCACGAGCGTGGGTATTGGGCTCTTCCTAACTCTTATTGGGTTCACGTATAGCGAGGGTATCGGTCTTCTGACCGGTGCCAAATCTACGCCGCTTGAATTAGCTGGTTGCACATCTGATATGTTGGATCAAGTCACTGGAATTTGCCCTAGTGGTGCGAAGATGCGCAACCCGACGTTGGTATGTTATATCTATACAACCCCCTCCCTCCGCCCCCTTCCCCCCAAATTGTTGGTCTGTCTTGGGAATAGGAACTTCTTAATCGACTTGGTTGATGATCTGCTACCCGCAAACCCCCTTCGCCAAGGAGGAGGGAAGAAAAGCGAAAAAAGAAAGAAGCTGACTCTTGTACCTATAGTGGATTGGTATCTTTTGTGGTGGCGTGTTCACCGCGCTGTTGATGATGTATCGTGTGAAGGGTGCCATAATAGCCGGCATTCTCCTCGTCAGCATAATCTCGTGGCCACGTGGAACTTCCGTGACCTATTTCCCTTATACGGCCGTAGGAGATTCCGAATTCAACTTCTTTAAGCAGGTGGTTGATTTCCACAGGATTACTAAAACCCTCGGAGTTCAGCAATGGGACATTTCTGAGTACGGAGGTCAGTTTGGCTTGGCGTTTATCACATTTCTCTATGTGGACATCCTTGACTGTACGGGGACTTTGGTGAGCATGGTTCAAAAATTCATCCTTCTCTACCCATCCGCGACATGGCCAGTCTTGTCTTGATCCAAAGCAATGACTATTATGCGAATCATAGATCCCCATAAGAAGACGACGAAACTCCGTAAAATGCTGACTCCAATCAATATCTTGTGTAGTATTCAATGGCGCGGTTTGCTCATGTTGTCGACCCTGTCACCGAGGATTTTGAAGGATCGACCATTGCATACATGGTTGACGCCATCAGTATCTCAATAGGGTCGCTTTTGGGAAGCCCACCTGTTACCGCATTTATAGAGAGTGGTGCAGGTATTTCCGAGGGGGGGCGAACTGGAATCACGTCGATGACCACCGGCTTGTGCTTCTTCGTCTCTATCTTCTTCGCCCCAATATTTGCCTCAATCCCACCATGGGCTACAGGCTGTGTATTGGTCCTTGTCGGTTCGATGATGATGCAGGCGGTAACCGAGATCAACTGGAGGTATATTGGCGATGCTGTACCTGCTGTGAGTATCATCCTGCCTGTCCTATTTTCTTCCGTCTCATCTTCGCGAGGAGTTCCACCCTCCTATTACCTGTTTTCATTCATAAAAATAAATGGATGCCTGTTGAATATCTCGACTACCGGTAAAACTAGCCAGTGTGAGCAATCGCTAACACATGATTCTGTAGTTTGTAACTATATGCGCAATGCCTTTCACGTACAGCATTGCTGATGGGCTGATTGGTGGTATATGCCTGTACATAACGCTTAATACGACGGTGTGGGTGATCGAGAAAGCGTCAGGCGGACGGCTTGTCCCGCCCAACAAAGCCGAAAAGGATCACTGGACTTGGCGGGTCCCCGGTGGTATCTTACCACCGTGGTTGGTACGACTATCAACAGGCAAGAAGGACTTCTGGCGGGATAATTCTCCTGTCATTGCATCGGCTTCGGATATGCTAGACGAAGAGGAGGTAGCAAAATCGAATGCGAACGATGCTACAGAAGGTAATTCCAAGGCCGTTGCACTTCGAGGTCATGAGAAGCCTCTTTGAACGCCATTCGTCGGAGTAGGACATTTATACCGGGATGAAGATACGTGCTGTTCGAATATTATTACACGAATCGCTGTTGGAATATGTTTGTCATATATAGATACGTATATAATTTCCTCGACATGGATAGGCAGAGAAATGTGGTTGGATGAAATTATACCTATTTATTGATGGAATGACGTAGCCCTAATCGTACGTTCGTCAACTACCTACGTTCATAATGAGAGGGTCGTAAGTTGTCAGCTCTGATCTAGTGTCGACTAGGCAAGGCGAGGGCATTAACCAAGCCTGGATCGATGTCCCATCACAAGTTGTTCGTAGTCACGCCCCATGCCGCATGAGAGGGCTATACTTGACGTAAGAACTTGTACATCAATGAGATAGTGCTATTCATCGAGGGTAATAAACAAAAATCAGACCCTGGGCTCTGGCCGTTGTAATCCGTATCCAAATTCCGAACGCCGCCATGAGTGTACTAACAATTAACAAACAAGCCTATTCACCTCAGCTAAATGATGCAATGTCGACAAGCTACACACCCATTGTGAAATCATGCTCGATACCAGGAGTTACGCTAGCCATGAACTAAAATAATGGTTAGCACTGGCTAATGGCATTGGGACAGAGTGGCCTACGCACCTTGAGGAATACAACGAGGTATTGGTCCACGCGGATAGCCACCTCTTGGTCCTCGACGTCGACTTCCTCCCAGTCGTCATTGCTTGACTCGGCAGCGACTTCGGCACTTTTGACATCTAGTTTGTTGATCTCGTCTACGAGGCCTTCCATACCAGGGTCATTCCCTACTATCTTCCCTGACTTCATCTTGTCGCGCCTAATCTTGAGGGCCGCGTCCGCGCGATCTAGAAGGGTTTTCATGACGGAAGCGTGCTTGCAGGGATGTACGCTAGCCATCTTGACGTTGTTGGCGAAGAAAGGAAAATCTTCCAACGTGACCGTCTTGTCCTTGTAGTCGCCAACGATATCCTCCATCATAAGATGTGGAGCAAGGGGCTGTCCTTCAGAATAACCGGATAGGTAGAGACGGGGTGTTCGGTAGTAAGGAGAATACATGATGTAGAGGGTGTATGTGCGGCGGGCCCTTCATATCCCAAGTTAGCACACTTCGATCTCGATCTCGATCTGGGGCTGTTGGGTGTAGAATTGGACGAATACCTACCCTGTTTTCTTATGCGGATCAGTATCTCGAATGATGGCTTCCTCGTCATCATCGTCTTCCATATCTGGAATCTCATCCTCGTCATCTATACTGTCCCCCACATTCCCCGCGTCATCGACGGTTCGAACGTCCTTAGCCTTGAGCGGTTGCGAACTGCTTAGGCCGCCAGTGCGCAACCAGCCGTCATCGTCTGCACGACCTTTGAGATTGAAATCATCGCCATCACCAACGACAGCTTCCTCGTGACCGGCATCCCCAGCAAAATCTTCATCGAGGCGGCGGTTACAAGGAACGTTTCGAGTGACTAAGAACTGCTTTCCGGGTGGGAGGTAACTAACACGCTTAGAGTCGGAATCCGCATCTGCCCAGGACCAGGTTGGAAACTTGAAGACAAGATAGTCGCCAGCCGCTAGGAACTCCTCGGGAGTGATTTGGCCCGTCTTTCGGAAGGTGGACGTATGGCTTACGGGTGTGTATTTGTCCCGGATGGTGTTGACAGTTGAGTAGATGATATTCATCTTCGCGAACGGTTCCCTAGCTAGTGACGATGCGAGGATGCTGGAGTCCTATACCAAATACAAATCAACTGGAGAAGGAGTGAATATTTCTACTCGCGTGTCCAAACTCCAAATAAACGATGCAAGGCAAAAGAGGTGAAAGGTATATATGACCTATAGGAGACTAGAAGGTTGTTTGCGACGTGGAGTAATGAGTTTGTGAGATGAGAAGAATAGCGACGGGCACTCCAAGTAGGTACGTGTATGTTCAACGTTGGAAGAAACTAGAAGATGGATGAATACCTGGAGGTTTCAAGTAGATAATTGAGATACGTTTCTAAGTTACTAGGTAGTTAATAAGATATCCTAGTAGACAATGGTTTGGAATCTTATTAGAATGCAGCCTTCGTAGGTGAATGTCCCTTAATCGCAGCTTCTGTCACATGGACGCTGGGCGCGAGGCACAGGGACAAGGTCCATGACAATGAAATGACAGCTGAGGGGAGGGGCAGCCTGAACCATATCTCTAGGTACGTAGGTATCTTATCAAGAATAGCTCTACTAGTGCCCACAGTGTACTTAGTAGTGCGTGTATGTACATATATACCTTGTACAAACATATACAGCATATGTACTAGGTACACGAGGTACGTGCATTGTAGGCTAAGGGCTTAGGTAGGTACATGTATATATCTAGTAGACAGTAGATACCTAGGTACATAGGAATGCCTATGTAAGCATGTAACCAATTTGTTTAGGGCTACTGTCCCGGCTCATTTTCGGATAACTAATTCCCCGACGCCCCACGAAATTCGCAAAGCGAAAATTCCACAAGCATCAACACCTTAGTCTAAACGCACACAACTTGCGAAACTTTCCTCTCTAAGATCACTTTGAAGGTATGTAATCCAAACAGCCCAAAATCAATTCAAATTAGTCGGCATTCATCACCAACTTAAATATATTGACAACTATCTCTGCAGTTTCGATACCAAGATGAGTGCGTATATTCTCGAAACATTGATCCCATTACAAACCTCCGACTGACCTCGAATTATAGCCAAGGGAACTTCCAGCTTCGGAAAGCGTCACAACAAGACGCATACTCTGTGCCGACGATGTGGTTAGTGATATTTCCCTTGATATTCCACAAAATACGCGTTACCGCGTAGTGCGTATCTGATTTAGACAAGCCTATACTCTTCTCTCTACGTTCTTTTGAGTAATAGTTATAGCGATAGTGTCGACTGACGGTTGAGGATTTTAGGACGTCGATCTCTTCACATCCAGAAGCACACCTGCTCCTCTTGCGGATACCCGGCCGCTAAAACCAGAAAGTGTACGTGGCACTCAAAGAATCCATAAAGCGCATACTGTGCTAGAGAATGGAAATAGTGATATACTAAAATGGATGGTACTAATTACTATAATTGCAGACAACTGGAGCGAGAAGGCCAAGCGCCGAAAGACTGTTGGTACTGGCCGTATGCGATACCTCAAGGATGTCTCCCGCAGATTTAAGAACGGCTTCCGAACCGGCGTACCCAAGGACGCGCGAGGTCCGGCTCTGAAATAAGGCGTCGGTACATTGGGGGGTGACGGGTGATGACAGTGGCATGGCAGGGGAATGGTGTTTCTGACTTCTGGAATGGCTCATCATGGACTCGTAAATCTCTGAGTTCTGCGGGAATGTCATGCTGGCATTCCCGAACAAAAATGGCATTATGAATTGATAAACCCGATGGTAGTCCCTTTGACTGATTGTTATGACCAGCCTACTTTATGATGTTTACCCGTAGGTCTCCCGTCTCCTTACTCGGCTGAAGTGTTGGTGATTAGTGCCGTAATATCACCGCTTGTATTGTACTGAAGAGGAAGAAAAAAGGGAACAGAAACTGCATTTTTGATAATTAGGATCTGGCATAATAGTCACTAACTACCCTCGCACAAACACTCTCACTCCACCATCGTTAGTGATGAAGTATAACAGCTCCTGTTCCTCTACAGCCCTGCCAATGTCGTTATTTCCACCGCCTGATGTAACCCTCACCACGCCACTTACGTCCCTTGCCGTACCCGTATTAAGCATCCTCAAACTAATAACATAATAGGCATCGTGGGCTAAGGATATCGCTAGTGCCGCATGCTCCTTTTCCAGTGGTGTCGCTTGTGGTGATATTAATGGCTCATCTGCAGCTATGGTGATAATACACGAGTGTACCTTCTGTTGTGAAACTGTCGATTAACCTCTAATATAGTCTAAATAATGGCATGATCTGTTAGACATATTCGCCCTGAGAAACTCACCTCGCGAATGCCAAGTAACATCTCTTGTAGCCCTGGGCTTGAAACCTCACCTCCGGAGGCAGCAAGGAGTAAGTCTAAATGGTCGATGATTAAAACTGTTTTCTGTTCTGAAGAGGAACGCTGAACACTGCTAATAGCATCTCCAAGTTCTTTGTTTAGTAGTTGAAGTGTGATGCCAGACAAGACTTTCTTCCCGGATGTAATTTCTGGGGAGCGTTTCGTCGTAGAGGTCTGTGGCTTATGAAATATGTCGGCAAGACCGTCGATAAAGACGAATTTCGCCTTTCTAGCTAGCGCATCGAGATCAATGCCAAGTTTTCCGGCACCTTCCTTCCAAAAAGAATAGTCCCGTAAGAAACTGACGAGAACTACGCTCGTATCGTCCGCTTTGTGTACATCGAGATTATCTTGTCCCGCTACACGGTCAGACGGAATTGAGAGTAGGGAATACAGGTAACGGAGGACGAGCCAATTCGTAGTCGATCCCAAGACACCACTGAGGAGGATGAGCGATGTTTCGGGTGGTTGGCGAAGATAGGTGTCTAGGAGGGGTGGAATTCGCGAGGCCATGAGATGAGATCGACCGAACAAGATCCCCAATAAAAAACCCTTGGAGATTTCCACCGCACCACACTGACACCTACCGGAATCTAGATCCGACTGAGGAGATGAGAGGAGCGCAGACGATGACGACTACCCAAGGCGCAATACCCGGGGTATGGTGTTAATACTATATTTTAAACAGGGAAATAAACGAGATAGGCGCAGTTATAGATGTAGAGATATCCTAGGGGAATACTGGGAATGCACGACTGTGGAAGTTCTTGACGGTTCAAGATGGTAAACTAACTAGGTAAGGGTTAGTATTGTGCATGTGTCGTCATAGTGCATTGCCCCAACCCCCGCTGACCCAACCTTGAGCTTGAGTTTGTTGCGGTCCCTGCGGAGAAACAGCAGTTGCACATCAATGATCGACATCAACTGGCTCACTCATTCCTCAATAACCTTGACAACCTTGACAACCTTGAAAGCATGTGTAACTTTTAATGTTTTTATTAACATGAAAACTAAGCTTATTAAATAAACATCATTTTTCCTTTGCATAACTTATTATTTAGAACTTATATAATTATTATTAATATATGCTTATAATTAAGTACTTAACTTATAATTATAATTATAACTATCAACTATGCGGCAAGTGAATATGATAATGGTTTTAGTATACACATACTTTTAATAATTTTGATAATATAAATACCATTTAGGTATATACATAGAGTATATATCTCCACCCACACCTATCATGCTAGAAGAGCCGCTTCGTCCTGGCGGCTGATGGGTGATGGAGGGCGAGTCGGTTGGTCTCATGTGCCTACCGCCGCCTGACCACCTGCCGCATACCCTTAACGGCGAGACTCCATATATAGATATATTCTACCATCTCATTGGCTCACCGGGTTTCTGATTATCAGCACGCTATTCAGGCTAGGCAAATGTCTACTGGCATATAAACCCCAACCCTCGGGTGGCAGGCAATGTTGGTGCTATTTGTGCTACCTATTATCGTCTAGTCATCACGGCACGAGAAGAACATATACAACACTTCGAGACTGGGCACATAAAATGGTTATTTCTCTCATCGTTTTTTATATGATCTCTTCTCAATAACCCCCTCCCCCAAGGCCTCCTCAAAGACATAATTTTGGCTCTTTCACACCCCCTCTTGCTTTCACTAGAGCCACAGTTCTTTATTAATGCCTCTGTCGACTTGTCATTACAGACTTGATTAATTAGCCGCCAGCAATATATCATCACCTTTATAACATATTATTAATCGCCTATGTGCTGTCCGGTCCAAGTGGTTTACACAAGAAAACGTGAATAATCTTGTGGAAAACATCCAGGATAAGTCAGAAAGGATGGAGGAAGCAGGGGGGCAAGCATCTAAGAGCCTATGGAATGCATTCTTTCGGAGGAAAGCTGTTGCTGTTGGGGAGCATCGTGACGATGAGAAATCACAATGGAATATGGGAATGCTAAATGATAGGGAGACCATAGAAGTGCCAGGTAAGCTTACATATTGAACCCGGCGAAAAATTGCAGTATACTAACCCTTTGCCTAGGATCTGTCCTCCTCCTTGCCCAGGGTCGAAATGAACCTCTCGGTCTTCGGAATGCTCCGGCTAGGACATCTCATTCTTCTCTACCAACTGGCTTACCTCATCCTCAGGATGCACCACCACAGCCGATAGATAAAGAGCTTGATGAAAAGAAAAAGACAAAAGATGGGCAAATAATCCTTGATCCTCAACCGGATGATTCACACAACGACCCGCTGAACTGGCCAACCTGGCGCCGAGATTTTGCTTTATTATCGTTAGGCCTTTATTGTGCAGTGGGTGGCGGGATTACGCCCATCATCGCGGCGGGCTTCACTGACGTCGCAAACGGCAAGTAGAGACGGCCCCCCTTTGCTTAAGGCCAACGAATCTTGCGACTAATATTGCAAACAGATTACCGTGTCGACGTTTCTAAGGTTTCTCTAACAACAGGCTTGTACATGATGGGCCTTGGTATTGGTAGTGTCGTATTCTCGCCTACTGCGATCCTGTATGGGAAACGTCCGGTCTATCTCTACAGCGTGATACTCTTTATTCTATCGGCAGTATGGTGCGCTCTATCACCCAATTTCACTTCGCTGATACTAGCCCGGATCTTCCAAGGAATTGCTGTGAGCCCTGTTGAATGTCTGCCATCCGCCACCATTGCCGAGATATTCTTCTTGCACGAGAGAGCGTATCGTATCGGCGTATATACCTTATTGCTACTTGGTGGCAAAAATTTGGTTCCTCTCGTTAGTGCTGCTATCATTGAACGACTGGGGTGGCGGTGGGTATTTTGGTGAGTGAATCATAAACATTATGCTAGAGACCATTTCGTCCGCCTTTCCCTGGCTGATAAATTCTCTTCTAGGATAGTTGCGATCGTGGTTGCTTCCTGCGGTGCCCTGCTGTTCTTCTTCGTCCCAGAGACATTCTGGGATAGATCGCCAATACCAAGGTCACGGCGGCCAAAGCGACCCAGTCTTTTTAGTAGGAGGTCATCGGCTCGGCAAGCCTCCCAGTCTCATCTCAGCGAGGGTGCCGTTATCAATCGAGAAAAATCAACGGTAAATATAGGTAGAGAGGGATATGTAGAGAGCCACCACGAACCTGCAGGATCACCGCAGCCGCGGCACAAAGGTGTTCACGTCGGATTTGCCCCCGGTCCTAGAGAGGATTTCGCCTCTGACATAGAACACGCCCGCGATACCTTGACGCTTTCAAGGGAGAAGGACTCCATAGCTGATAAAGAGTGGTCGTATACTGGTCCTACGTCGAAAGCCGACGAACCGCATACCCTCCGTCCAAACGCAATCCGCTCACAATCAAACAGCAGCGCCTGGTCTCGGGCAAATCGGGGAAGCCAAGGTCATCTTACCCCCCAGACACCGCAACTGTACAATCACAATTCGACACCTTATGAGAATCCCTCCGATGACTATTTTCGGGCAAGGAGGGGACATGAGAATAATGTCGCGCACGGGACGGTCCACTCCGACACGGAGAGTGAGAAGATGTCATTCTCAAACCTAGCAACGATAACCAGAGGACAAGCTTATACACACGCCCTGCGAAATGCCCCGCCAAAATCGTTCACCCAGCAGTTGAAGGTCCATCATGGCCGACTTAACCAAGATAGATGGTGGAAGGCAGCCGTTCGTCCTCTTATCCTTTTCTCCTACCCATCGGTGCTCTGGTCGGCTGCGGTGTACGCATGCTCGATCGGTTGGCTGATCGTCATCTCGGAATCGGTAGCCGTTATATACCGGGAAGGCATATATCAATTCAACGCCCTGCAAACAGGTCTTATCTATATCTCACCATTCATAGGTGGTGTCTTAGGCACAGCAGTCGCTGGAAAAGTAAGCGACATTATTGTCAGAGCAATGGCACGTCGGAATGGGGGCCTCTACGAACCCGAATTCCGGCTTGTGATGGCAATCCCAGTGACCGTGACGACGGTTATCGGACTCATGGGATTTGGGTGGTCAGCTAGTGTAGATGATCCATGGATTGTCCCGACGGTTTTCTTCGGAGTGGTGTCATTTGGCTGTGCGCTGGGCTCCACCACGTCCATCACGTTTTGCGTCGATAGCTACAGACAATATGCCGGAGAGGCTCTAGTGACGTTGAACTTCAGCAAGAACATATTTCACGGACTCGTATTTAGTGTATTTGTTACGGAAGTAAGTAACCTTACCTTTCTGCATGTCCTGGGACTAGCTTACTCCAACCTGTTCCATCTATGAAAAAAGAGACGATTAACCATCTTTGTTATAGTGGCTCACGGAAGACGGCTCTAAGATGGTCTTTCTCTGGCTCGGCATTATTCAGCTCATCCTTCTCTTATTCACGATACCCATGTATATTTTCGGCAAGAGAGCTCGAATGTGGACCGTACGGAAGAATTTCATGGAGAAGTTTTGAGATTAGACGGCAAAGTCTTTATTTCTTATGAAAGGGATGTGTCTGTAGATGTTTTTTTTTTTCATTAAAATGGAGGGGGTTGGGTTGACTCTTGAGGTATATTTACTGAGGCATATTTACATGTACATACCCATCTACATACAGGTACAGTATAATATGTAGGTATAACCTTAGAAGTACATGTACTTATCGACGTCCTGAAGGTACCCAGCTAGGTAGGTAAGTTAGGTATGTACTTAGTAATATTGATAGATATCTACATATGTACATATCCATGATATATACTGTACACACATTATATACGTCATATACCTTCAATGTCATAGTATATACGATACATAAATGTATGTACCTACATGAAGGTATGGATTTCAAGTTTCATCATATACCATACCTAGTACTATATACCTAATTACATGTAGGTATCCAATGGTTCCCAAACATCACATACATAATACGTATCGACCTAGGTAGATATATACCTAGTACTATTAAATGTTATTAATATCAAATTATACCTAACCAATTCTCTTAGCTATTACGCTATTACGCTATGCGACCTGTAACCACCGAAAAGGGTTGGCTGAGAGCATTAAGTGGCCTCTGCCGCTCCCAGCCCCACCGGGTTTTCTCTACGTCTATGCGTCTTCGCACCACCAATCAGGTTTACTCTTGGTATGTAAAGCAGGTAAACATATAACTTACTTTACCCAAATAGCTGAGTAACCCTCGTCACTACGATCGATCATCGCCGTCCTCGCGTGACTCTTCGCTCTTCCGGAACTAATCACTATTTAGATAGTGTCCGCCGACCAGATGCTCTTTACACATACCAACTCTTATCGTCATCCTCACGAACGCCTCTTGTCACGTTCTGGACGACTTCGTGGTGTGCTACATGCCATGTCGTAGCACCGCTCCTAAAATCCATCATCGAATCCGGTGTGGGTGAGGCTGAAGGTGGCGTTGGTTATTGCGAGGTCCAATACGACTCCCCCGACATTATGAGTGGCGGGCTCGGAATGGAGTACATGATCACTTCCATACCAACCCTGCTCAGCTTTGACGCCGGGGAAGCTCAAGTCCGCACCAAGATAACTGATGGCAAAAGACTGGCAGATCGGTCTTTCTTGGAAGATTGGGTTAGAATAGAGGCACAGAGACATGGCGGTCGCGGGGGTGGAAACGGTGGTACGAGTAGCCTTGGTGCTTTATTTGGACTGTGGAGGTAGGTCTGGCCATCTATTTGTCAACCTACCTCGAGTCCCTCGTCCCAGATTGTACCCCGATTTATACACATATATTGTTAGACGATAACATCTTACTATGTATTGTTACCTACAGACACATGATAGACCCCGGAACACACAAATCCAGCATATGTTATTGCTTTACCTACGATACCTGCTATAGCCGGCACGACGTTGATGTCCGGATGATAAGAAGAATGATAGCTGTTACCCTTAGAATAAATTCCGTTCTATTCTAAATAGAATACCTCTTCGAGTTCTTTCCACCATGCCGGATTGTTCGACTGGCTACTTTCGGCACCAGGTACCATGCTCTGCGCCGATATATTATTATTAGTACTCTGGTTATCTATTTGTTCCTTTATTTTGCTTGTAAATAGAAAAGCGAAGAACGAAGAACGAAGAGAAAAGGGGTCGTTCACCTCTTGAAAACCGTCAGTCATTGCCCACCACTCCCTGACTTTGGGATTTCCGCGCATGCGCTCCATATCTCCTACGTAGTCGTGGCCGACATATTTAAAGGTTGCAAAAAGAATACCGGTACTAAGATCGTGGTATATGCTGTCTAGAAAACCATGAAAATAATCAGTCCAATAGAAGGGCTAACGCCGAGACCCATGCAAGAGGTGCCTACAATCTTGAATATTGCAGTCTTTTATCTGCCGTAAAACATCGGGCCATACAGCCGCGTGTACTTCTTTGTATTTGTCGACAAACTCGGGTTTCAACTTCACAACCTGTGCGATGCGGCGAACAGTCCTCTTTGGTTCCGGATCGGGGGGTGATTGCCACATGGCGAAGACAGGTGCCCTATAAGAGGAGGGGAAGGAGAGTGAGCAGAGATGGAAGGCAAGGAGAGCTCCCTTTTACTTCTAGTCTTGCTTTTATTTGTCTTGAGAATCTATGCAATTTCGCCCACGGATACAGATCTTGGTTCATGCAAACTACACATAATACCTGGTGGATTGAGAGGGCCACGACGAGGAGCGCCTCAAATATACCGTATAGCGCGGTTTCGGCTCAAGCGAGCCGCAAGTTGTCTAAGTCAGGAATAGGAACGGGAGGCGGGGTAATTACCGAGACTCTTCCAATCTAGGCTTACGAGAAAGTACTGGCCTATGTGTCCAATAACACGATGGCGTAAGTAACTGGATAGGCTAGTGCCTATCTGTAGTTCAATGATAGATAACCCCCGTAGACATACTGTAGATACCCGAATTGTCGCCATTCCAACCTTCCGAAATATTTAATAATTTTACAATGTACGATTGATGATGGTTGTCGTCGGCCATCTCGAACAAGCCTGCTCATTTTATTTTCCAAACTCCACCCATGCAATAGGTCTGACCCCCTCAACACGTGAATCGGTATTCATGCCCTCTAAGAGTTGGTGACGATGATAATTATAATACAATGGCGACATGTCAGCTGTTCCCTCTCATCCCTTTACGCAGATCCGTATTAGTCGTACTAGTATTTCCGAGTTGGTGAAGCCCATTCATAGCTGGAGAACTCCTCGGTTCATCTCTTATGAAGCCTTGCGAACCCTTATATAAAAAAGGCATAGCTCGTTTCTCGGCAATTTAGAAGACATGAGAACGCTATGCGTAGAACGCCTCCACAAAGTAGATGAAGCCAAACGCCAGAAATGCAACGGCACCTCCTATTGTCACTACCAAAACATGCGAGTTAGCTATAATTCGTCCGCATAGGGTGACGGGGCGGCGCAAGGCCTGTCGCAACTTACCAACTCTCAGGCTGACTCTACCGGCAATAGCCCTGCCGCCAATAACTGCCACGCTGGTACAACAGGCGTGGCCAAGCACAGCACCTAGCGTCACCCACCAGTAATCCTGGCCAGCAGCCATAGCAATTGTCGCGATCTGACTGCGATCTCCCCACTCGCCTAAGAATGTCATGACAAAAGTCTGCACCCACGCCGGACTTAGGAGCAAAGAGAAGAGATTCGAGAGGCCGACTCCGAATCCGCGAAGGAAGCCGCGTTGAGGTGATGGACTCCTGCCTGGCGAAGTCGAAGGACTGCGAGGCGGGGTAGGGAATCGGGATTGGGATCTTGACTTTCGGTCGCGGTTGAGTCCCATCTCTAGAGCATACGGAGACAAAGAGGAACGCCGTCTACCTTGTTTTAGGGCCTGATGTTCCTTCTCCTGAAGCTCCATCTCAACCTCTTGCATCTCTGCCGTAACACCCTCGTCCGGATCCATAGCCATGCCCTCGCGTAACATTTTGGCGCCAAAAACAAAGAATAGCCCCGCAGCGAGGAAAGCCGTGACCCGCTTAGGAATTAGGGCTGGCACCGTATGACCCAAGACAGCGGACAGGACGGTCATGACCAGCAGGGCACCGAAGGCGGCTGAAAACACAACCATGCGGTCGTGTTTCATAGCCATGAGTGCGGCAACGAGGAATGTTTTATCACCAATTTCGGAGAAGAGGATCATGGCAAGAGAAAGAACAAAAGAGTGAAGTGGCTGGATAATTCCATCGTTGCCCTCACTGCCCTTCTCCCGCACATTAGTGGTCGACTTAGCAGGTTTGGACACATCTAGGTGGTCTTTATTAGCCGAGTTGGGAAGTGGATTCGGATCGTCGCGTAGTTTATCTGGTAGATCGGAGGGTTTCTATGAGGCAAGTTAGCTTATACCAGAAATCGCGTCGGGAGATGAAAGTAAAGTTTCAATGCCCTACCTCAAGTCCAGCGATGTCTTCAGGCGTCTGATGCAAGTCGATCTTGCCCTTTTCCTTCTTGTTAACCTTGTCGCTCGAAATCTTCTTTTGCTCGCTATGAGGCAATGGGGGTTTTTCTTTGGGGGTTTCCGGCACGTTCTCAACCTTCTCCCCAGTCTCTCCTTCTTTAGCCTTCCTGGCTTTGTCCTTCTGGCTCACCCCACCCTCCGTACCAGTAGTGCCTTGCTTAGGAGGTTGACGATGAGGATCGTCCATGACACCATCGTTGCTTTCAGGTATTTTCTTTCCATCGATGACAGTTGGATCTATTGGTCTATCCTTCAGAATAGGAAGGGCTTTGGGCTCGGTGATGTCGTTGGCCTCCCCTTTTTTGCGACCCTTGTCGATGCTCACGAAGGGGCCCTCATGCGGCATTCCATCTTTTCCATCTACAGGGGCATCTTTGGTGCCTACGTCGAATTTAGATGGCTTTTGGGACGTGACGGCCGAGTCGAGAGGGGGTTGAGAAGATGCGCCATCGACACCAACGTTGGAAGTATCCTTCGCGGATTTCGCGTCCAGTGCAGAGGTGACAAAGGCTAACGAAGGTAAAAGTAAAAGAATAAGCGGTGCTCGTTGTGGGTCGAGTCTCATGATGGGCACGGAGTCGAGTAATTTCGTGAGATTACAAGCGACCGCAATATGAGAAGTAAGGTTACGGCGGTTCTACAGATGCGACCGCCGCTCTTGAAAAGATCGTGGATGAGCTAATGCAACGAAAGGGAGACGACACGATTATGAGATCTTCCGAAACGGAGATGAGCATAGACTTGATATTCAGAAACGACTGCGAGAAAGAGAAAGAGAAAGAGAACTCCAGACGAAAGAAAAAACCCGGCTCCAAGCAATGGTAAGAAGGCTGAATATTATTATAGAGTATTGTGTTGGACAAATCTGGAATCTTTGTAAAAGGGGTGAAGAACTTGGGAAGTTGGAAAATGAGAGAGGCAGTGCATCAAATCAATCATATGCGACAGTACCATACTAGGTACCTACCTCCATATGTCACTAGTTCCAGGCCTTATTAAGTAATCCATCAATCAATGCCGTTTACGTACCTAACAAGTGTAATGCCTTATATATTATAAGTTTATAATAAGTGCCAAGTACCAAGTACGCATATACATAGTAGTTACAAAAGTCGCCTTTGAAACATCTTGCTATTAGAAACCCCTGTCGAGCTTGGCAGCAGCAGTCGGCTATCACAAGGTAGTCAAGTACAAACTACAAAATTTAGTAGTATATATCTCGATATATCTCCATCCAGCGAGTCTGAACAAGCAAGAAAATAAGATACATATATATCTAGAATCGCATAATTGAGAATTTCAATTACATGCAAGTATTTATACTATGTGGCGGGTAATTCTTAGTACCTTTATTTATTATTGTTAAGTGCCTAGTAAGTACAGATACCTATTGACGTTTTTACTACACATGTGGCCCGTGCGGGTATCGAAGCTGTTTATTTATGTACCTTTTTCATCTGATTGGAGAACTACCCTAAGTAGGCCATAACAGAAATAACCCTTTACCCTAACCCTGATGAAATACTTGAAGTTGTTCCATTATCAGTACCAATTTCCTACACGGTTTTGAATAACTCCAGATTGACCAACACTCTTGCTACTCTCACTAAAGGAACATAAACCTTAATTCTATTATGGCTGGGCGTCGCCGTCCAGTAACGCGCCAGACAGAGTCTATCGATCCTATTAGTAGCCATGTCACAAGGCAGACCCGACAAAGTGCCAGACGCCCTGAGCCTTCTACAGAATCTGAATCCCAGCATCAACTTGAAATGTCTCGAACCAGCACCTCACGTCGTCGCCGCAAGAGCCTTGAAAGTGTTGCCATGGATAATTCTCCAAAAGGCGTTCCTAAGCATGATGGGCCGGGATTGGAAGATCAAGGTATTTCGCTTCTACTCATCCTTGTAAATTTATATCTAATCATTACCTAGGCTTACTTCCAGTAAAGGAATATACTTCGCCCCAGAATACTCCATTGTCTGGGACAGAGGACTCTCATGTATCACCTGAAATGAATGCTGATAGAATGCAAGACATGCTTGATTTTGACATCCCTAAGTTAACACGCTGGTCCGGTAAACTATACGATATCTTGTCCACTCTCGACGGTAGCAAGTCAAATGTGGATGATCAGGGAAAATTAAGCAGCTACAGGAAATCCTATATTCATGCCCGTCTCCCCTTTGCTACCGGTAAAACGCCCTTCCTCAAACCTGTTCACCTGCCCGAAGAGTATGATCAGGTGGTGCGAACCAAGATCCAAGGTGCTATCTGCTCTGGAAACCTCGTGTCACTCCTCACATTACTTCTAGATGTCGAACTAGGGAAAGAAAGGCCATGTGCAGTTCTTGAGCAATTAAATGATACTTTTCCAACTTTATTCATCCCAGCTTTTCCCGAGGATAACGACGATATTAAAAGGATCTTCGACCTGGCATTTCGTGTTCGATGCCGCCTTCTGGTCGAGTCACTTGTCTCTGCCGGCTCTACTACACCGTTCGAAGGATCCTTCGCATTAGCTACTGGTATCTTCTGTAGGGAGACTATAGATGATGCCGACAGCGCCCGAGAGGCATTACGCAAAGGGCCATATAGACCGCTTGCTGGGATAGAAATCAGCGACTATGAAATTCCCCACAGAACTTATCGGGAACTCATTCAGGAATTTATGTCCAAGTTCCCCATTACCGATATCTCTACATTTCAAGCATCTCTAGACGCAAAGCTCACCCAGGCATCGATCTTCAGTGATATTAGGTCGTGGGCTCTCAGGATGTACCGGCAGCTCAACAAGACAACAGGCCAAGACAAATTCTGCCATGTAAATGCTACCAATGAAAACTCAAGGTCTCGAGTGCCCATTGAACGCGCAGAATCGGAATCTTTGTTTGTCGATAATGGCGATGGGGCCGGCGATGACTCGAACTCGGAATCGGATATAGATATTGGGGGATATGATCAACTGCCACTACAAGGATCCAGGTAGGTCTAATCATAACCCTTTGCTACTCTGTTCGTGTATTGAGACGTCTAATACTTCGTAGCCAGAATTATATCAATAGTTCCGCGACTCTGACGGCTGTGAGGGAGAGTGAAGAAAAGGCCTTAATGCACCCAATACTAAAATCACCTTCAGATCAACGAGCCGTGAAGGGGAAAGAAAAGGCGTCAGATACGAGGGATGCAATACGTCTCCTGGAGCCAGGGCAGATCCTCGGGCCTGCGCGGAAACGCTCGTGGCCTGATGGGGATAGCGATGATTTTGAAGTGAATGAGCAACTACTTCTTAGTGAGCCTCGGGGAGTTCTTAATAAGCACGCGACTATTCAAAGGCCATCATCCTCGCGTCCACGATTCTCCAAACAACCTCAGTCTAGTAACTATCAGGACCTATCACCGCTGGCCGCAAGAAACCGAGAAACTTCTAGCACACAGCCACCAGATGATTTTCAAGACGATTATAATCTACAGGGTCGAGACATTCTGGTACTTAGCCAGAATGCCCGGAATATTCGGCGAGCGAATCATTCAACCAAACCCAGACAAACCCGCACACCATGGTCTGCATATGATACATCGAGACTTGTGGATCTAATAGCTGACCCTTCGTTAAACTGTTCCTGGAGTGCAATGGAGAAGGCAGGTGGGTTTGAGCACCCACGAAACCAGCAGGCCTTGCGTGACAAGGCCCGTGGTCTAAAGGTTTGGTATCTTGAAGGTGACAGAATCTTGCCTCCGGGCTTCGATCAGGTTGCTTTAGGTCAAAAAGAGAAGGACTCAGTCATCAAGTGTGGGAGGAACCCCAATCGACGAGAAGATGACCTAGATGAAACCGGTCAAGTTACGAGTAACATATGGGCCGGATAAGATTACGAGCAAACATTAGTTCATTGGCTGTTTGCTCAATTTGCATGTTAGCTCGGGTCTAAGTAGTGGAGAGATGGAAATATCTATATAAGAAGCTGGGAGAGTAGAAATAATTCACTTTATGATCTTCCATATCTTCCCATACCCTTAAGATATCTTTTCGGGCACGGTTTATTTAATAAAGGAAACCAACCTTAAAATTTACTTCTTACTATATGTGCATTCCATGATTTCATAATTTCATACCTTCATGACTTCGTGACATCATGGTTAGGTACCTATCTTTTAAAACCTGACATACTACCTAGTAGAAAGGACATTGGCACAATTTTTTTTTCATATATGTAAATTTGCAAAGTATTTTTTTTTTTTAAAAAAAAAACATCACTAGGTGCTTGTTCCTACCTACCTTTTAGGTTGTTTATTTATTGACGTTGATTCCTTGCTTATCACAAGCAACCAGAAATATACCAGGAACCCTAGAAGTGACTAAGGTCGAGCACAACTGGTTTTTATGTATTTAAAGAATACTTACATAGGTATTTAACTTGATGACTCCTTATGACCTGATAGTAATGCTAGGCATATGTAGAGTAAAAAGTATCTATGTAGATCAGTGCCGCCCGTTTGCAAGATCACAGGACGGAGTTAATTGTGAAGTCCGAGCTATGTAAAGTTGAAACATAATATGGTATGGATGCTTTCCCATACATGAAATTCCAATAGCCGCTTTAACAGATAAACAGGACCCAATGAGGCTGCGTAATACCCGTATCGGTGCGGAGAGTTTGGCACGTTGGGCAGCTATTGAAAAAAAAGATTTTCTTCCTTTTTGCCTTCATTCCCCTCTATTAAGGTTTCATGTTTTAGGGTATTGTACCAATGTACCTAATATAGACACTGCAAGCTTTTACGCGCTGCGCGCATCGGCCTGACTCACAAGGGACATAGGTACTTGAATATAACGGGAAAATGTATAAATCAATTAGGTTTATTCCCGGGATCGTTTAACTTAAAAAGTTTCTGTCCAATTAAAATGGATGAAATGTGAAAAGCAAGTACCAAGTACACGTAGAAGAGGCAAAATAATAATAATAATAAAAATCAGTTTGTGAATTTGGAAAGAGGGGTGGATAGTCACACAGTCGAGGCAGGAAGGGCCTGAGGAGGGGCAATGCCCCCACAATCAAATTCTACCTGGCCACCACCCAGAAATAATTTATAAACCCAAACATTACACCCTCAACTTTCTTCTGATTCCTCCTTTTGATCCTCGTCTCGCACACCGTTAATCAGAGCATTAACACCTGCTGAACGTGAGAAACCATTCCTCCCACTTCCCAGTTCTTAGTTCCCATTTCTTCCTACCTCCTACTTCCTACTTCCCATTTCTCTATCATCCATCATTCATTACCACAACGTTTGGCAAGACAAAACAACTGATCATTGCCTACACAGTTTTACGTGTCACCCTTCACACATATTCTCAACTCAGTCATAGCTTGTCAAAATGGGGTATGTGAATAACTTGATCACAGCTTTTGCAATGCGTTCTCGTATACTGACAAGATCACAGTAAGGAAGACAAGACTCACATCAATGTCGTCGTCATTGGCCGTAAGTTTTCTTTGATGAGAATCTGCACACTGATTTCCGATTTCTAACAAAAATATTAGACGTCGACAGTGGAAAGTCCACCACTACCGGCCACTTGATCTACCAATGCGGTGGTATCGACAAGCGAACTATCGAGAAGTTCGAGAAGGTCGGTTAGAACCTATTTTCCCCATCCTTTTACCTTGATATACCTACATCATATTCCATTAGAATCGGGCTCATGCTTATTCTCGCATCTCTGGAGTTAACCTCTTTGTCCTTTTTTTTTTCCTTAACCGCGTGCCCCTCTCTTATCTTCTCTCATGTCTCACCCCCACCGAGGGGCACAAAATTTTCTTACCCCGCTCTGACGTTCTGCACAACATTTTGGTGCACGGAGCAACCGACCTGGATAAATGCCAAGCACCAACTAAGCCAGACACCGATGGGGCATGTCAGCTAACCCACTCAATAGGAAGCTGCTGAACTTGGCAAGGGTTCCTTCAAGTATGCCTGGGTTCTGGACAAGCTCAAGGCTGAGCGAGAGCGTGGTATCACGATCGACATTGCCCTCTGGAAGTTTGAGACTCCTAAGTACTATGTCACCGTCATTGGTAAGTCATCACAACAATCAATCCTAACTCAAGTGTCCTGTTACCCTATCTCAAGTACTAACAAGTAGCTTCTAGATGCCCCCGGCCACCGTGACTTTATCAAGAACATGATTACTGGTACCTCGCAGGCCGACTGCGCCATTCTCATTATTGCTGCCGGTACCGGTGAGTTCGAGGCTGGTATTTCCAAGGATGGCCAGACCCGTGAGCACGCCTTGCTCGCCTACACTCTTGGTGTCAAGCAACTCATCGTTGCCATCAACAAGATGGACACCACCAAGTGGTCTGAGGACCGATTCAACGAGATTATCAAGGAGACGTCCAACTTCATCAAGAAGGTTGGCTACAACCCCAAGACCGTCGCCTTTGTTCCTATCTCTGGTTTCCATGGTGACAACATGTTGGCCGCCTCAACCAACTGCCCTTGGTACAAGGGTTGGGAGAAGGAAGGCAAGGGTGGAAAGGTTACTGGCAAGACTCTCCTCGAGGCCATTGACGCGATCGAACCCCCTAAGCGTCCTACGGACAAGCCCCTCCGTCTCCCTCTTCAGGATGTCTACAAGATTGGCGGTATTGGAACTGTTCCTGTCGGCCGTATCGAGACTGGTATCATCAAGCCTGGCATGGTCGTCACCTTTGCCCCTGCTGGTGTTACCACTGAAGTCAAGTCCGTGGAGATGCACCACGAACAGCTCACCGAGGGTGTTCCCGGTGACAACGTTGGTTTCAACGTGAAGAACGTCTCCGTCAAGGAAATTCGACGAGGAAACGTCGCCGGTGACTCCAAGAACGACCCCCCGGCCGGTTGTGATGATTTCACCGCTCAGGTCATTGTCCTTAACCACCCTGGTCAAGTTGGTGCTGGTTACGCTCCCGTCCTAGATTGCCACACCGCACACATTGCCTGCAAGTTCGCCGAGCTCCTCGAAAAGATCGACCGACGAACAGGCAAGTCTGTCGAGAACTCTCCCAAGTTCATCAAGTCTGGTGACGCCGCCATCGTCAAGATGATTCCCTCTAAGCCTATGTGCGTTGAGGCATTCACTGACTACCCCCCTCTTGGTCGTTTCGCCGTCCGTGACATGCGTCAAACCGTCGCCGTTGGTGTCATCAAGGCCGTGAACAAGAGCTCCAAGTCTGGTAAGGTTACCAAGTCTGCTGCCAAGGCGACGGGCAAGAAATAAGCTTGTCTACAACAACCCTACTGCCAGCATAAGATGTATCTCGTTTTCGGATCATCAGCTGCCTGGGACTCTTCACGACTTGAAAAATGCCCCTACACGAATTTCCTTTAGTTTTACACGATCTGGTCTCTCGGACGTTTGACTTCGGGGCACAATATGAGAGGAAGGGTTAGGGGCATATCGCGACAAAACTTTCTCATCATGTGCTTTTAGCAAAAATAGAGTCATAGACCGTGATTCTTCTTATCAGATGCTTGCGTGATTGTGATGTCTAATTAATTGTTACCTTACCGCCCTAAGTTCTCCATGAACGTATTTTTCTCACAATCATATAGCTTCTACCTCTGCCAAGATCTCAAACGGCTTACGATTTACTTTGGGGACTACCCCTTATCGAACGTGCAGCCACTGTTTTCTCTTATGCGTGCATGTACAGAGGTGCCGTTCAAAAGGGTTTACCACAGACGAATCCCTTTCAAGTGCAATGAACAGCTGTCAGCTCGGATGCCAGCTGTAGGGGCAACTGCCGTGTTGCCTCGAATAACTCATCAACTTTAACTACTTATTTCTTTTAATACACGACCTTAGCTTTAAATTTTACGTGTTTATGAATAATACTCGATATTAAGTACTTATAAGGAGTTTTTATTTACTTAGATCTTAAGGCGGTTGTAAAAAATTAATTGAAGGTTTAAGAGGTAATTGAGGAAAATGGGCGATATGACCTGCCAGTTGGCAATCAAGAGCTTGCAGCTGGTCGCGTCACTGACAGGGATTGGCGCATGGTAAAATCTTTTTAAAGGCACCTCTGTATAGACGGCTGCCAGGAAGCATTGACGTTATTTAATGTTTTGATTGGGGTTTCCCGTACATGGATGGGGATTGGGCTTCGTTCATCTGCCTAACACATAAGCCATAGTACCTGGAAACCTAAGAGACAGAGTTACATAACCTTCATAACCTTCATAAACTTGCGACTAGGCATACAATTTGCGCGAGGTACATTGAACGAATCCAAATATCCTAGCTGTACAATGCTGAATGCGTAGCTACTAGCCTAAAGATCTCGTCTAGTAGCTAAGTTTCCTGACCATAGACTATCAGTGCGAGCAAACCTCTCACAAGTGGCAAGGAAGTCATCGTGCAGTTTGCTCGTGTCTATCTCGGAGACCAAAGTTCCGTCCCCAAATCCAGGCTCTAGGCTGACCTCGGTTTTGTGTCCACCTGCTTGTTCCGCGTCTACGGATGCATATGTTAGCTGAAACCCTTCGTACGGCATTGAAACGGATCGTCGGATTTCAAGACCGGCGAACATGTACGGAGTACTAATAAGTTCGTTTGGATCTGTGGAAGGATCTCCGTCTATGGAACGAATATTGGCATCTGAGGAGCTGAAGAGACGCTTGGGGATAGGGAACTTCTGCCGTGGTGGCATATCGAATTTTCCACGTGCTAGGTCGAGGCGTGCAGGCTTGAGGAAGTCGGCAAGAGGCTGCCAGGCGGCGAATTCGGTGGCGTCGCCCTGTAGTTCACAGTACTGCTCCTGCATAAAACGTATGTCGACGGGGGATGCGGGAAGCATTACGTCTGTGATGTGCGTTTGTTTGATGGCGTGTAAGCTTTTAATACCTTTAACCTCGTAGCCCAAGATCGCAAGGTGGAGCTCGAGGCGAGGAGCTAGAAGAGTGGAATGCTCTCGTTTAGCTTTACTCGTTCTCTCCGGCCAAAAATGAACGACTACAACGCTTTTCGTTTGTATGAGCGCATGGGCCGCTTCATCATTTTTTGCTTCCAGTCTAGCAAGGTGAAGAGGATGCGGCGAGACGGGCGCGAACGCGCGCAGGTGGTTGGTGGTCGGAAGGTCAAGTAAGGGGGGCGGCGAGGTCAATGGGTCATTTTCGTGTAGTAAATAGCCAAAGCCCGCTTTAGTTGATACTTGATAAGATTCTGCCCACTTTATCGGGTGAGAAGGGAACTGTGTGTTGGGTAGGAATTCCTTGTGCTCGTCGAACACGGACGCCTCCGCATGTGGCTCAACTGGAAGTGTGAGCCTTTTAAGCGTACTCTTCATCGCTAAACGATTACCCTCGGATGCTAGTGGGAGCATGTAACGAGCCCATTGGCCCATTCGATCTTTCCATCCCAACTTCTCCCTGCTTACCGCATCTGCAACGAACCGCCCAGCGGCTTTGTCGTCTAGACCCGTCACATAAAGATTGGTGGTCGTCCCTGGCTGTGGAGTGAAAGTGGTAAACAGTAAGCGGAAGACGACTTCGCTCAGATTTTCCAGACGCGTGAGGCCCTGCGCGGCGCGCGTTTTCAACTCTATCCAAGTAACTTGGAGCTATAATAATACTAATTAGCACGAGAAATGAGTTCCTATATAGGAGGTCGTTGCTAACCTGATTAGGATTTTGTTTCCTTCTGACATGCGTGTTCGTAATACGCCCAACCTCTTCTAGATAGGCTTCATGTATGGGCTTGCGAGCGACCAGACTCATCGCAAACGTCTTAGATGTGATCTGTTTGATTGTGTCATACAGCTCTTTTACTAGAATAGCAACTTTCGGTTTTGATGTGACGAAACGTAGCATCTTCTGATCCCGAAACGCCTCAATCTTTTCGCCAGGATCTAGGCATATTTGGCCCATAACAGACATCCACCGTTGGGTTCCGCCTATCATTATGGGTTTAGCGAGGTTATTTTAGGGGGCAAGGGGTAAATGATAAGTGAGAAGGGACAAGGAGAAATAAAGATGGGAGACGTACGCATTAAGAGAAGAAACTCGCTGCTTTGAACTATCACCCTCGTCTCGCCGAGTCCAGTGTCGAGCTCTCCTATAGAAAGGTACCAGCATTCACGCATGATTCGAACAGCCAGCTTCTCTTTTGGAGTGGCCGAATCGGATATGTATCCATATAGACTAGGATCGATTTCTTCCGGGATGATCGACTGACTACCCAGTGGTGCCCATGGTGTGATATGCTTGATCCAGTCCCCTCTACCGATGGTTGACTTGACATCGGACTTGGACTCGAACGGAACGGGCCGTCTATGATGGTCAAGGTAATCACTAAGTTGTGTGTTAAGGAAACCGCCTATCAGCAAAGCCTGTAATTTACGGAACTCCCTTTCGGATAAGACAGTCTCCGTCTTAGGTTTTAAACTATGGATATTCTTACGAACCTCCTCGGCGACTAGCGGTGTTCGTTGGCTGTCGAGCAGCGCCTCGATATCGGTATTTCGGTTGTTAAGCTCGCCTTCAGCGTCATTGGAATGAATTGGGATGTTTTTCCTTCGATAAATGCCCCCATCTCTCATGATGATTACAGAGGCAGGTTTGCCAAGCATGTCAGAGTCAATGCTTTGAGCATCTTCTGTGAGAATTCGATTGCGAGAAAGGCGTCTCTTCGGTTTCAAGAGGGCTAATCTCTTTACCCCTCCACGTTTCTTGCCGTCTCCATGGTCTCGATATTGGGGACGGTCCTTACTACTGGATGCCTCACTATTCACTTCGGGAAGTAGATCGTGATCAATGGGAGCGGAGGATTCCGTAGAGAAGGGGCGAAAAGTTGAATGAAGTCTGAATGTGCGACTGGATACTTGACTAGGGTGAGTATACTGACGGAGAAGACGTAATCGGCATCTGAGACAGATAGACCCGCCATATACACTTGAAGCAATCATGAAGGGTGTATTGCTATCTTCTACTCCTCCAGAGTGTGAGTGTGATGAGTTTGAGAGAATGGAGAATTGCGCTTGAACTTTTTTTTTCTTTACTTGCTTTCCTACTAGGTAATGGACTAATCAGCTTCGACTTATGCATATATGCACATAAATGTAAACTTTAGATTAATTGCCAATTATCGATAAGTCATTTTCTGTCCAGGGTACCTATCCACTAGGTACATAAGTACTTCGTATAGCGTACACGTCTAGTACAAGTACCTAAGGTACAATGCCGACGCGTTATTATCCTAGTATCCTAGACGCGTCGTCAGGTCTTATCCCCCGCCTTAGGACCTGCATGCAGGCATGGTACGTATTTATGTAGATAAGGTTATCTACCTAGTCTGCTAGCATACATAAGAAGTATACCATGCTTCTTCATATTCTTAATTCGTACATCGTAAAAGGAACTAGCTTTAAGCACATCCGATTTTCCGACAAGTCGGTCAGCCAAAGGATCGATTTAATTTATCATTCCTCAAGTCCAAATTGCGACAATGCCTGAGACTCAGGCCCGCCGACGTCGCCAATCGCGCCGTAACAATGAGCGGGACGATTCTGATGTTTCTGAAGAGGACCAAGATGGTGACGTCGAAATGGGGAGAACGGGCGATGGCGCAGAGGACCAGCTAGTGAAAAAGCTCGTAAGATATGCCCTAGCATGCGAGTACGCGAGGATCCCTATCAGGAGAGACGGCATTAGGGATAAGGGTAAGCCACCTGAGTAGCTGCACAAGGGGTGATTTGTCTAGGAGCATCTACTAATCTACTACAATAATATAGTTTTGGGAACCAATTCCAGGTCGTTTAAGCGAGTGTTTGAAGGAGCGCAATCACGACTCCAACAGGTTTTTGGTATGGAGATGCTTGAATTGCCTGCCAAGGAAAAGCGCACACTTAAGGAAAAGCAGAGTAAGGAGAATATGAATCATTACACCCAACTATCTCATGCTAATCAAGTGTCCTACAGAGGCGAACGCTAGGAAAGCTGCATCGCAAAATACTACGTCCTCACGACAGTATATCTTAGTTTCTACGCTGCCACCGGAATACAAATTTCAGTCCATTATCGCGCCATCGAAAATACCAAGCTCGTCTGAAGAAGCTGCATACGTCGGGTTTTACACCATGGTTATCTCGTTGATCGTACTCAACGGAGGAGAATTGAGCGACACGAAGCTAAGGCGATATCTTGCCCGCATGAATGCTAGCCAGAATTTGCCAATGGACAAGACCGATAATGTTCTACAGAAGATCGTGAGACAGGCCTATGTTGACAAGGTGGTGGAAAAGACTGAGGGCGATGATGATGCCATAACCTGGTGCATCGGACCCCGAGGAAGAGTTGAGGTTCCGCCTGAGAGCATTGCTGCCGTTGTTACCGAAGTATGGGGTGATCTCCCGGATGACTTCAACAAGAAGCTGCAGAGAAGTCTGGGGATGCAGAAGCCTCGGCAACGCGAGGCCGAAAATAGCATTCTCGAGGAATGAGGTGTAGATTAAGGTTGGTGTACCTAGAGTACTTGGCGATTATTGATCATGATATGATAAATAACGGTGCACGGTTAGCCTACAGACATGTATCTTTGGCGCAGCTACTGGCCTAAGCTGGCCGCCAAAACCAATGCGCCATGCTTCAACAATTCTACACTGTATTGTCTAAATGGATATGAAAAGAGCAAATCTGGTCGTCTCTAATTCTTCAATCTGTCAAGCATACCAAATATCCCTGCCACTCAACAATTGACCGATTTGAGGTTTCCTGATCAGGTAGGCCTTTGTACGGGCTCTTCGCCTTCGCGTGGGGGAGGTGCACCACATGGTTGTATCATCTTTCGTAGAAGCTGGGCTCGGACTTTTGCGGCAGGCTCATTCTGTGCGAGCGAGATGTAGGCCAGTTGGGGAGGATGGCCGACGAAGCTGGAGTAGGTGTCACGCGCAACATTTGTCCTCCATTCCCACGAAGTTGTGTCTGGGTGGCCGGTGCCGATGTACTTCGCCTGAAGTCGTTCAAGTTCTTGCTGGGTACGCAATTTGTCCGCCTATACGTCGTTAGTCGACAATCAAAGAAGGTGACGAATGATAGTAGAAGTTTGGCCTACCATGATTAATATGTAACTGTGTATTGGCGTTTGGATAGTTGACGGCTTGGTGAGTTAAAGAAATATAAATGCCCAGAAAGATACTAGGTACAAGGTAGCATGGAGGCAGGAGGTTAGCCCTTAAAAAGACTAGCGCTTTGACCTACAAAATGTTTACATAATATTAGACCATATCCAGAGGTACGTATATATGTACTACATACCTAGTACATACTTAAGATTCAATACATAGTATACTAATCATCATTCCTTACATAGATCACTCGATCTTTTTACGACACAGTTTCGAAAGCAATTTATTACCTATACAAGTTAAAGACTAACTAATTTCATTAGTCCCGTTTGAAGGGAATTGGCCCTAACCCTCGGCCCCCTTTAGCACGACGCGCTCGCTGCTGAGGGACAAGCAGCGCGACAAAGATATAAGGCTTTTTTCTCCCATAGGTCTTATCATTTTTCTACGTCGCTCAGATTAGTATTTGTATGGCCGGAAGTATGCTAGAACCTTGGGATGAAGTTATCGCCCTTCAGAAGGAGCGCCAACTTTGCGTGGACGATGTACAGGCCGTCAAGGCGTCTTGTATAAAGGATCACAGCAAGAAACATCCGCTCGAGTGCCCAGATTGCTGGACTCGTCTCCTCAACCGTATTAGAGATCGATATCTAAACTCTGCTTCTAAGGAATGGTTTTCAGGTCGACGGCCATTTCTACTCGAACTTGATACCATGTTTTCCAAGGCTCACGATTCCGAGGTAGATCTAAAGACCATCGAGCGGCGCATATTGGACGAGAAGAAAGATTGGTACAGAGATAAAGTAAAAAATCTGGGACTTCAACATGCGACCAAATCTCCATCGGAGGAACGGGCTCTGCAGCAAAGAATTGGTGACCGGAGTGTTCCTGTGGATCAGCTTGCTTCGGAACTGAGGGGGGCTTTTAGTGACGGCGCTATCCAGAACCAACAAGCGTTCAATGGGTTTATAGATCGATTGAGGCTTGCCAACTCTCCACAAGCACGGAATGAGGCCTACATTGACATCTTCTTCCAACCCAGCCACGACACCTCCGGTGCCACAAAATCCCAAAAATATATTGAAATGGTTAGAAACGGAACATCGATTGCCGACACGATCAGTGCAATGATCCGTGATCGACATTTAGCCAAGGGGGAGCAGGATCAGAAACAAGCACTTTATAAGAAACTCGAGGAGCTTAAGAGAGCTAAGGCAGCTCATGAGCTTGACAAGGCTCGAAGAGACAAGGCTCGGCAGGATAGAGCTAGAGCAGCCGCGCCCCCTAACGACCAGCATAGTCTCCCCCCGTGTTCAGTTTGCTCGAAAACCCCAGACACGCAAGATTTTACCATATGCCCTCTATGTCAAATACTTGGCGATTATTACGATCTTCCTATCGAACCTACGTTATTCTGCTCTCAAGAGTGTAAAGATGAGCGCTACGACCTACATGTTGGAGCAAGACATGAATGCACCTCTGGCCAAAATTGTGTCCGTCTTCACGACGAAGATGTGGAAATGGACGAGGGTGGGACTAGTCTAGTATTCTGTCGAGAATGTGTAGAAACTCTCGGTATTCCGTCCATTTTTTGCTCATCCCGCTGCTTTAACGAGAATTTCCGGTATCATCGGAATACTGTCCATATTCCAGAATGGAACAGGACCGAACACAAGATTGATGACGAGGATCAATTGGAGTTTGTTGCGGAAGACAAAACAAAGTACCATGCCAAAAAGATTGAGGAGCACTTTGTCGCGTTCGATGATATTATGGTAGAATGGCAGCGGAAGATGAGCATTGCAGTAAAATAAAGAGCCCAAAATTATAGATATTAATACTTCATACATCCCGCTAAGATTCATTTTAGGAGAGGACACAGATTAAGAGAAGGGCAATATAAAGGTAAAGGTTCATTATATCAATGTCCCTTAAAAAAACAACACGCGAGTATTATAAATTATAATCGCATTTAAACATTTTAACATTCCAAGTTGGATACCTGAGTACCTAGGTACATAGTTACGTACCTGTAAAATACCCTTACCCCTCACAGTGTGCTTCGCATTTTCTACCTACCTACCTACGTTTCCTCAATGATAGGTATATCGGAGTAATAGTTCGCACATGTTACTCGTCGAAATTTGATAACTCCGATCCTTGCTCGGCGCCGATTATGCTTCATTGGCCGAGACGAAACTGAACGGAATAACGAAGAATAAAAAGAAGGAATAAAAAAAAAAGCTGTCGCGATCGAATATCGCGGGCCGGCATTTTGTCTATCGGTTGCATCATCATTTCTACGTCTTATCTCTAAATTTATCCAACTACCAGCACAGTCAATCAACCCATATTTTTTTCTCCTTCTCTTACTACGTCGTATCCCCTTGAAACCCTCTCTCGACGTCTAACTCATCGACATGTCTATCGTTTCGGCTCTTAAGGGCGACTTGCCCCAGCAAGCCAGGTCACTGGTGAGGCAACTTTTTCCCAATCCAAAGAGTTTTAACCCTCTACGACTTCGGCTATCTTGGGAACTGAAGCATACAAATTCTACACCCGATAATAAAGAACGAAGCTAACATAAGCCTAAAAAATTCAGTACCGGCAGCTCTTACGCCATGGCGAGCAATTCGAGGCATACAATTTCAGAGAGTACGCGAAACGACGGACGAAAGACGCCTTCAGAGAAAGCATCGATGTGCACGATCCCAGGGAGATACAAACACTCATACAAAGGGGGCTCAAAGAGTTGCAAATGATGAAGGTACGGGATCTATACACCTGGGATATGATATGATGCATATAGTACGATGGAGTCTAGAAGCTAACAGCAGCTCTTTCTTATCCTACAGCGTCAAACCGTTATCAGCAAATTTTATCAACTCGATCGATTAGTAGTCGAGGGTGGAATTTCGGTATGTTATTTGCAAAGCTCCTCTGTCCTATTTAGTCGAATAGCTTCACTAAATATCCTCTACTATAACAGGGCAAACAAAGCGGAAAATCTGGAGATATTGCGCGACAAAAAGACACAGGGTGAGGATAGATGCCCATTTCCGGTGGAACGCGACCGATACGGGGGTAGTCGCTAACTTCCCCTAGGTGGGATTAATATTACACTACCTAGTGCCTATGTAAAAGCCACAAGTCTCGGTCTCGGCCATGGTGTAGGGGCAACTATCACCATTTTCGTGCACTTTGCCTCTTCTACCCGAAACGCATTAGCATGTACTATTACCACGTCGATTACAACAAAGAGCCGCTGAAACCCGAAGCTTGCTGGCATCTAGCCTCCTATTCTGCGAGAAGATCGAGGATCAACTGAGAAGGTGAATGGGGTATTCCTGGACAAGGATACGAGTCTAAGCTCGTGAGTAGAGTGCGTTACAGTAAGATCGCTTGACATAGAACATTACAGATGCATTCTGCTCGGCATATCTTGCCTAGCCCTCCGAGGGGTTAATGCATCTTAGATGTATCTTATTATGGGAGGAAATGGAATCATCACCGAGGTCTACTCAATGTGCTACAACACTTTTCACTCAATGCAAAATAATATTGATCGTGGTTATTCTATTCTCCCTCTTATATTCCCGATATTTCAATAATTACCCAATACACACAGTTGTCGAGATCCATTTCGTAATACACACGGCTTGCGTAGAAGAAAGAAATGAATGAATGGCAAGATATATACTCCATCGTAAATATAATAATGTATGTATTGATACAAATAGAAAATAATTACGCCCTCTTACTAACATTCTAGATAATAGTACTCTGTACAGAAGGTGTATTTAATCTTGGAAGTGTTTTTCCATAAGTGGATTACCAGCAGCTAGCCAAAGAGCCATAGATTAATGCAGCTGGCACGTATTGCGGCCCGCTTTTTCATCAGCTGTAAGCAATCTACATATGTACCTATTAGTCCTAGCGCTTAGACATGGTATGTACTGGTGGACTCAGGCATGCATTAATTATCAGGTAAATCGATTTGTTGTCGCGTTTCAATTCTCCTACAACTGTTTAAGTTGCGCAATGGATAGTCATCACGATTAATTCGCAATATCTGTCCAGGTATTTTTCAGCGCACCGTCAAAACGTTCAGGGTTCTCTATTTCCTGGATGCACCCCATGTTTCGAGCCCATATCCTAATGCCTGCACTAGTTATTTAGGTCATTGTCTTAATCATTGATGTCTCCTCTCCTACGTCGCCAGAAAACTTTGAATTAATCGACACTGAAAATCAGGAAAGAGCAAAGGTCGCCGAGTCGCGCCCGATATCGCAATTATTATGGCTCCAAATGTACGGACACTGAATATCTTAAGGCGATAAGTACCACAACTGCTATCTGGCCGTTGTTGCTAACAGGATACACCTATAGTTTCGCCAAAATACGCAAACGCGACGTGGAAACCGAAGCGGGTATGTCGAGCATGACGACTTCGAGGGTACGTATACTATCATTCGCTCTCTTCCCGCCGACTGATATTTCCATGTTGTCCACGTTGCGCAATAGTACCAACTACCAAGTTTCATATTAACACCCAATACTTCACAGGTTTACCCGTTAGACAATGGCGTCAAGAATGGGTCAAGATAGCGCCGCCACCCCCTTCTGACACCACCCAAAAGAATGACGTATGGGCAATTGAACTTCCACATGGCATGCCCAAGGACTCGCATTTACTTCCCACACATACTCAAGAACTATTAAGGGCGGCTCGCTCTGGGAGACTATACAAACGCCCACCGCCTGCCGAAGAAGAAGAGGTCGACCCAGATGCCGCCCTGGCTGAGAAACCAGACAAAAAAGAAGAGGACCCGAGTACTAAGGGTTACCAAGTCAAGGTCTGGAAACAAGTCGCTCGCAATGCTGAGGGGTCTACTATCTCGCATCTAGCTAAAAGGAGGAAAGGCCTCATCACCCTATCCTCAAGTATCCCCGCTGGCCCATCATCTGGGCCTACCATAATGAAAGCTACCGTTCGTCGAGTCGACGCTGCCGGTAATCCGTATACACAGGAGATCACATTGAACGAAGGTCAGCCCGTGGACGGAGAAATTATATCAACCACCATCGTACCGATAGTCAATCCTGCTGCAAGTGCCGATACGCCTGTCGCTGCAACACCAGCAAGAAGACGACCGCCTCCACCAAAGAGAAAGCCTAAGGGTCCTGGAAGGGGACGTAAGAAGAAGCTGCCTTTACCCGTAAATACGCGGCCCGAGGTAGTAACTACAGACGTAGATTCTACTACTGGGAGCACGAAATTAAGCGGTCCAGAAGTTGGAGTAAGTGTATCTCGGATGAGATGCTCCCTCCTTTATTAACTGTTTACAGAAAATCAAGCCGGGCGATCTATCTGAATCTAAGAACCAGGATAGTGAAATGGCCGATGATGATGAGGGGGACGATGGCGAAGATGATGGGGAGGAAGGCGATGATGGTGATGAGGGGGATGAAGAGGATAGCGAGATGCCAGATGGAGACGGTGTGGCAACTTTCCAGGTCGAAAGTGAAATTAAAGACGAGACAAAAGCTGGACCATCGCCTGCATTGGAAGCTTCAACAATCGCGCTAGCAGAGCCTCTCACAGAGGCGACGCCGGTGGACGTTTCAACCGAAGCTAGCCTACCACCTACTAAATCACCTTCGCCCCCTCCCAATATCAACTTACCCCCTACTCAATCCCCTCTGCCGCACATTCCATCGCATTTTGAGGGAAGTCCACTCAGAAATGTTATGGCCGCTGCCACACCAACAACTGATTCATCATCAAAGTTTACGCTGGAGAATGGAGAGCCCTCGAATCCCATCACCACGTTCGAAACTAGGCCGCCTGAAGTGTCTTTGGAACCAACTCCAGTGCTCGCCGAACCCGCTAGTTTGGTTGGCCCGAACGAAACGAAAATAGACGTAGATGTGGAAATGTCTGGTGTTTCTCATACGGGACATAGTGACATCGTAGAGCAACCCACATCGGTCCGCGGAAGGCAGCAATCAGGCGACGCGGCTTTCACTAATATGTTGCCAACCCCAGATAAACCCCACGTCGAAGAGAGCCCTACAACGCGTCCCTCACCAGAGCCTACAGCTGTGCCAGAAACTCTAGGCGCCCTACATCTGATAGAGGACGATGTTCCCAAGACATCCATGAACATTGAGTCAAACCAAGAGCCACTGGGTTCGGATACGGCGCCCGCGCCTGTGGATATCACCTTGGCTCCAGAACTCGTCGATACTAAAATAGAACCTACCGTGGTAGAAAGAGCAGAGGAGAACGAGCCTGAAAGCCCTGATTTATTCAGTGGGTTAGAGGCCGCTTTGAATCAACAAGGCGGACCAAGTGAACCTTCAGCTCCTCCAGAGGTCAGGACAGACATGCACAAATCAGAATGAATAGGGTTGATGTGAGTCTGAAGGACACGGCGATAGGACTAAACCCTTTCAGAGAATAGACATGCCGAAGACGAAAGGTACCTAGACATTGTTAAGAAAACTTTATATATGGTAAGACGGTTGAGTCTAAGGATTGGAGTTGTAAGGTGCATGATACCTACCTACCTCGTAGGTATAAATATTTTTAGAGGTTGTCAGTAAGGTACCTCGCTTTGTCACATTTATAGCTATTAATTTACGTACAGCCTAAACTCTAGATAGCTACGGGAATATTTGTAATTATGTACATATCCATGGATGTATCTAACCAGGCATAAAATAAGCAATACCTACATGTACCTATGTAGTAGTAGACATCAATCATCGATGACTGAGTGTCAGCTCTACTCATTTGGTACATATACCTGAGGGGAAATGCTGATTAATATTGAATATTACTTGCCTAGGTATGTAGGTACAGTCATGGATTATATCTGTAGTTGCATATACGTACGTATAGGTAGGTACAGGTACTCCGTATCTAAGGCTTTTAGTTTGTGATGACGTCTGTCTCCCCACATGATCATCCACATATGTAGTTCCCCTCATCAACGATCCGTCACCCTTCAACCTCCGGTCTTTTATCAGAAAATTGCAGGTCCGTGTTATTTTAAATCAATCCACATGCGACAACGTTGAAAAGCATACAGTGAAAGTCAAGGTAGTATTCGTACTACGAACAGGTATCTAACTTCTTGATGAACAATCTCCTAGACATATACAGGTCTATGCCCAAGTGCAAAATAGGTACGCCAAAAACACCATCGCCAATGCAATATGTACCCGTTCAACCCAATTCCCGAGGTTTCGACCACCGATAGAATATGCAACCGATAAAAAATGGAGCAGTGCCCCCATCCGCCAGAATGGCGTTCAAAAAGAACGACGGCTCTTACTAACAAACCGTTGTAAGGGTAATCAGATAGATTGTCCATTCATCTCTCCCTCTCCCTCTCCCTTGTTCCTTCCATCCCCTTCTCTTTCTCTTTCAAATTTACCCTTCTGCCTACCTTTTTATGCAGAACTAGCATGAACTCTCATTCGATCTCTACTTTCTGCTCTCTTTCTACCCTTTCAAGAGCTGCTGTAAGTTGTTCCTCCTCAGCCTTACGCTGCACTTCTTCAAGATATAGAGCATACCGAGACTTCTTGTTGTGGATGCCACACTCTGTTTTGGCTTGGCCTTTCCACCGACCAGCTCTCTCATCCTCGCCTGCCGAGACCGGGGATGTCGAGTGCCAGTCGCCGACGGACTTGTATCCTCTATCGAGAAGTTCATTATATGGAACATTGTTCTCTGTGATATACTCTTTGACCTGGGAGAAGGTCCAGTCCACTAGCGGGTTAATCTTGACGATGCCAGTCTCTTCGTCTACCTCGAGGACACCAATCTTGTCACGCTCGCCCCCCTGAGAACGTCTTCGGCCGGTGAGGACGGCAGCCACGTTCAGCTCCGAATAGGCTCTCTGTTGCGGTTCGACCTTAGCAATCCAGTCATACAGCTCGGCTGCCGTGTCATACAGTCCCGCGCCATACCTCTCCTCGAACTCCGCTGTGGTGCTGACATCATTCGGCCTGTACGTGTGGATGCGCACATTTGGATACCTCTTCATGACCCTCCCGACTAGGGCATATGTTTCCTCGAAGTGATAAAGCGTGTCTAGGAAGATGAGATCGACAGGCGATGATCCCGGTGATTCTTTCTCGATCTTTGAGAGCATGTCCGTGGATACTAGGCCGGTAAGACCGAAGGCAGTTGATTGATATAGATTAGGGAAGCAAGCTTTGACGAAGCGGAGTCTGTTCATGGCGGTCATATATCCCAGTTGCCGGTTGAGATGTTTTATATGTGGTTGTGTGAGCGTCAGCTGAGGAAGCTCACTTGAGGATCCCGCAGTCGATGAAGTTCCCGAAACATATCCCGACTCCAGATCAGTTACCGGCGGTAGATTCTTAGATGTGAAACGTGGGGACGATGAGTTCGAGGACGGCGAGACGAACGACTGTGGTTCCATCCTGGCTTAGTATATTATATATATATATATATATATATATATGTGTGTGTGTGTGTGTGTGTGTGCGTGTGTTTAAAACTTCCTCGGCTGGTTGAGTGAAGTTCGGGCCAAGGAAGCGAATAGGTATGGATATTGGTGCGGTTGGGACGGGATATGAATACAGGCAAGACCGCTGAGAGCAACTGAAGTATGGGTTTTGCTAAGCTTGAGATATTGACGAAAGCAGGGGCGAGAGAGAAGAATGACAGAAGAGGACCTGAAGAAATCAATATGGGGGAAAGCGTCAGAGATGCCGTTTGAGTTATAAGGGGGTAATAAGAGAAGCCTATCGTCCGAGTTGGTAGATACGTGCCTCCCCCCGTACTCTAGTGCGTAGTATATACTAATTAATTCGGCGACTAAAGTATATTTTCTTGCTTTCCTCTGGAAAATACATGACTAATCCGGTTCTCGGGATGTACTGGGCTGTTATAAATTGGTCGCCTACAGAGCTAGGGGTATTGCGCGATCAGCTTAGATGGGATATTACAGGTGACAGGTGGTAGCTTGAAGACGTCAAGGAATCTTAGAAATTTCAAAGACTGATCACGACATCGGCGCTAGTATAGTCGCAACTACAAAGCCGTGCGACTGATTGGCCGAACACTGGGAACTCTTTCTGCAGCAGGCAAAGCCGCAAGGAGATCTACATAGTAGATAGTACCTAGTAACTGTGTAAGAACGTGTACGGCATCCTGATTCTCATCAGTACAAACCTACTAGGTAGTACGAAGTGACAGGAACAGAAATGAATCTTGACACTTTCTTACCCAAGCACATGGGTCAGTACATTTTATACACTGATAATACTATTCTGGAGAAACCAGATAATTATTCTTAGTCTTCTAATATCCCTATACATATAGCATGGCCGTGTATATATTTAAAGTACCCTAATCTGCCTGCGTAAAATTCGCTACATATCTAGTACGCTTTGCTGATAACATGAGAACACGTTGATAATGTCTAGGTCCGACAAAAGATATAATCGTCTTTCCCATTTCCTGTTTGTCCGATTACTGTTACCTATTCTATCTCTTCGGGTTGACTGGTAGTTCTTCACGTACGATGATGTCTGGATTCTAAGCCTTATAAGGACACCCCGAAGAATGAATGTCGTGATGCTTAAATGATATTACGATTTGATAGCGGTTGTCGGAGTGTTAAGAGTATCTACTTTTCCTTTCTGTCCCCCCCCTCCTTTTTTTTTCTTTTTTCTTTTCTTTCTGAAAAAAATTGACACGGAGACGAAGTTCGATGGATCCGGGTCTCGGTAAGAGGTTGTTGCGATGGTTCAAGAGCCGCCTGGACGGTTTATCGGGACCGATAGCCGTCCATAGATGATCTGCATTAAGCGGCTAGGTACCCTACCGCATTCGACACCCTGCTACCATGCTGGCAGCATGATGATGCTGCCATGCTACCGGTATGGTGTCATATTGTACATACCCACCCAGTACATAACATAACCTAGTACATACTTATTGATCAGAAATACCCGTATTTCAATTTGACATCTACGGTAGTGTACCCGGTCTTATAAGATCCTGGGGTACATGGTACCTAGATAGTTAAGTAAGGTCGAGTCTACATAATTATTAATAAGGTCCAAACACCCTCCTTCCCATCAATTTCAAGCTTTCATTCATTAAAAGCATCCATGCTGCCATGGTCTCCTACAACCTAGAGTTTGATTGCTTAGGTACATACTAATAGTAGGTAGGAACAATCCAATGATTGGTACTAATCTGTTATTCTATGTACCTAGGTACTATAGTCAGGAAGGGATATTACTTACGGAAATTCTTCGGTCGACTACAGGTTACTTCCTGACTGGTGAAAACGTGTAAACCGAGAAATTCATTTTGTCTTACCAGTCACCTCTAATCAAAACTTAAAAAAAAACCGCTGAGTTCCTGACCAATGAGATGCTTAGTCGAGACCCTGCTACTAGGAACCCTCCCCCCCATCCAGGTAAGAGAAAAAAAAGAGTTGAAGAAGGGAAAAAAAAACACCCCGCGCAGCTGTCCGCGCAATTTATGGACTAGTCCTTTTGCAAGGACGTCTACCTACCATAAGAAAATCTAATACGATTCAATACAATACGATCCAATATAATTCAATTCCTCCTCTAGTAGCGAACCCCAATTCTATATAGAGGGCTTCGACCTCGATCTCCTAGATCCGGTATCGCTTGTTCTTCATATAAACATCATCTATGTTGGTGATCTTGTTTTTTACATAAGTCCTTCACTGTCACCGTCATCGTCAACCGTCATGGCCGCCGATGATAGCCCCTCGAAGCAGAATTCAAGTCGACCACAGTTGTCTTCTATGAGAACTAGTTCCTTCCTGAAAGAACATCAGCAGTATCGGCCGCCCAAACATCTGGATAGCCATTTTGGCATTGATACCGTCGTTGAAGATCTTCAAGCGTCTAGAATATCTCCCCCCAAGTCTTTTAGCCCTTTTAATGGTGTGCCCTCCAAGGACGAACCGCCGCGCATCCTCAAAGGCGCTAATCACGACTTCACTCATCCTAACTGCGCTCCGACCCGAGGTACCAGCTCAGATCGACTTGTTGCTACCTTAATATACAAGTCTGTGTCGCCTCGCGCGCCTAATGTGGTTCCCTCCCCGCGATTCCCCTCCTCCAATTCCGATATCCCCGCGAACCTCGCTCCGACGACCAATATCGAGTCATTTCCCCTGGAGCCCCCAGTAGCTGCTGAACCCGAGCCACTTGACCACCTTTACGGTTCCTATATATCCCCGTTGTGCGTCACATCTTTTCTCCATCTAATGTCTACTTTTCCTCTACCTCAAGGCGTTGAAGAAATCACATCCTCCCACCGCTGTCTCGACGATCCAGAGCACCCTCTTGTTGTCGAGTTGGCATTGTCGCCGGCACCGTCCCCGAGCTATTTATCGCTGGCTGATCTCCGGAAACATGAGCTCATTTATCGATTTGAGAGGGAGTGGAACGTCGACGTTGCATTGCAACGTGACACTCTATGGCGGCGATATCCACGCCTAGTCGTTTTCGACATGGATAGCACGTTGATCACGCAAGAGGTGATCGACTTGCTTGCCGCGACCATCACAGACCCCCCAGACTTGGCCACCAAGGTTGCTGATATCACGCACCGGGCAATGTTAGGGGAGCTGGAGTTCGATGCCGCATTTCGGGAACGGGTTGCATTACTTAGGGGACTCCCGGCCATAATCTTCGAGCAGTTGCGGCCGGTTTTAGATGTGACAAAGGGAGTCCGTGAGTTATTAAAAGCATTCAAGAAATTGGGTATCAAAACTGCCGTACTGTCTGGAGGTTTCTTACCACTAACTCAGTGGCTTGCTGATGAACTGGGGATTGACCACGCACACGCGAACGAGGTTATAATCGATGACTCTGGACTACTGACTGGCGAGGTACAAGGGCGCATCGTAGGTAGAGAGCGGAAGCAGGAGCTTCTCCTCGAGATTGCTAAGAAAGAAGGAATCTCGCTCGAACAAGTCGTGGCTGTTGGCGACGGCGCTAATGACCTATTGATGCTCGACACGGCAGGATTGGGCGTAGCGTGGAACGCAAAACCGAGGGTACAGCTCGAAGCTGGCGCACGACTTAATGGCGAGACCTTGGTTGACTTACTATATTTGTTTGGTCTTACGAGCGAAGAGGTGGATCTGCTGACGACGTGAGCCTAGGAGGTAGGTACGTCTCCCGAATGCTATGTCGTAAACATGTGTGTCTTCCGCCTGTTTCGATACTTGCCGTATCCTAATTACCAGAAAACAATTCACAAGATTACGACTTTCTAATATTTTGGTTACGATGAAGAGAGAAAGGGGGAGGGGGGGGGGGAGGGGCATGCTCGAGAAAATTATCGTGTAGAGAATTCTCGGTCTCACCGCACTAGGTTATTATGGCGATGTATGTCTATTACGGGCACACCTATTTTAGTTTCAATGCCCGAATGATATGGCATCATGAGAAATAACAAACGGCAACCCCTGGGTAATGATTATGCACTTCGTAATATGGGGAATATGTATTTCTGGTTGGGTATTATAAGATGATGTATTGGTCAACCCCAGTGAGGCTAACAATACCGCAATACTTGTTAGGATTATGTACAGCAAGGTTAGAGAAATCCTTCACACCTCCTAACTGCGACTATGTAAAGAGCTCTTCTCGAGGCAGAAGTATCTAGTAACCGTCCTTACCCCATTTGTTGTACCGATCATGGAGCGACTGTAGACAATAGGTTAGCGGAGAAAGCTAGATTTGGCTATACATATGTCTCTGAAACAAATAGAATCGAGCTTAAATATCAACGATAAAGACAGAGAGAGATCACAGCAAGACTGGATAACTCTTGTATGCTTTGCTAGTATTGCCTTTCATAGCAAACTGTAACAGGGTGTAAAACGACGGGAGGATCGCGGTTATAGCATACCTTCGGCAGGTTGACATCGGGGACGACGACAACATTGACGGCGCTGGGAGCGTCCTTAGGAGCAGCATCTGGATCACCACCGGGATGGTATCGGTACTTTCCCTCTGTTGCGCCAGTTTCCCACGGCATGCCGGATTTAGCTAGGCCAACGGGTGCTTCGGATGTTGATTTGGTAGGAGATCGACCTGGACAAGCGGAGAGTTAGACTCGGAACTGAGACGAAGCGAAGAGGAGAGGCCAAGTAGGCTTCATAGTTGGTATAGGTGATATAACTATGGGTGTTAGAGAAGCCATACCGAAGTAAAGACCAGCGCCGCCCAAAGCTAGAACCATGACACCCCCCAGAATCTATTAACAACGAGTGGGGTCAGTCCTATCGCTATTCTTCATTTCGCTGTCTTTGGCACATAGATGAAGAGTAAGTGATATACTACACATGTACATAGCATATCATTGGACTTTCGGGTATGACGTACCATCAACTCGGGATTACGCTTCGTCTCCTCTTTGAGAGCTGGGTCGGCAGATAACCGGCGGGCGGTAGTAGAGAAAGCCCTTTGAGAAACGGCTCTTCGAGCGATAATGGAGGCCATAACTAACGGTATCTCAGGTATTGCAGGTATCGCGTTTTACTATTTAATGTCTTGTTAGATACTAAGATGTTGTCGGGTTTGAGGAGTTTCGCTTGAAGAGAAAGCTTCGACGTCGTACGATGGAGCAGTTTAATGATTCTGAACTGGCACATTGGCCAATCAGGGAAAAGGTTTATGGAAAGTTTTATACCTCATTTCTGAGGCAGCACAAGGTACCTAGGTACATATAAGGCTGCTCTTCAATGTTAAGTATTACCTACTATTACTGTAGATAGGTATGTACATGTGCTAGGTACTGAACATGGACACTAATTAATACCTAGTGTACTAGTGCTAGTACCTACCTAGCATAGATTAAGGGTACGATAGATACATTTATGCACAACTATACTATACATAATACATAATACACCTAAATGGGGAAGGCCGAAAAGGTAACCTTATTTTATGCAAGACAAGACAAGACAAGACAAGCCCCCTTTCAATATTGAATATCGATTTTCTCTCTGCCTCACCATCTCAAATCTCGCGGCGACCGCGACATTGCGGGTTATCGCACGACATCCTACTAATTTGATCTGAATCGACCGACTGTCCTTCTTTATTTTCATTTCCGGTTTCAGTCCAAATATCCATTCAACATTAATCTATTCTAACGACCTGACTAACTATATCAATCACACCTGCTGTGCAGACACGATCGATTGCTAGGAAGCGAAAAGAAAACAAGAATTGTCAACGCTCTCTTAATTATCATTTTGACCTTCCCACTTCAAATAACAAACGATCTACCCTCCCCGCCATTTAGTATCGACATCATCTTTCAGTCTTTTATCTCTCTTTAGTCACATAATCAATATCCGAGTATATATCACTATTCGCGCTGCATAATCTCCTAATTGCGACTGTTTTCGACTAGTCACCAAGGTTTCGACGATTTTACCTGGCTGGGATACTGTAGGGAGCAGCCGTACGAAAATTGAATATTGAATATTGCAAAGCCAAGCCAAGCAAAGCAAAGCAAAGCAAAGAGAGGAAAGGAAAGTAACGAAAACAAGGAACCGGTTTGGAGCAGAAAATTTCCCTCCACAATGGCTACTAATCAGCCATCGGCAAGAGCTGCTTCTCCGGAAGATGACATCGACAGCTTTCCAAGTCCCAAGTTCCCCGCAGGCCCCCCAAGTATCATCTCATCGAGAATGACCGATATCGCGTCCGAAGATGGTGATGGAGCCCTTCAAGAACAAATAAGAGCAAACGGGAGCCAGAGGAGGAGTCTCCGCGCCACCGAGTCTCGTCCTGGTACCGCAAGAACTGGCATGTCTTCGTCGCGCGGTGCTTGGTCGCAAGGAACTCCTATGAGAAAAGCTTTGCAAAGAGGAAGCCTCACCGGTAGCATCAATAGTGGTCGCCCTGCCAGTTCTACCAGCCGAAGCCATGTCCCCTTGGCTTCGCATGCTTTCTTTCATCCTATGAGTTCCCAGAAATTGCAAGCCCAACGGGGTGCATCACGTCCTGCTACAGGAATTCAGCGCCGGCCAAGTGTTGAGGACGTACCGGATGAGGACCAGTCACACATCGCACCGCCGCAGCAGGGTGCTACTATATCAAGACCCGTAGCTCGTCTGGTGCGCCATACGACTGATGAGGGTGATGCCCAACCACCCCCTTCAAGGGGTACCGAGGTCACGGAACCATACGACCGTATCACTGCCACCACGAGCCCGACTCGTGGCCACTATCCTGCAGGTAGCGTCAGCGAGAGCGTACGTCCACTGCAGCGGAAGAAGGCCGAAGGGAAGGGTCTCAGTTTAGATGTTAGTAAATCTAATGCCTACGGAGCCAGTGGAAATCTGCCGAGCCCTGTAAAATCGCCACGCTCTTTCAGATCAAGCCTCTTCCTACCAGGTAAAAGTGAATCTACTGCGACTCCTGCTAATCGTAACACGCATGGTGCCGAGAAGCTATCTTCTGGCGCCTCGTCTCCTCAATTCACCCCTTCTGCTGCCAGCGCCCCCGCCTTAAAGGCCAAGGCAGTCAAAGAAAAGACGCTTACCCATGGCTATAATCATGAATATTTCGAGGGCAATACTGTATTTTGCATTGGCGGCCGCCTCCAGAACACACGCCATCGACCCATCAATATCGCTACTGGCTTTCTTGTTGTCCTGCCAGCTATTCTTTTCTTCGCATTTTCCGCCCCTTATCTATGGCATCATGTTTCGCCTGCCATCCCTATTTTTTTTGCTTATCTGTTCTATATCTGCATCTCGTCGTTTCTTCACGCCTCGGGCTCGGATCCAGGGGTGAGTAGGAGCAATTTGAATATGACCCCTCTCACATTGACGCTAACGTCTTATCAGATCTTACCACGTAATATACATCAATTCCCGCCTGTGGATGAGCATGAGGATCCCTTACGTTTAGCTCCACCAACGAATGACTGGACTCTTATCAAATCTGCCGAGTCGAGCACTGCGGCGATGGAAGTGCCGACGAAGTATTGCAAGACCTGCAGCATCTGGCGTCCTCCTCGAGCCCATCATTGCAGACTGTGTGATAACTGCGTGGAAACCCAGGACCACCACTGCGTTTGGATTAACAATTGTGTTGGGAGGCGCAATTACCGATATTTTTTTTCCTTCCTAACTTCGGCTTCCCTCCTCTCGATCTTTCTGATAGCCGCCTCCCTTGCGCAAGTGCTAGTTTTTTCAAATGAGGAGAATGTTTCGTTCGGAGAAGCTGTAAGCCATTTCCGGGTCCCTTTTGCCATGGTCATTTATGGGGTTCTCGGGTTCATGTACCCGGCCGCTCTTCTGGGGTATCATCTTTTCCTCATGGCTAGAGGCGAAACAACTAGAGAGTTTCTCAACTCGCACAAGTTCTTGAAGAAAGATCGGTATCGAGCCTTCACCCAGGGTAGCATATGGAAGAATTGGATTGTCGTGCTGTGCCGTCCACGACCGCCGACGTACTACCGCTTCAAGTATCGGTTTGAGGAAGGAGACCAGCGATTTGGCGAGCGTCGAAATCAGCAAAGGGGCAACTTATCGAGAGGTGGACAGGACATGGAGATGCAAAATGTACGAGGCCCCGCTACGGGTTTTGCTGGACCTACCGCTTTACGTAACCTCGCATCTAGCACTTGATGAGATTCATGCCATCTATTTGTCTCCAACTCTTCCCCTGCTACCCGATACCCAGCGATCCCGGTCAGTCACCGTATGCCAATTCCAAACCCTATCTCCTAACATAAGTACCTCAACCGTTAAACTTGCTATTCTGTACAAATGCCCTTGCTAGAATCAAGTGGTTGGCGTGCGATCCCGTGGCTCCCTAGGTGTGAGATGTTCAAACTTTCGATAAGAGAACATTTACGACGTGATAGGGGCTGGAAGGAAATGGATGGTGTCTAGTTAAAATAGTCTACGGAGGGAAGGAGTGATTGCTTGCTGTTAATGCTGGAGATGAAGCTCATCTGAAAGGTATTGCGTTGGTAGTTGGGTCTAATATCAGAATTGATCGATTACGACTACTGCCTAGGGCAGCTGAATACCTGGCGCTGGCGAATGTATGCATTTTGCTAGCGGTACGAAAGACGTGTAATGGATATCGAGTCTACTAGCTATGTACGTGGTTATTATCTACTAGGATGCATTCGTGCTTAGACACCGTAATGGTAAGTATGATTCAAATCCGGGGTTGCTATTCCTCCGCACAATGCCGTCTTATAGGTCGCAACTTGGCGCAAATGGGTCGCCCTCCATGCGCCACATATAAAATGAATGTAAGTTAAAGTTATTTTTAAAACTTTTTATTTAAATAACTTCACATATTTAAATATATCGCGCTGCTTGAAAAAAAAAAGTGATTTAAGTGAAAATAAGTAAGTTCCCTTTGTTATACTAGTGTTATTACTTGACAGTGATCTGTCCGTTAAATTTTAGTGGATAGCCGCTATAACTTGAGCGGCGTCCCTTAATGTATATAAAATTCCCCACCTATTCTCCACTTCGTCGTATAACTCGATCAGGAAGCTACAGTTCCAAGTTGGTTTAGCCTTTCTCGTGATAAAATTTGTGGTGTTTTTCTTCTTCCCTTTCTGTTCCATTTTCTCTTCCTCCTACGTGTCGTTCTCCAGGTTAGTAGACCTTTAGAATTTACATACCTTTTATGCTATCCTTTCCATATTATAACTGCGTCTTTAAGAAACGCCGCTTGCTTAGATTGTTATTTCGCACCTCCTTCTAAGGGTTTCTTCAACGATGGGCCAGCCATCGTTTCAAGCTTCGAATGCCATCATATACCTCACATATGGCTCTTTTCTGTATGCTACTTATTCAAACTTACTTCTTGCACTTAGGCATCGGCTTATCATAAATATGCAGCTTATTGGGAACTGGATTGGCCTGGAAGATGAGAAACCAGTCCAAGGCCAAATTCCTCGCAGGAAACAGAACTCAGTCTGGTTAGAAATCCGAATGAGAGCCAGATGTCCTGGCATTTTCTGCCACCGGATGATTTGGACGCTCTTCTATATCTTCTCTCATCATTCCCCAAATTAGAGACATGGAATACTAATGCTTTCAATAGCGTTTCCTTTATCACTAAACTTCATCGCTGCTGGTGAGTAGGAAAATTGATATGGTGCTTTGGCGAATAGCCCTCCTTCTTGTTCGAGGATCAAGAGCGGTAGCACCTTTGAATCGACCCGGCCGGATTCTAAATCTTGTGACCCTCTTGCATCGCCACATGCACTAGGCTATTGGATCAATCTGTCATACATACAGTAGGAATTTGGGACTAGGGTATGAGTTGCATGACTGACAAGTAGGTTTGTACCCACGTACAACAGATCTCCCTCCTCTGTGTGTCTCTTCTCGAGTCTTCTGCAGAGGATGGGCAGATTACGGCTCACTACGGGCGCCGAATTGAAGCAGATCTCTTAGATCTTACCTCACACTTTTGCTACTAGGGGGCTGTGGGAAGATCTTTGAGACTCTGTGAAAATGAAGCTGAGATTGTACCGTAATTACTCGATCAAGTTAATGCTTGCGTGGGAAATGTGCTGCCGCTCCGATCCCCTCCCCCCTAAAGAAACCCCCCTTTTTTATGTTTGAATATACTAACAATCAATGCTAAAATTCAGCTATGGGTTCGGGAATTTTGTTCTCTTATCCTCAGCTAGCTACTCTTGCTGGTGTCCAGGGGGTAGTTGTCTATGCTATTGCATCGGCTTGTCCACTGCTGATATTTGCGGCTCTTGCACCTGCTATCCGTAGGAAGTGTCCGGAGGGCTTCGTACTCACAGAGTGGACAAGGCAGCGGTATGGCATAATGACGGCGCTCTATCTAGGCGCTCTGACCCTCCTCACACTGTTTCTATATATGGTGGCGGAGCTTTCCGCAATCGGTCAAGTTGTTGAGGCCTTGACCGGACTGGATGGTCTTCCTATTGTCATCGTCGAGTGCATCGTCACAACAATTTATACATGTAAATCACACCTTTATTATGAAATTTTCGTAAGCCTAACACTACTGATTCGCTAACTATGTCGACAACAACGCGCTAGCTCTCGGAGGGTTCAAGATCTCCTTCATTACCGATAATATCCAAGGCGCCATGATCTGCTGCCTGATCCTTGTGGCTACGATCACCATTGGTGCTAAAACAGAGATCAAGCGAGAGCTGATTGTCGATTCTGGCCTTCTCGATCCCAGCCTAGTAGGATGGCAGCTCGTATATATATTGCCCGTTGCTGTCCTGACGAACGACTTCTTCCTCGCCAATTTCTGGCTTCGTGCTTTCGCCTCCAAAACCGACAAGGATCTCTGGATCGGCGTTTCGGTGGCCATGATTGTCATCCTGGTCGTCCTGACACTAGTTGGCTGTACTGGCCTGATTGCTGTTTGGTCGGGTGCTTTCCCCGCCGATGGCGACGGGTCTGTTGCTTTCTTCCTCCTGCTCGAGCAACTACCTAGCTGGGTGGTGGGGATTGTCCTAGTTATGTCGGTCTGTCTGAGCACCGCATCGTTTGACAGTTTACAGTCCGCTATGGTATCCTCCGCGTCTAACGACATCTTCCGCAATCGCCTTAACATATGGTGGATCCGTGGCGCTGTTGTCCTAATCATCTTCCCGGTCGTAGTACTCGCGTTGAAGGCGCCGAGCATCTTACAAATCTACTTGATATCCGATCTCCTGTCTGCTGCTACAATTCCGGTACTTATGCTCGGATTATCCGAGAGATTCTACTGGTGGCGGGGCTTCGAGGTATTGGTTGGGGGGCTGGGTGGGATATTGTCCGTCTTTATCTTCGGAACTATATACTATGGCGACGCACAGCTAGGCGGCGAGCTCATCCTCCTAGAACAGGGCCTATACACCGGTGACTGGGGCGCATTTGGGGCCTTTGTCGCGGCGCCTGTCGGGGGTTTGCTCTGGGGTTTTGGCGCGCTGGCATTGAGATTGGCAGTTCAACTGATCCAATCGAAGGTACGAGGTACTCCATTCGATGCGCTCGACCGCCCTATCGCCATAGTGCAGCCGGAAGATTCTGATGGCCTAGCCTCGGTGAGCGAAGAGGCGACTACGACTAAGATAACCGGCAAGTTTTTCTAGATTATCTTGGAAGAGTAAAAGCTACGTCGTAGGCGCCGATTCTAGGGTTGTTCAGATCTGGTGAAGGGGGCTGGTGAGCGGGTATGTGAGCAACGGAGGGAGAAGAGAGAGAAGAGGGATTAGGAGTATGAGAATAGGCGATAACGATGAGTGGAGGAACTGTCGCATCTACTATACTAGGTAGTTATATGAACTATATCTATGAATACATAGTTGGTCAACGACAGTAAGCGCAACTACCTACAAACTGAACTTTTCACTGCCTGGCAGCAGATCAAGGAATACTCCGCCATTATCTTTCATTATCTTCTCTCGTCCATTTTACCTTCTATTTTATTTACTATTCCCGTGCTCTTCCGCCAGGTCGTCGTAATCTTGTATGTCCTGCAGTAGAGATTCGTAAGTGGTCTCGGGCAACGTGCCCCAGATCTGCCAAGGGGAAGCCTCGTAAGTGATGGGATTTACGGCACACTGTAGGACGATATGCTCAACCATGTGGCGCACACGCTCGCTCCCGTCAACAATGATGCCCCCCTTAGAGTCGTCGTAGCGGGCTATACGCTGGACGCTGGCGATGCTGACGACTGCCTGTTTGATTAACAACGTATCGCGGGTGTGAGGCTGGTTGCCAAGTTTCAAGCTGGCCAAGCGCGGATAGCGCCAGGACTTCTCGTAGCGAACGAGCTCCCACTTAGAGTGCACGCCTTTTGGGCGGCCGTCTATAGCGCCGGCGAGAGTCTGGTATAACTCCTGGGCGCAGATAGATCGGAGAGTCTCCTTGTCGCCGGCAGCCATAGCTTCGGACATTTGGATGTGCAGCGCCTTCGCAGCGGGCACGATGGTGGCCCTTTGGAGCTGGAAGCGCGGCCTGCTGAGCCTTAGTTTGTCCATCGACATCACTTTCACAGCTGCTATTGTTTGTAGGTCAACGAAGCGATTTTTAAGAGTTAGCCATAGCATGTTGGCGAATTTCATCGGATCTCGTGGGAATCGCCATAAAGGTGGGGTCACGAAAGTTTCTATAAACGTAGGAAGGGAAAGATAAAATCCAATTAGCGACCGTAGAACTTGAGATGTACAAAGGGACGAGCGTTTGAAGAAACTATCCGGGAACTAACTTGGAATTAAAAAGGTGAAGGCGGGTTCATGCTGGTTCTGGAGATTTGCAGCTCTCCCTTCCCTCTTCTGTGGTATTTTACTTAAGAGGGATGTTGTGCTAAAATTACGGTAAAGGCTGGGCGGGAGTAGAGCTGGCACTGGCGGTTTGAAGGAGGAAAGTAGCCATGGTCGCGATATGCGCAAGAGGTCGGTCATGACGCCGATATATATGTAGTAGATTATGGAGGGGTAGAGTCGAAGCAGAGTCGAAGCAGAGTCGAGATAAGTTTGAGGCGCCCCCCTGACGAGGGGGTAATCGACTTGAAAGTTGAATCTATCGTGATGTCTTTTGGGCTTAGTTTCTTGTTTGCGAATCTCGAGTAAGCATCCCTCTGCAGCGCATCGTCGTTAGGATCATGGACGTATATACAGAATAGAGGCTATAAAAATCATATCTAGTTTTATAAAAACTTTAGGTGGGTCAAGGTTGAGAATGGGTTAAAGCTTGCAACTCACAAGGCTGGCCAATGGAAGAGAGATAATTTGTACTTCTACTAACCTGCTTTGGGTTCCCTCCTTCCGTATTCTGATAACTTCCGGGATTGGTAGGTATGTATATCCGTATATGTGCATACATATGTATATAGCTACTAGGTACCTACATTTGTAGGTACACAATACCTAAAATACTTACGTAGGTACAATACATTTTTAACTTGGGCGCTACGTAGTAATATGACCTCACAGGCCACATTTCCCGTTACTGTTCAAATACCTATAATCCTACTACATACATACCTAATACATACATATACATGTAGGTATGTGTGTGCGACGCCGATCTTACTAAATCATATTTCTTATCCTTTCGTATCTCACGTATTTCTGTGATTTTCCAACAGCCACTTCCTATGGCCAACTCGACCCGACGACGAGGACGAGGACGACCGATTGACCAGACACAGCCTCATCACTCGAGCCATCGTCGGGAGGCTCCTTGAATGGCCAGACCACTGCCCGCCTCGTCCTCTTCCTCTTCCCCCCCCCTTAACTCTAGCAATGGCAACACCAAACCGAATGCCCCCGTCGTAGCCGTCTCTCTCCTACAACCTCGTGTTGCCGTCGCACTCGGTGTTCCCAAACGCTGGCACCATACCCTCTCAGCCTGTCGTTTGCTGTCTATCGTGCCTCCTATATTCTGGGGCATCCGTTTTACACTACGCTTTCTCCTCGCCGATCTGTTGCGTCTGTCCGATCACCGAGATTATGGCCGCGATACCACTGTCTTCACTTTAAGGCTGACCGAGACCGCTTTGGCCATTATATGGGTATGCCATTCTCCCCTGCTATCGGTATTATCGTGCTAACCTTATATAAGTGCTGTGCCTCGGCATATCTCGCCTTCTTCTTTGCCGATTGCCTCATGTCACGTTGGCTCATCAACTACACTCCGCAAGCGACCGTCGTACGCCTCCTTACCATTAGCTGTGCCTTTGCCTACCTGACCTCGTGGGTCGTATATCTGACGGGCGGTTCCCAGGACCCCGGCCTCCTGCTACCGGCCTGGGTCGGTATCGCAACCATACTGACCACCTGCTACCACTTCACCCAACGAAAGATTAAGATTAGAAAGGAGACCTTTGCTAGCATAAGCGTTTTCTCCATCGCGAGCTTCATTAGCATGGTTGCTTTATTGTTTCACTCGCATTGGACCAGGATTGGATATCAGAATGTGCCCTTAGTTGCTCTAACGAAACGGGTGTGTCAGATCGCATGCCAACTTCTTTTTCGTGTCCTTGGCGTGACTAGGGACGTCGATAATTTATGATACGGAGCTGTGTCTTTTCTTGCCCTTCCTCGTTCTGCCATTGCCTCACACCATTGGATTGTTCCAACTTGGTTATCACAACCGAAATCGGTACCGGTTTCCGTCCCTTCGGTCCCTACTTCCTTACCTCCTTACCTCCTTAGCTTGATGCCTAGATGCTGCTATTCTGGTCCTCGCCATCAGCTACCTACATCCGAGATAATATCTGTTTTGAGTACAATAAGAGCGCGTTGGGTTCGAAACTAAGTATTGTTCGATACGGTGGCCACCATCCTGTAGTTCCTCTCGTTCCTCGATATCTGTGTAGCTACGTTTGGTTTCTTATAATCCGACCCAGAGAGTACTCGATGATAATGGTAGTCTAGAGAATAAGCCGCCAGTTTCCAAGATATTCATTAAACCTACCTATGTACTAATTCTGCCTCAAGTAGGGGGAGAAAGAGGATAGCCGATACTGGTGACTACTACCTATAAGTTTTATTTCTTGAATAATGATACGTAGGTACCTAGACAACTATTAAGTACCTGTCATGAATCATCTCTCTATAGCAAGAGCCAATCCCAATAACGCCGTCGTGGCCCTTTGGTGGCAGCAACACCCCGAAGATATTTATATATCAGTTCTTGGGGGATTAGTTCATCCTAATTCGCAAGGGCGGTACGGCTAACAAAGTCATCGACGTTGCCACTGAGGAGGCGTGGAGGAAAGGGCAACGACCAGTTATGTTCGCCTTGGTCAAAAACCAAGATGGAAACAGAGAAACGAAATGGTTGCATGTGCCGAGTGCTTTGCGAGCCCCGTTTCATCGAGCTCTTGGGGCTCCCCCGACATTATAAGATTGGAATAAGCTTGTTCCTACCTAGTATCCATAACCTTCACAATTTCCTTAGCTCCGTAGGTAACCTTTAGTTTACCAGCTTACCTAGATATGTAGGTATAGTAGGTATATGTAATATGTAGTTATTGTTGGAAAATGGATGTAAACTGTGTCTGTGTTCCTCCCGGGTTTAGAATTAATTACATGTACCTAAATATGTAGGTATATATCTAGGTACAATACCTAGTAAGTAGGTGCATGGGTATGTAGTACCCAAGGTACCTATACCTACTTAGTACTAGTATACATATGCATTCTCCAGCTTAGAACTACATACTACTAGGTGGCACTTTCTCCTTCCACTTCTAGATTTTATTAAATTGCTATCATCCTCGATGTCAGCATATGATGGGATACTGATACATCGATCTTTACCTAAAACTATTAGTTAACTTGAATCACCGACATCGTTGTTTCTTAAGTCCACCTGGATAATTCTACGTGCGATGCTGATACTTGGCTTATCTTAACTACAAAGTTCCCTACGTAAATGGTTTTGCATGTTACTATATCATGTCTCTGTCACTCGATAACAGAATTCCACAAAGCTAAGAACACGCATATCTCGCAAGTCTGTCTCCGTAGCCGGTATCTCGATAGACTATGCTGATTAGAAAGTCTAGGTACAAATAAAGGATGAGTGTGGCCAGCTAGCACATAGTGCTAGATTGACTCGATCTATCCTGTCTTTATCTCCTGACCAATTGAAAGGAAAAGGCCCGCCTATTTCCTTCAATTGATGGTCAGTCAAATACCATCTCCTCATCAACTCCAGCTAGTAATTCATCCGCGTAGAATCTGCAAGAGCAAGATGAACGAGACTGCTCTAGGGTTCCATCGACCCACTCAAGATATCCCCACGTCTACTGCCCCCGTCCCGAGCCACTGCGGCGGTGCTCGTAGGTTCCAGAACCATACTTTGCCTCCTCCCGAGCGTCTACGCCTTCTCCAGCAAGGGGGCTGTTATGAGCGGGATGCGGGACGTACTGTTCGTAATACGGCATGCTTGCGAAGCTGGGGTCTTGCAAATACGGCGTCATCCATGAGATGGGGGTGGCATAGTACGAACCAAGCGGGCTCATCATTGCAGGTGTTGCCTGGGGTGTGGCAGGATAGTTGCCTGTGCCAACCTGGGGGGTACCATGAAACTGACCGTACGGAGGGCTGGAATAGTTCTGTCCCATCGGAGGCATGTGCCCATATGGCATAGGGCGGGTCGCTCGAACATTCTCAGGCGACATGGCTCCGTTACCGTTAGCCGAGGGCGCTCTTTGGCGCGGAACACGAGAGGGCGTTGGTGTCGCAGGCTCGGTTACCTGCTGCTTCTGGACCTCGGCGCGCTTGTTCACCAAAGGGCTGTCGGGCACGTTAATATATTTGGAGAATGCCGGCTCTCCACCTCCTCGGCGCGCGCTTTGTGGTTCGCGGCTGTTCTTACGCTCTACTCGAAGTAAAGATCCGCCCAAGTTCTGGCCTCCCTATTACACAGCAGCCAGTTAGTTTGGATTAGTCATACTTGGATGGTGGTATGATTGTAAAATTACCATTCGATTTACAGCAGCGTCTGCCATATCAACACGAGAAAATTCGACGAAGCCAAAAGCGATCTGGTACGGCCGTCCTAACATTCCTTTAGCTTCGCTTCTCGTCTTTTAGAATGGGAAATACAGACCAGGTTGAGGATCCTTGCATACGACTTTGACATTGAGAACGTCACCGACTTCCTCGGCTAACTTGGTAAGTAGCTCCTGTACTTTAGGCTCGTTCACCGGAAGGTTGCCCACAAAGACTGATCGTCGATCTATCTCATATTGTTTAAGCCAAAGCTCGTCTGGATCCATCTTTGACTTCATCGATTTCTTGAGGTCATAGGCTGTGACGCGGTACGTCGGATGATGGCGGTATGCCTTGACAATCGTGTTAGTAGATTTCCAATGCCCAGTAGTTAATATGATAGACCGCTTACTGAAATCACGTCTCTAGCTGGATCGAAGGAAGCATATTCGACTAGAACACCTCCCTTGATACGTACGGCCTCTTGGATCTCCGCAGGAAGAGCATCGCACTTGTCAATCTCTCCGAAGCCGCCCATCTGCATGCGAGCATCCTCGACATTGACTTCACCTCCATTGGCTTGATAGATAATGAAGCTTCCTGTAATCAAATTAGGAGACCTGAAATTTGTATTGAACAACGCCTCTACTTACGGTTCGCCTTCACCATCTCGGTGCGGCAAGGGCGCCCTTCGACCAACGCGCCACGGCCTTGGACCACTGCCTTTCGGGCATCTTCGTCTTTCTAGACCCCTACTTTAGTTCAGATTAAGATAAGTTCGTTTATATTGTGACCTACAGTGTATTGGCAAAATGCAAATGGCATGTTGCGTGAGTCTCGGCGGATCTTTACGAAGACGATGCCATACTGACTAAAGACGCGAGTCAACTCTGCTTCGAGACGCGAGTCTCGAACATGGTCAGGAAGACTAATTATGAAGTTAGATACTGATTATAGGAAAGTGGTTAACATGAAGAGCCTACTTAGCGACAAAGACACAAGCTGTTGCGGGATAGAATGCCTGCGCATCTACACCACCGACCTGAGATCGGGTGCCGAAATTTGTGGAACGGTTACGCAGCATAGCTATTGGTTGCATGCTAGGAATAACACCTTGCATGGTTGAACTGAATACCGTAGGAAGGGCCGCGGCCGACGAGTAAGGCTGTGCTGCCTTAGGTGAACTGAAGATGCCTTCATCACCAGGGACATCACCTAGTTGGAAGGGTACATCGCTTCTTTGACGCGGGGGCGGTTAGTCAGAGAAGTCCGAGATATTCCAGGAATATTTGATATATCGAGTAACTCACTGGTCCTCGTCACCACACTGCTTTGGCGAAGAAGCAGATCGAGTGCGGCCGTTACGAGCACGTCGGGGAGTACCGTAACTATCGACATCAAATCAGCGGCTATAGACTAATGACAACTAGCTTTCGTTACTTCAGATCACCTACATCGTAGACTCAGGGGAGTCTTCAAGGACAAGGTCCTCTAGTCCCACATCAAGGCGCACGCCTCCTCCTACTCCCCCTTCCCAAATTTATTAGCATAATAACGCCTACTAGGGCAAGCGCCCATTTCAACTGCTCATAGTAAAAGGGACTCACCTTGGTCTGACTTGGTTGCTGGCGAGTTAGGAGCCACATGGTCCGTGACACCAAGACTGGCAGGTCCTTTCTTTCTAAGGGAAGACATGGCAAATGCCCTATTGGCCCTGCGAAAAGAAAAGAAAGTACATTGGTTAGTGTTGCTTCTAAGGTTCTGGGTACTAAATAGAGGTGAACGCGTATAGTTCGCTCTTAGCAGGGTTATATAAATGATAAGAAATTCAGAAAGAAAAAATTAGAAAAAAGAGCGGGCGGAGGGGAGACGCCTAATTAGGAAGGAAAATGAGATAGGATTGGTTATCCTAAGATACATGCGGATATCTGATGAATAAAAGGAATCAAATGGCTATAATGTGGGGAGAGCGAGAAGTATGAATTACCTTCGATAAGTTGATCCGATTTCAAAAAGGGTGTCAGTAGTTCGAACTTAGGAGACAAATATTTGACCACGAAGAAGTGTATTGGATGAAATCAGAATTCGACCGTGAAGATAAAATGAAAGAGAAAAAGAATCTGTAGAGGTGTGGCACACAACGCAAGATGTCAGAAATACTAAAGTAAGGAAGGAAAAAAAAATCAAGGTGTGAAGACTACTACGGTAGGTATACCACAGGTAGAATAGGGGATCATGCACCTGGCAGTTTGCAGGTACTATCTAGTAGGTAGAAGATAGTGTGGTGGTAGACGAGTTGAAAGGATGGAGGATTAAGATGAGCTTACCTACCTAGTACCTAGTAGATTGTGTTTAGGAAGGTTTTATAGTAAGTGATGGCTTGCGTAGGTAAGTAGGTACCTGATGAATAAGTCAAGTTGACATGCGGCGGGAAGGTTGTAGATAATTTATTACTGAGGTGACGGATTATCCAGTAGTATAACCTTGGAAGTCTTGGTTTTTATGAACGTACTAGGTACTGGGTAGTAGGAGCGGCAGCTGGAATTGATGGTCAGAAGGGCATGGCTTACTGAAACAGAACCTTAGAGATTCTCTACCTACCTATAGGTGCTAGGTACCTACGGGTAGCTAATAAATAAGTATGTAGGTGTTGTTCAGGAATCACTACATCTAGGTACATACCTACCCTACCTACTAGGTACTAAGTAGATAAGTGCCTCGACAGTTCCAACATTGAAGGTTATAACTTATCTCAGGCTGGTATCGTCATCTGTCTATCAGTGCTACCACAAATGTAGATACTACATAGGTAGGGTACCTGATACATTGGTCAGGTAGCTTGGAGATTTCAGAAGACTTAATAACTTGAAAGTACTAAATTCGATACTATACGTCTTAAAAACAACAGTACCTACGCACGCACTGTCATTACCTCACCAACTTGGAACTTTTACGTTTTATGTTCAAATTTCACTCAAAAGTCAACTTACTAGGTACTTTCCACCTACCTACCCAGTAGTATATGTGGCATCTAGGTAGGCACAGTATATTGGAAGGCTAGGATGGCATGAGATAGGGGCTTCTTGATATTAGGATATTTGGAATTTTGCTGGACGATGTTTCGTGGGATCTACAGAAAATTATGTGACCAGAGTTTAACCACGGTGATGGGATAGCACACTGATAATATGGAGGAGAGCTACTAGGTAGTAGTAAGTACTTGATAATATAATACAAGGTATTTTCGAATAACGATGGTTCTGTGATGGTGTGAACTTCGAGAGGGACGATACAGTGCTCACTTTGAGCCAGGAAGGTACAGTATTACTCCTTTTCTTTGGGACCCCTATTTCTGTCGAGGACAGAACGAACGCACTGATGGAAGGAACGTTAGAAATTTTGAATTTATTATATCCATAGGTACATACCTACATATGTAGATACCTACACCTACCAACTACTACTAATTATAGGTAGTATACCTACCTGTATATATGCGCTCTATTCAACAATGATTTCAGAATTACGTCGTCATCGTCGTTTGCGAGCCTTTCCTCTTTTTATACCTTCTTGGTAGGCATTAACATTAAAGTCACTGCTATAATAAACATAGAAGTAACGTTTTATATAAACTAGCATTTGAAGTTTAAACTGACAAGTCCTGACAAACTCACAAAAGTCTTTCACAACTTGTGTACATACTTGCTACTACCTAGTAGGTTAGGTAAGTCAAGTTTCCTAACCTACCTACTTACCTACCTATTAGGTACTTACATGTACGTGTTTATAGACTGGTTCTTGTTTGTCATGTAAATAATGAGGATTCTACCAGGTACCTAGGTACATAGGTACATAGGTATGTGGTTTCTAATATTTTAATATTCTTGCGTGATTATTTTGCGTCAATGCTAAATATCTTGGGCAATGTTAGTCCCTATTTTGTCAAAGATGGTAGGTTTACTTTTCATTGTTATAATTACAAATTAATGATGTATTAAATCAGTTCTTCTGTATTTATATAAAATTAATAATGAAACGCTTATAAAATTATACGAAATCTTGCCCATGAAGCTTATTAATTAATACTTTCTTTTAGAAACAAAACTCCCTTTAGTTTAGTTAAAATGTAAGTGGGAAAAGATTTTATCTTGTAATAATGTCCTTCGGACGGATAAAAATTTTTTTTGCATAAGTACCTAGTATGAATCCATCTTGATGAGCATTACCAAGGAAGAAAGGGAAAAGAAGGGAAAGTGGAGAAGGGGGAAAAGGAGGGAAAAAGGGAGGAGAAAAGGAAGGGGTTAACCCCAGGGAATCGTTTATATTACACCTTCTATACATAGCGCATTGCTATATGACGGCTAATTCTACCTGAAATCACCCCCCGGAAGATTGACACATATTTATCTAATTACTTGGTACCTGATGGTGTCGCGGGGGCATATACTCGATTGACAACCGCAATCTCCTCTGCTCTGGAAATGAAATATATGTACCTATGCATACCGCGTCCGAATCCAAGGACACCTGCCAATTCAACCAGATATGCCGGGGTATTGAGATTTACGGGCTTGACAAGACCTAATATATAATAGTTATTAATACAATACATACTCACCTAAATAGATAGGTAGCCGACAAGGAAACGTAGACCCATGCCACGGGCTAAGAGTTTTCACTTCCAAATTACTAGGTAGCTCATATTTCGATGATTCCCCAGAAGGATACATTGCTACATACCTAGGTATACATCGAATTCCATCCATATGATACGAATCATTTTAACGGAGAGTCAACATATACCCAGGTAATCATCCACTAATGCATAGAATACTTAAAGGGGGACCACCCCCATCGTGGGAAAGGCCTGAGTATTCCTCTACACTATAAGTATCCTTTGAGATATTGTCGAACCTAAGGTTATAAGATGTCTTTGGCTTATATCACAAAATTTGGGGTTTTTGCAAGTTTACTATTTACAGGAACTAAACCTTTTACCTATGCACGTCACGACCCGAAGCCCCAGCTCAGGTTTTTAAATGGCCCGTCACAAGTGCGGTCATCGTACGACTATGTAATTGTTGGAGCAGGAACAGCCGGTTTGACTATAGCTGATAGGTTAACAACAGATGGCAAATGTAAGTTCGGAGATCTTAATGTTCTGCAATGGATAAAAGCTGATTAATCACCCTCAGCTACTGTTCTTGTGGTGGAAAATGGGGATATAGGTTTGATATTTTTCAATCGAGAACCCCTCTCTCCTCCCCCTTCCTTGTACAGATCGCTGATAACTCAATTGAAGTTGATTCCCCTAGGATTAGGCAGGTCTACTCTGGTACTGCGGCTATGGGCCCAACGTGGTCATACCAGATCAATTCTGTTCCTCAGGTAAACTTGAAGAACCGGAGCACAGCCGTTCTCGCTGGAAACCTGGTTGGCGGTAGCTCAGCTATTAATGCTATGATGACTGTACGAGGGACATCGGAGGATTATGACCGATGGGGTGGCTTTTTCGGCAATGATTCTTCTTGGTCTTGGGATGGCTTGCTACCATATATGAAGAAGGTATCACTATACCCCCTCCCTCTTCGACTATGTTGCCACTAATGAACTAGGCATTGAATTTTGTGCCTCCTGACCCAGCCGTGGCAGAGCTTATGAATATTACTTACGATGCCTCATACTGGGGTAACAACTCTGGAGTATATGCAGGATGGCCTTTCTTCCAATGGCCTGGGTTAAGTGCGTTCCTTGGCTCTTCTATTTATTTATTTATTTATTTCAACTTTAGAAGGGCCAGACGTTAACATATATACGAAGCCACGCAAATCGAGGCTTTTAAAGACATACCCGGGGTTGAATTTCCCCCTGATAGCGGTGCAGGAAAGGCGGGCGTGTACTGGTTCCCAACTTTCAGTAAGTAATGTCGAAAATTCCTCCCTCTTCCCCTCCCCCCCTGTCTACGTTGTCTTGCGCTTAAAACTCGTCCCCCAAAGAGGATATACTGACTATAGATACCGCAGTGGACCCTAAACAGGTTCAAAGGTAGATATTAAATATGCACCATGAAGATGTAATAATTCTTCCTCTAATGTTAATTTAGATCATATGCTAGGACTGGACATTTTGATGGGATTAACAGAACAAACCACGATATTGTCACGAAGTCACACGTGACAAAGGTTCTTCTTAATGATGGGACGGCCACTGGGGTAAATTTCTGGCAGAAGATTGGGAATGCTACGATTCAAAAAACTGTCAAGGCGAATCGCGAGGTGATCCTGTCCGCTGGTGCGATTCATTCTCCGCAGATCTTACAACTTAGCGGTATCGGGCCTCGAAAGCTGCTCCAATCTGCGGGCCTAAATACGAGCGTTGACTTACCTGGTGTTGGCCAAAATTTCCAGGACCATCCGATGGTGTTTATGAGTATATTGCGTAAGTAGCCTTCTCTGCTGTTCCACCAAACCGAAAATCCCCAAAGACCATACCTTAGTACGAAGTAAGGGCACAGAGAAATCTAATGGGTCAGTATTACAGTTGCAAATTTCACAACTCATCCAAGCCCGCTGGATATGTTCGGCAATCCGAATTTTACTGACTGGGCACAAGAGCTCTGGAGGACTAATAAGACGGGTAAGTCTGGAATTGCGCTATCATCTCGAGAGATACCCGAGTTCAATTGGCGTTAACACTTGACATCTAAGGTCCGTACTCCATGGGATTAGGTAATGCCGCGGCATGGCTGGGCATGCCAGTGATTTCGCCAGAGAGATTTGAGAGCATAGCATCCAAATTAGAAAACCAGGATCATGGAGCTCAGTTACCTGCAGATACCGACGAGACTGTAATTGCTGGTATGTCAGACAAGCACTCACTACTTAACACAAACCCTCTATGAAAATAATTTTAGAAATGGAGAAGCTTTATATCTAATATCATATCTAGGCTACAGTGCGCAGATGAAAAACATGGCGGCTTCCATTCGTTCCACGAATACGGCGTTCTAGTCAGTACTGTACTTAGTACCCAAATTAGGAGACTTTGAGGCATATCGAACTTATAAGATAGACCCAAAGCCTTCATAGGCTGCGACAGTTACTGACATGATACGTTATAGTAACCACGTTTTATCTGGAGGGGGATCATCGGGCTCTCTGATAGACTTACATCCACTTAGCCGGGGCACCGTAAACATTAACACAACCGACCCTTTCAATACGGAACCTATCGTAGATTATCGAGCGCTCAGTAACCCGGTTGATCTTGATATAGGTACGTATAAAGATATATTTGGGCGAAAGTCGACAAGGGTTATCTTTCGAACGATCTCTAAATTTCCATAAGCTAACGTTATAGCAGTGAGTGAAACGATTGTATCTTACCGACTAAATATATATCTGATATATTACTCCCTGCCCCTCCCAATACAAAAAAAAGGAGAAAAAAGAAAGAAGCTGATACTTCATGTTTCGATAATTTAGATGGTCGAGTTTCTTCGATTCACCAAGCGATATTTCTTTGAGACACGACTGAAGGAGCTGATCCCTCGACAAGTACAGCCACCCGACTATGTCAACGAGCCAGAAGACCTGGCCGGCTTTCTGGCCGAAAACCTTAGTCCCTCCGAATTCCACCCTTCAGGAACGTGTGCCATGATGCCGAGGGAGTTAGGTGGCGTTGTCGACGAGAGCCTAAAGGTTTATGGCGTGAAAAATCTCAGGGTTGTGGACGCCAGTATCATGCCCACCTTACCGGGAGCTAACACGTGCCAGACTGTGTACGCTATCGCTGAAAAGGTAAGATAAATTTTAGTGATACGGGAGACTTTGAATTAATTTAATATAGGTTGCGGATCTTATAGAAGCTGATCGCTAATTTGTCTAAGCACTTATAAGCTTAAGACATGAGGTGCACTGCAAAGATGAGCTCTGCGCCTAAATAGCTGAGAATTTGAATGTTAAGCTTGACAGCAGTATAAAAGCTTGTTAGAGTCTATGGGCATTGTATACCTTCCTCTTCTCTCTCTTATTTTGATTAACACCACAGAGTGTGTCCACTCCCTTAGCTAGATAGGTCCGTTGCGGAAATTATTGATGTTATCTCAACCAGACTCTGTGCAGTGAAGACATTGTAGCAAAAGATGCTGCTAAGATTGTTGGAAGAGGTTCGTTATTCGTGATTAGCCTGTATAATTGCGGCTCGAGATGTACGGTACCCTCTGACAAGCTTCCCTCCATGCCTACCAAGGTAGATTACCTAGGCCAAGACCTTAGAAACGCCTGACATAACACCTGCCCGAATGTCGAATAATGATATCATCTAACCACGGATCTCTAATATCTCATTTAAACCGGCTTCGGCTGCCCTGAACCAGCGGCCTCTTTCCTCAAGGTCATCCTCAACACCACCGAGCGCTGCCTCTTTCCGCCTTCTGGCCTCTCTTGCGGCAGCCATGCTGTTCTGCTTCCTTGTCTCGAGGGGCTGTAGCTCGGCGTGTAACCGATCCAATTCCTTCTTTTTCCTCGGAACCTGACTCTGGAGTTGTTCTAACTGTTTATCTAACTCGGACTCCCTCTTCTTCCTTGACTTAACTAAGTCCAAAGTCTTGGTCAAGGGCAAATTTAATTCCGGGTTTGGATTACATCCTACTGCTTGGGTCTTCTTGAACTTTGCAACCGCATTTTCAAGCTCATCAATCTTGCCGGGAAGCTCCTCCAATCTGATGGTCTCGACCTGCACTTTCTCATACATCCTACTTAGATCTTTGGCTTTCTCTTCGAGCTCCGTGACCATGTCTGAGACCTCTGTCTTTAATGCCTTCAGCGTGGCCTTTGCTTCTAAGTTTTCCTTTTCGAGATCCAGATTTTCCTGGGAACTGACGATAAGAGGTGGATCGCCTACGATGGCACGAATGAATTTCTCCTTAGTAACTTGCTCTACATAACTGAAACGAAGCTTGGCAAACAGCTCCCGATAGTGCGTCAAGTCGGCCTCGAGAGAAGAGGGCGTAGTGACGTCAAGGGATGATGTAGAGATATCTGAAGTTCGCTGATGGTGATCATGTAGTTGCGTGACTGCGACGGAGATAGGTTCACTGAGCTTCAAAATGGTGATCTCCTGGGTGGTAGTAAGTGATCGTAACTTAGCCAGGACGCTCTGTGGCGTAGGAGGCGCCATTACAGATTAAGTTGTCGCGTGTTGCACTATATGAAATGGTCGGGATCTTCTGATGAGATGTGCATAAAACGGGTCTTTCGACGACTAATATCGGATGTTGAAGATAATTATTAACTGAAATCTGAGTTGGTGGTTTGAATGAATGTTTATATTTACTTTCGTTAATCCGAGAATGGAAAAGCTGGGGTACTAGGTATCCAGTACTTACCTAAATGCAGGTACCCACTTAGATACCTTGTAAGTACAGTACTAAGACAAGATTCCACTAATCGATAATTGATAACGTACAAGGTACATACTTACATAGGTACCTACCTAGGACATATGTATACTAGGTAATCCTACCTACCCAGTACCTACTTATGTAGGTATTCCCAATGTACCTGGGTACACAATCATGCGAAGGCAGATTTTTAGCTTTGTTACTCTACATATATAGTATTATTAATATTTCATAACTTTTTTTAAGGTACTAATTACGTAGTAAATGCTGGATCATTAACCCCACAACTGTACTAGGTAGAACATTATTAAAGCTAGGTACACATGTATGCGTGTGTGCCAGGTGGGTAAGTACCTACCTAACTTACACCCCGCTGTGTTCGTCGAGTTAATCGATTATCTACCTGTCTTTAAATCTCCACCTCTACATTGTTATGCTCCGTACTCCTTCTCCGTCTTTCATTTTTATTTCCCATTCATTTAAATATGCCTTTTGACGATAACGGCGTTCCTATGGACGACCAAGTTGCCGACTTGTTGGTCAAGGAAGCAAATGATTGCTCTATCAAATACTCAACAATCGGTCTTGATGCCTTTAAATCTACCAAGTAAGCATCTATCTATTCATAACTGAATTCCTCCATTCTGATTCCTGTTTTCTCCAGACGTCCCGCAAATCAACCTAAGCCCAACACTCGCTTTCTCAACAATATCATTCGCGGCACCAACCATCACAATCGCGCGCTCCAAGCTAAAGAGAATGCCGAATCCCAGGCCAAACTTCACGATCTAGAAGTTGCAGAAGCGAAGAAACGAAATGAAGAGGAGCGCAAATTACGGAAGGCTAAGCCAGGACCTAGCGACACTAGGAAACGTATGCTAGGTGACATTGCGGCCATTCTTGGTGGATCGCCTAAGAAGCGTAGGACTGAGAAGGCTGGAAGGTCTATTACACCAACTAGTAATGCTTCAGGTACAGCAAAGTCTGGCGATGGAATCAAAAACTCTCGCCGACGACATAGGAGCTCTACAATAACGGATGAGATGAATGCCAAAAAGGATAATGGTCACAAGGATCGAAAGGATCGTGTTGGAGTTCCACGCTATGCTCGCCATCGAGAAGAGAGCCAATATGATAGCTCATCTTCATCTACTACCCCGAAGCGCAGGCGCCGAGGTCGCTCATCCCGTCAAAATAGTCATCGCGACTCCAGTGTCGCAAAACACTCGCAGCACCAATCTTCTCCGTCCGCAGATTCATCTGACTCCGGTTCATCAGAGGAGACTATTGGCCCTGTACCAGCTAAAGCACCTGTCGTCCGACGGAGGGGACGTGGTGCCAATGCCACCACGTCTGGGATAGATAATCGTTTCGCACCTGACTACGATCCGAGGAAGGACATTACACCCGAAGCGGAAGATCAACGGCAGGAAGATGACGAATGGAGTCATGCAGTCGAGGCGTTTCGTGACCGCCAGAAATGGAACCAAAGAGGAGAGGAAAGACTCCTTTCCGCAGGCTTTACTGAAGAACAGGTTAAGAAATGGAAGAAAGGCGACCAGAAGGACGAGGCAGATGTGCAATGGGCTACAGTCGGTGGTTTACGGGAATGGGACCGCGGAAAGGTGGTTAATAAGGATGGTACTGTCAGCTTTAAAAATGATTCTGAGTGGTAGCGAAAGGCGTCATCTCTCGCAAAATGTTATTACAACAAGTACGAAACCAAATATGAAATTACTTCGGTATTTTCGCATCTTAAAGCGTATTAAATGTTTCGTTTAAAAATAGTAGATTGAAATAATAACAACGCGATACGGCAGGACTAGCGTTTCTATCGAGTGAAGTTACGGAATCGTTTTTACATCAAATATATATTAATAAATACATGAAATTTGTATTAGATCCGATTATTTTCGGAGCAGTTTCGCGCGTTGTACGCAAAATAAGCTTAACACTGATTCGAACGCGCTATAGAACGTACTCAAACACCACTTACACCTTTCAATATTTGCAATTAGGTCCAATGAAAAGGTCTCGACCTGATCAATTTTTTTTGGAACTGCTAAGCAGTTTTGGTTGCAAGATTGAAAGTTGAAAATAGTAGCCCGTTCCATCAGTTCAGTCGATTTAAGTTAATCTTAACAAGTTCCAGCTACCAGCACCGTGCAATAAAACTTGTTCGATTATGTTTCTTAATGGTTATTCATTGAATGTAATCATCAAAAATTTAAACTGCGGTACTTTACTTGATTTCTTACCTATCTTTGTATGGGGCAAGATGTACATATGTATATAGTTTACCAGCAATTGTTCGGACCATAGATACAGCGTGATTACATAACATTACACTTTAACCGGATTAAGAACTCCGTAAACTCCAGCAAGTATTGATTTATTATGTACATACCTAGGTACCTAGTATGCTACATATGTATTGTACCTGGTCTACCTAGGTACCTAGGTATGTTCGTTACGACATACATGTAGGTACTAAAGTTGGAATCGTCGGAGCTCGGGCATAAGATGTCCTCGACTCTCGCAATGTGCTAGTATTCTATCCTTTTTTCTACATTATTACTATCGCCGTCATCGTTGCCGACCAGCCCAACTCAGCCTCTTACGTCTAAAGAACCTTCTGTCGTCTCGTCTCGTCTTTTTTCTCACCCCTTTTATTAAAAAAAAGGGGACAGTAACAGCTTATAGATCTTTCTTTTATCCATCCCTTTTCTAGCTGTCGACTTGTTACTCTCTATCTTCACCCCGCCTTATTATTCTATTCGCAACCGAAACTTAAGAGAGTCATCTCAAATACCTCGTACTTCATATTTCTATCCAACCGTTCTAGCTTCTATTAATTCTACTTCTACTTCTATTAATACACTCTTTTACTTCTACTACGAATGGTCGCCTACGCTGTCGACCAGCTGAATTGCCAGCTACGTTGACGAGCTCTCTATCCTACGCTCTCGTCCATAACCCCTCGCTCTCGGCCCACACCATATTCGCAAACATGCGACCGCCTAGAATCGCCATCCTCGTCCTCTTCTTCGCTGCCTGTCTCTTCCTCCTATGCCGAGCGATGACATCGTCCAGTCGCCCTGCGTCTGTAATATCTTCCCCACGATCAGCACAGAGGCTCGGCTTCAGGTCCTTCTTTTCTTTTTCGACCCCATTCACGCTCTTCCCGCCTAATGCCGTCATAACCATAGCCGATGACAATAGCACCTCTTTCGCAGCAAGACCCGCTGCTTTTGGATCTCCGCTGCCGAGCAAGGGTTTAAACGGACAGCTATGGATTGGTAGTGGCTTCACCGAAGAGTCCACGCAAGACGGTGAGGGCGAAGGCGAATTGGGCTGCAGCGACGTTCCCGGCTGGGATGATGGTACCTCGAATGCCGTTTTGAAACCATCTAAGAAAGAAAGCCAGCAGAAATTTAAATCCGTTATTGCTGTAGGCAAGAGCAAAAACCAGAAACGGACAGACTCTAGAGGTCCCCTAGTCGACCGAACCTCCCCCACCGACCTCGAGCCTAAATCCAAGACGAAGCCAGTCAATGACGGCACCGATGACTACCTCCACCAGAACTTTGATCCGCCGACGAAATCCCAGATCGACGTTTTAGGATCTTCTAGCTCCAACCATGCCGATATTCAGTCCATACAGGAGGGAGCTGAGATTGCTGGCAAGATAGTTCTGCTGAGTCGCGGTGGTTGTGGTTTTCTTGAGAAAGTGAAGTGGGCTCAACGACGAGGTGCAATTGCCCTCATCGTTGGCGATAACCAAAGAGGTGGTCCGCTAATACAGATGTACGCCCATGGGGACACTTCTAATGTTACCATCCCTTCCATCTTTACGTCCCGCACAACTGCGTATCTACTCTCACTTATGATGCAGCCTGGAAGTTTCATTGAAGATATCATCGACGAGAGCGGTAAGCCTTCCTTGAAAGTTCAGCAGTCCGACAAAGCCCGGAAGAACAGGAAAGCGAGAAATGCAGCCGTGCCGGCTCAACCTCTAAAATTTCCCTCGAAATCCAATAACAAATCACCTGTACCCAATAAGCATCCATCATCAAGCGCCGAGCCTTCAGATTCATCGTTAAGCTGGCTCCCCAAAATCTTCAGTTGGGGCTCTACTTCTAGCTCGAGCTCGGCTACTAGTGGAAGCCGCCCGCCCAGCAGTGGTCAACTTGACTGGGTGCTTGTCGAGGACTTTTCTGATGAGAAAGACAGGGCGATCAAGAACAGTCTAGAGCGTGCTGCAAAGGCTAGGGTAAACGGAGCTTCGAGGCTTAAGACTAAAAAGATTCCCGAGGACAATTTCCAGATAGGTGTGGAGGACTGGCGAGATCCGGATCTATTGGGATCTTCCGACCAAAACGATGGTTTGCAGGAGCCGCTTGACGGCAACGAAAAGTTTTCTTGGCCAAATGCAAGATCCGATCAAATTTCGGATGTTGGGACTCCGGAAAACAAAAGACGGAATACCAAGGGTGGCAGAGTCACCCCCAATAGCGGAGAATATGCTGCGGGTCATATGCCTACCAAGGGGTCCAACGCTATCGGGTCGAATAAAGGGAATATGCCAGCCTCAAGTAACGGGGGCCTCATTTCTAAGATATTCGGGGATGATGAAGTAGACTTCACCAAGGTTGAGGCTCAGCCTAAGCCAATCGACGTAACCAACGGTGGGAAACCAGTTTCCGGCTTGGGAGTTCCCTCCCCTTTTGATGGACGGGAGGGTCTTTGGGTCGTCATCACTCCCTCTAGCGGTGCCAGTCCTTTTTTCGATACTCTCTTAGTCCTAGTGATTAGTCCGCTTATCACCCTCACTGTAGTGTACGCTTTACTCATTTTACGAGCGCGTATTCGGCGAAGAAGATGGAGAGCCCCCAAGTCTGTAGTTGAGCGACTCCCGGTTCGCACTTATCATACCGTAGCATCTACACCAAGCCGTACATCCAGAGTACCTTCTCCAACTAGTTCGTCCCCAACAACGCCGTTGCTTCAAAGCCAGCACGGCCCGTCGAGGTCCAGGCCACGTTCGCGAACTATAACCGGCGTGCCGTCAGCTGGTGACCTTCTACAGATCGAGTCCTCGTTATCCCTACATAGGTCCTCATCACGCGCAGAACACGAGAAACGCAGCACGCATCCTTCGAGTGAGTGGAAGAAGTATATGGGTAGACAAGTCGAGTGTGTGGTGTGCCTAGAGGAGTATGTGGATGGTGTCAGCCAAGTCATGAGTTTGCCTTGCGGCCACGAATTCCATGTAGACTGCATGTAAGTTTATCATCGTAGATCTCGGGGATGTATATCGCTGACTAACAGTGTAGAACGCCGTGGTTAATAACGCGGCGACGAACGTGCCCTATCTGCAAGGGCGACGTTGTCCGTTCTCTAGCCCGTGGGGTGTCATCCAGCCCACGGTATGAGCCCTACCAGGACGATAGTGACGACGACCTCGAAGTACAGGCAACCAGTTCTTCGTCTCCTGATGCTCCATTGGAGCAAGCAGACGACCAGGATGTAGAACAGGGCATTCCAGTATCCCCACACCACTCACATCAGGAGGCTTGGTTCGGTGCATTAAGGAATACCTTGAGGGCTGGATTCCAATCTCGGTCTAGGCAGACATCGGGGGAGCCTGAGAATCAAGACAGGCAATAGGATTTTCATTCACATGATATTCTTCATAACACCATCGGCGTTGGGGTTATATAGTGGCATGACTTCGTTATAAACACAGGTTACGGTCTGGGAAAGCATGAGGAAACAAGGTGAGGGGATCAGGGACAGGACTGCCAAGCTGGTAGGCCTCCGAGACTGTTTAATATCTCTTTTGAGGCCTTTCCTCTTCTTTCTCGCTTCTTGGAAAGAGGACTATCATCTAGAAAGAGGTGTAAAAACATGCCTTGTGTGCCGATATTCACGGATCGGCCCTGAGATTATAAATTATTAATGAGGATTGTTATACCCTGTGTAGTTAATTTTATGTATTTTATGACGAACACAAATTTGATGGCATCTTTTTAGCCTCGTGCTCGACCTGCTTAATAAATTATTAAAGTTAACCGGACTGTAAAATGATAATACTTAATACATCCCGTCGACGACAGTCCATAAGAACAAATCCGCCAACCCGCCAATTTAATTAATATATTAGAATATACATAATATAATACAGTATATAAACGTACAGTTTAATACATATTCCACACAGTGCCATGAATCTTACAGTGGGTCATAGCGCTACAGGGCTTTCAGCGCCCTGTAATTTACAGGCTTTATAGCGCATCAGCTCCTTGTAACTTATAGGTGGCTTTTTAGGTACCTACCTATGTAAAAAGCCCTAAAGCTAGCGCTAAAGCCTTTCTAGGCTATTATTAACTTTGGAATATTTCAACCTTTTCGAAACGAATTAAATCAATTGACTGCTCTGATTCAATCGATCAATTCGATTCAGTTGAATGCGTAATAGGTGAGTACCTAGTAGGTAAGTAAATAAAGATACACGCGTAATAGTTCAAAACGAGGGGTATCACGTGACCTCGAGCCTCATCGGATAGATGTCAACAGCGCGTATTATAAAAGGTTTAATTGAAACTCAACGTATGAATATTAGTTTACAATGAATTAAACTTATATAAATAGAAAGGCCTTTTGAAGCGCTTTTGAATAAACCTACTATATTTGCGAGTGATCTAATATTGAAGCGTATAAGTGTATCCAAATCACAAGGTACCTATGTAAAAAGGCTATGCGCTATAAGGCCCATAAGTTATGGGGGTTTTCAGCGCCCGATAGCGCTATAATCCCCTGTAAGATTCAGGGCACTGTGCGGAATATGTATCAAACTGTACGTTCATATACTGTATTATACTGTATACATTTTAATACATTAATTGAATTGGCGGGTTAGCGGATTTGTTCTTATGGTCCGCCGTCATATATATAAAGTTTTCGCAAATATATATTTAAGTATTTAACCTTGAAGTATGTGCTTAAATGCTTATATTGATACTAACTTAAAAAGGAAGCATATGTACCTAAGTAATTTACGTAAATGTACGAACCTTTTATGACGACAACACTTATTCGTTATTGGTAAGTAACTATTCAGATTATAATTCATTTCTTGCTAAATATTAAGTAGGTATATAAAAACCATTATCATCCTTTCTTTCCCAGTTACTTACTTATTAGAAATTCAATCAAACTTCTCAGATTATTTATAAAAATCCTTGCGACTCGAACAAGTTTCCGCACGATGGCAGGTGGCTTTACCAGCAACATCTCAGCCAAGGCTAAAGAAGTCATGTATGCCGATGCCCAGCTCAAACAAACCCCGATGCTTCAATATTCTCTCTAGGGATACCTAGCCTTTACTAATTCATCATAGGAAAGAAGAGTACTGTAAAGCTACAGAGTTCCTTTCAGATGCGACCAAGAGCCGAGCCTACTTATACCCCTTCAAGTATTAAGTTAAACATTTAATCCTCATGCTGCCATCTGGCGCTAATTATTTCTATCTAGGGGTATAATCTATTTTGTAACCCACAAATCACTATGGAAGCCATTCTCCTCTCGCATTTTGCCAACTCTGGGGCTTACCATAGGTGTCTTCGCCTCCATGCTCTTCTTTACTTATGTACCGCAGCTTGCAATCCTTGTCTTTATCAATGGCCCTTTGGCTATTTTCACTACCATTCTTCTCATACTCAACGAAAGCTCCATTATTATCAACATATTCTCTCGTAATTTTCTCTTACGGGATGCTCTACTTGATGCCTTCGATGGTACACTTATCGCAAGAAACGCCATTAATATCGTCAAGGAAGGACGTCAATTAAAGTCTGGCAATGACCCTGTTTCAAGATTGGGTAAAATTCTTAAAAGCCCTTTTTCGAAATTTACTCCGAAAGCTTTGATAAGATATGTTATGTATCTTCCCCTAAATTTTATCCCCGGTATGTTATGTACTGCCTACCTACCGGTAGCCGCGCATCGTCACTCCGTCAGATAGTATTAACGAAAAGCTACCCTTATAGTTATTGGCACGATTATTTTTCTATTTTTTCAAGGTGAGTATTAGTCTAACCACGCAAAATGAATTAACTACATACGTTTCTACTAGGTCGATCAAGGGGCAGTGTTGTTCATGATCGGGTGTGTCGTCCTTGCTCAGGTTGGGCCTTAATGAGACTACATATGACTGACTCTAGAGAGTGATAGTATTTTCAACTAAAAGGATGGCCTTCGCCCCAACAGCAGGATTGGCTTAAGCGGTACACGAGCCCATACACCACGTAAGTACAACTCACTTTCATTCGAAATTAGTCGCTACCACCTACATTATATAGGCGAAAATATCGGGCTACTGACTGATGTTTCGTCCGTATCCAACCAACATTTTTCCAAATCCGCCAGTTCTGCGACTACTCCTGATTTATCTCGTTCCCGATTTATGGTGATAATCGGAGTTGACCTTGTGTTATAGCTTTGGGACGGTAGCGACCCTTCTCGAGATGATACCCGTCTTATCAATATTCTTTACGATCACCAACGCCGGTAGGGCCTATATCCTAGCTTTGTAAACATGGCATTATTAATGCGTAATATTAGTGGGCGCTGCTCTCTGGGCTGCCGACATTGAGCAAGGGAAGACACAGATGATCCAGGGCACGGCCGGCAACCTGCGAGAGACTGCCAAGAAGGCCGAGTAAGGTTGTGCAAGAGATATGCCAAACCGACGTCCCCGAGATTAGGTGGACCAAAGATCCTGCACATAAATGTATAGACCGACCGTGTCATATTCGTAAGACCTCAACGGTAGGATTTGAGGGAGCTTGTAAAACTCGCCACCACATAGCGACCTAGACACAGGCAAGGGTTATTAGACCGGTGGAAATTCTGGGGAGATTTACCGGATACGTGCGATCCAAGCTCACGATACAGCTGGACCTCAACTTTCTAGGTATTTAGACATCACCAATCACTAAGAATCACAATATATCGAGTCATTATCGGACCTAAAGCATTTCCCCCGAGATTCTATCCAGACACGTTCCCAGACACGTTCCCAGACTCATATTTAAATCATAGCCGATATGTTAATTCCTGTCTCACCCTGTAGGACGCCATTTTGCGCATGTTGTCCCCAATTCCCATTAGCTTGTCTTGGTATATTGGTTAGTGTATAGAAGACTGTAAAATCTCGATTAATTAAATTAAAACATGTCAATATCATATGGTTCACGTCCATACGCAGCTGTAATACGTGTGTATCCGGAAAAAGTATTCCCTGATAATACAGAGCAGAACGTTTGCTCTTCACATGTCCACTCAGACAATACCAGCGGGAGGTGGTGCAGCAAGGCTGTCAATCATAATACGCACAGGCAGGATAAATCGATTAATCTGCTAAACAGTTATAAATATTTGGGGAGGCTCATATGTCCCGTCCAATCAATCTTCCATCACACCATCGCTTGATTTCTTATGCGCCATTAGAAGAGAGTAAATCTCTAGTTCGTAAAAATCAACTTGCATCCCTGTTCATATTTCGTTCTGTTGAAGACCAGACGTGAAGAGCTTCGTCAATATGATCTCGAATGAGCAATCTATCAGTATCTAACCTAACGGATAGCTGCATTTGGCACCTGTCACCAGGCAAGGCTTACCGCAGATGGGTATATACAGCCTCGTTCCAGTGCTAGGTACCGTGTAAGCAGCCGTAGTACACGTATTCATGATGCTTCCCCTAATAACGAAATTATCATCCGTGCTTTATCAAGAATACCTACCGTATTCATTTTTGCAGGTTGCCAAATTGGTATGGATAATAAGGGGTATCATTACACGATGTCACTAGAACTCAAGGACCAACATGACACAAGAGCAACTCTGTACTCATCATTTAATTATATAGCCCATCATCCCATAATTTTCTCAATCAACCATTCCATATAACCAACGAACGGGAGGACTTATAGAAGAAATCCTGTAGCAGTATCATATGTCTAGCTCTCGAAGCTCGCTCGATTAGCCCAAGCCTCGATACCTTGATATATAGATGCTGGCCACAGGCTAGGTATGGATGCCTATCTAACGGTTATATCTAACTTGCTAGGTTGCTACTAGGATGCTACTACGAGATAAAAGATCCTCCGGCCAAATGTAATCATGCTTCAAGGTTATTGACTAGGATACATACCCAATACCTGGTGCTAGCAATTATCTGGCAATCGTGGAGATCTGACTCGTAGGTCTGTAGATGCCTCCGTAACATACATCCATGTATTTGTGAGTACCATGGCGGAAGACTGCATTGGAATTTAGAGAAAGGAGAGGGGGGGAGTCGATTCTGTACCATCTCACGCAGCCCCGGGTAACTAAGTAAGTAGTGGTGCCAACATGGAAAGTACATTATGATAGAATGCTTCTGGCGTAAGAGAAAATCGAAGCTTGGAATAAGTACCTAGGTATAATGGATACTAGAAAAAGAAAACGAGGTAGTATACTTGAGTACTTCGTCCACTTAATACCCAAAAGTGGGGGTGTTACTCTTCTTCTCGGCCAAAATCAGAAGCTGTCTTGACCTAATCTCTCCTGGTGGTGACGCGCCTTCCCTTGAAGAAGCACCGAAAATTCACCATATTAGGGGCTTCCACGCGTCAACCTACATAGTAGTTCCTCCAACATCTATGGATATGCAGAGCTCTCCCCCTCCTTTTTCTTATCCTTTTCTTTAATTGATCTATTTCTCTCGGCCCATTCATTCCCTCTACCATCCAAGACCGACAGTCTTACCTTCATTTTATTCCTTCATCACGTTTGTGTAGAAGGGGGACAAAATAAGATTTGCCTTTTTCTTCATCATATTTTATTCTCTACCTCTCTTTTTTTTCTCTTCGTCATTTTCCGCCTCGATCACTTCTCTCCGGGGTCGGTTACTTTCATTTTGGGTCGTGTTTGAGTACCGGTAGATTCTACTAGTCATCCTTTAAAATATCTGTAGTATTCATCTTAGTAGAGCTCCCCGTCGTCGCTAGACACTCAGCCCTACATCATGAAAGCCTCGGTTCTCGCTGACCTGGTGTTGGCGACCGTCCTCCTTACGTATGTCACAGGAATTATAGCGATGACCCAAGGGGGGAGCCCTCTGATTCCGCACACCTCATCGGATGTTCAAAGCCTACATCAAGTTGACTATGAGCTCTTTGGGGGGCTTCAGCCTGATCGTGGCGCATATAATTATCCTACTCCTTCATATGGAGGATATGGCCCTCCTCCCCAGTCACCTTCAACTTCGAAAACTTCCTCGTCAAGCTTGGGTCAGCCTAGTTCTAGTACGACTTCGTCCGTTGGAATTGAAAGCAGTCTTACTGCGAGTTCAGCTAGTACCTTGAGTATATCTTCAGGTATTCCAACTAATATTCAGACTGATCATGCTTATTCTAACATGGTTTCAGTTCCGTCGGGGTTACATTCAAAGAGCGAGTCTCTGACCTCTACCACAGAGTCGTCGCCCCTGGCTAATACTTCTATTTCTCTCTCGGCGCCTACATCCATTAGCAGTGGCAAATCGTCGACAGTAACCGAAACTCAGACAAGTATTCCAGCTGGCACGGCCACTAGTACTAAAGAGTCAGGTACTTTGGTCACATCGACAATTAGTCCGAGCGCTTCTAGTGGGAACCTCACCTCACTCTCTTCTATCACCTCCAACTCCAGTTTGGTAAGTAATCATACCCGATCCTTGACAAGCGCAGAGACTGTAACTATGAGTAATTTGTAGATAGCATTATTTAGTAAGGCTATGGCTACTGATAACTAATTTTAATACAGAGTAGCCTATCGAGCACCAGTGGGGGGGCTGGAGACCAAAGTGAATCTCCGTCGGTGACCCAGAGCACCTCACCTGGCGTAAGCATCGGAACAAATACAGTCGCTCCAACCACTGTCTCTAGAGCGAGCACAAGTGAAATGGATACAATAGTTACTATGTCTTCAGGGATCTCGTTGACTGTGACTATCATTCAGAATGGGACTACGCTTGGGAGCTCTAGTACAGCTGCCGTAACTGGAAGTGTTCCATACACTTCAACTGAAGTCTGGAGTAGCACCTCTTCGGTTTTAATCTCTAGTCTTGTATCATCGCAAAGCGCGATATCTTCTATATCCGAAACTATCCCTTCAATCTCATCCATATCAAGCTTGAGATCCGCAATTTCATTGGGAAACGGCTCACAGTCAATCACAACTTCCTCGAGCTTGCCAACTCCTTTCACGGGAAGTTCTATGTTAACATCGGAGTCTGCTACTTTTCAGCCATTCCCTATGTTGAATAGTACTTCTAGCGCTGGTTCGGTTGGGATTACATCTAGTATTCCATACCAAAGCGTATCATTTTCGCACACGGTCACAATGAGCAGCTCTGAGATACTCAGCAAACCCCCCTATTCTACATCAAACTCAACAAGTGACATAGAGCCTACAGGCCGGACCTCAGGTATCTTCAATTATACCTCAAGTTTCCTTATCACACCGTTTCCAATAAACAGTTCTACATTCTCTGCGTCTACAACATCACTCTCCAATATAAAATCCAGTAGCATCGTTGGATCGGATACTCTTACCGAAACGAGAACGTCTTCTACGAAGCTATATCCAATCTCCAGCTCAACGATGTCTTTTTCAGCGTCCACTGGTTCGGCACAATCAAGTCATGTACCTGGAACTTATTCTCCAACTAATCAATCTATTACCGGTACTTCATTACCTCAATCAGTATTTCCTACACCAAGTAGCCTTCTGACTAGCGTATCGAAAATCACCAGCACCAGGCACACCGGCACAACACCACCCCCGCTTTCAAGCTCTAGTTCAGCTTCCCAACCCCCGTTCACTTTGTCAAACTCGACAGGTGTCCCGACGGGTCAAACTGCCCCCTCGACCATGATAAGCACACCAAGAAGTACTCTTTCTAGCGTGACTGGTAGAGGAGGTTTCAGCACCATGACGTCTCAATCACCACTATTCCCTTTGCCAAATTCGACTATCTCAGCTACAGGGCGGTCCAACAGCTCTCCCCGAAGTTCAAGTTTATCTACATTGACGTCAGTCGTTCCAAGCGGTAGCCAGGTAACTCAATCCCCCTTGCTCAGTTCGTCTTTATCCACTAGTTCTTGGACATTTCCCTTTCCCATGAATAACTCGACCTTGACATGGTTGAGTCCAACTGGCGTCCCAAACTCAAGTACCGCTCTCTTACCGAATAGCTCTTCTGGAGCCACATCTACCATTAGTCTCAACTCGGCAACACCTTCTCTCGGTATATCAACAGGGCAATACAATACAACGTCGGCCCCCTACCCTCTGACCAATTATACATCCCTGACGCCCCGCCCGACAATTATTTCTTCGGCCTCAACAACTAGAATATCCGGTCTTTCAAGCATTGGAAATCCTTGGCCTCCATTACCATCATCAAACGGCACAGGACCTACTACCGTCGGGTCTACAGGGAGTCGAGTACCTACAGGTCCAGGTCCGGTTTCTTTGAACTCGACGATCATTCCCACAGGAACGAGAACAAATTCTTCCATGTTAACCGGTAGCGCTACTACCGGAATCACTACAATATCAAGTTCCCAGGGCACAGGGGCTTATAGTAACTCTATAAGTCAGATTTCCCATACATCTGTCTCGTTCCCCATGTCGAATTCGACGGTCACTTCTGTAGTGGCGCCCGGTTTTACTTCAACACAACGTGGAATCACGTCTGGGAACGCCTCAATACCTTCTGGCCATTCTGATACAACTACACTGCCTACTATCACGTCGTTTACTACCAGCCAAACTTCTGGATCAGTTAGCCAGTCATCTTTCTCATCGCCACGGTCGACTCCACCATTCCTCTCGACAAACTCGACGACCAGTGTAAGGCCAACCGTTCCATCAAACAAACCCTCGGGTCTTTTAAGTAGCCTTACTTCTGTACCAGCTTCAATGACAACCGCCGATTTTAATTCTAGCACAATTAAGTCCGAAAAAATCTCTTCAATTACACTATCGCCTGGAGATTTGACGTCAACCCCTCCTTTTCCTCTAACAAATACTACGATCACACCTGAACCAACTTCACGATCCAGCAGTACCGCAATTTCAGGAACTGGTTCCGCTCCTATATCCGGTTCTGTTCGAACGAGTAGCCCGTCTAGCCTATCTAGCCTATCTAGCCTATCTAGCCTATCAGATAGAATGTCACAGACATTGTCACTATCGCTGATTTCAAATTCAACGGCCGTCGTGGGTACACCAACATCGTCTGGTAGCATCGTCCCGACCTATACAATCACTGGGTTCAACTCCTCGGCCAGAATCTCAAGCTCTACCACATATCCACTTTCAATCACTACAAATCTATCCGGACCGTTCTCAAGTGGTCCCTCAGGGCAATCAATAATATTTAGTACTCAGAAGACATCCCAAACAACTATATCAAGCACTGCTATTCCTAGTCTAACGGCAATATCAACATTAAGCTTCATTCCGTACCCGCTGTCAAATAGTACATTCTCCCGCATATCGTCTACAAGCTCACTGTCAAGTGGCGCTGGAATCACCTCGACCCCTTACACAAACTCGACCATTCACCCCACTAGAACAACTAGCACGACAGCGATTATACCATTCTCTAATAGCTTTACCATAAGTTTAAGTACCGTATCTTATTCGTTGTCAAATTCTACCGTATCGAGATTGATTACAGGATCCATCCCGTTTGTACCGAGTACACTAAGCACAGGAACAATTTCGCCCAGTACTTCGGGCGGTGAAAGTGTCCCTCCTGGAAGTCCGTTGTCTTCGACTTTAGGTCCTTCGGTCCAACTGTCCTCCTTGGATACATGCACCGAGTTGCCTACTATTACTCAGGAACCAGATACAACTTGTTCCGAGAGCGATACTTTAGTTGTCACTATCGATACTACCTGTGGCGATAGTACAACCACTCAGCCAAGTGCTATAACGACATTTACCTCTACATCTGGCGACGAGGCTACTTCCGCTGCTGATACTTCATTGGCGTACTCTACTACGTCGTGTAACGAAAGCTCAAGTTTCTCGGTAAGGTCTAACACGGCAAACGCTTCGGGTAAGTGACTAGGAGCAGAGTCGGTAAACGGACACAAGCTAACGGGATAGCAGCAAATGGGACAGTTTTTGGTAGTGAGGACTTCCCTACTACGCTTCGTACGTCAACCACGACGTCCGTCTCTAAACAAACCTTGAATATCACCAGCATCCCCAACTAGTCTCATAGCTAATACTAAATTGGCGACACGAAAGACGGTGCACTGCATGTTTGGAGACGATATGCCCAAAGCCTCTACTGGAGTGGCAACGACTGGGAGAGAACGACCAAGAGAGGCGGCGATGAAGAGGCATATAATGCTGAGGCATGTTTTGCATTCTGTACCTTTTCATTTCCTCTGTACTGGGATATACGAGCATCCGGCAGATAGATCTGCAATGGTTTGCTTGGTCTTAGTGGCAAGCTACATTGATTTGCTTCTGAGGAATAGGTAACGAGTGCTTGCAGGAAGGAAATGAAGGAGTATGTAATGACAGAAAATACAGGGCTCAGATAATTATGTAGTTAATGACATAGATCTTCCCTAATTCATGCTATCGGTACCTGGTACTAATTACATACCAACGTGTATGTAGTTGACTAGACGCACGAGTAGGTAGGTACTAGGTACCAGGTACAATACCTAATAGCAGTACCAGTACCTACTAGGTACATATACAGAGTACGTAAGCGCGCAAGTAGGGAGAGGTGGGGGTGCCTAGTCTTTTGCTCTTATAAAATGCACAGCTGTATTCTGTATTTGTTGTACTATTCGTAATACTTTAATCAAATACAACGAGATCGACACCAAGCAATTTACTATGTAGATATTATGTCTACATACTACCAAGTAGTGATGAATTAAGGCATCATTAAGACCCTGCATCCCGAGAGCCGCGTTACGTTGCTAGAGCGTGTCAGTTTCATATCGACTCTACTTCTCAGCTCGCTAGAAGAAAAGAGAAATAAAAAGGTCGAGTCGGTTCAGCGAAAGTCGAGAACCGACAGAGCCACATATTTGGGACCGGCTGTCGCTAGTCCCTGAGCACGTCATCGGCTAAATACTATTCGCATATTTTTTTTTTGCCAAGTTCTAGCCTCCGTGCCTCCGTGCCTCCGTTTCGTAGGGCAAAAGAGTGCGTCTGCCGATTACGTATTATGTAGCGCGGAACCGTATCGAAGTCATATCTAGCGGATAACAGTCTTTTTACTTTTATAAGTTATATTCTTCTCTCCTCCCCCCTTCCTCTTATTTATTTATATACGTGTATACGTTAGACGTCAGTTCGGATTAGCTCAAGGTTCCATATATCAATCTTCCATCGTATCACGTACCAACGCATCTGTACGCCGGAAGGTGTTGTCGGTGGTCCTACTTATTGACCTCTATTCCTCTAGTTTCCTCATTTCTCTCATTATTTTCTCTATATATCGATTTTTATTTGCCAGCGCACACGGGACGTACTGTGTTCGCCGCTCTTTACGTTATAAATTTTATCAAAAGCCTTCTCTATACACGATGGCGAACCCTCCTCATGGCGGTGTCCTCAAGGATCTCATTGCGCGAGACTCTCCCAGACAGGCTACGCTTGCGGCCGAAGCCGAAAAGCTTCCCGCCATCACCTTGACTGAAAGGCAACTTTGTGACCTCGAATTGATCCTCAATGGCGGCTTCTCACCTCTTGAAGGTGTGTTTGCCCTTCCCCAAGTTTAGCCTCTCTGATCCTTGCATTTCCCACGAAAGGGGACGCCACATAATTCTATCATAGTATTTGCACCCGCGCATGCTATGAGCGGCGCAGCATTTATTTCCTAAGCCAATGCTTTTAATATGAAAACAAACTCACTCAAATGGGCATCTAGGTTTCATGAACGAATCTGATTATAATGGGTGCGTAAATGTGGAGTTATATGAAGGACTAAGCTTTGCTAATTATCCTACATAGTGTGGTAAGGGACAACAGGCTAGCTGATGGTGTTTTGTTCAGCATGCCCATTACTCTTGATGTGTCGGAGAATACAATCAACGAGGTTGGCCTCAAGCCAGGAGTTAAGGTGACGCTTCGTGACCTTCGTGACGATAGGAACCTAGCTATCCTTACTGTAGACGATATTTACAAACCAGACAAGTACGAGCTGATTCCTATGCGCCACGTCCTGCCTACATGATCTACACCACTAATTACATGTGGACACAATAGGGTTCTCGAGGCGAAGGAGGTCTTTGGGAGTGATGATGAGGCACACCCGGCTGTGAAATACTTGTTCAGGACAGCTGCCGACTTCTACGTGGGTGGAAGAGTGGAGGCAGTCAACCGCCTCCAGCACTATGACTTCGTGGATCTCCGATGTAAGCTAAACCTAAGTCTCGACCCGTTATGCTTCCAGGACTAATTCTAATCCTCATGCAGATACCCCGGCCGAGCTCCGACTACACTTCGATAAGCTTGGCTGGAGCCGAGTTGTTGCATTCCAAACTAGGAACCCAATGCACCGCGCACACCGAGAACTGACTGTTCGTGCTGCTCGTTCGCATCACGCAAATGTGCTCATCCATCCGGTAGTGGGCTTGACAAAACCTGGAGATATCGACCACTTCACCCGAGTGCGCGTCTACAAGGCCCTCTTGCCGAGATACCCTAACGGCATGGCGGTCTTAGGTCTACTCCCGTTAGCCATGCGGATGGGTGGCCCCCGCGAAGCCATCTGGCACGCCATCATCCGTAAGAATCACGGAGCCACCCACTTCATCGTAGGCCGCGACCATGCTGGTCCTGGAAAGAATAGCCAGGGCGTCGACTTTTACGGGCCTTATGATGCTCAATATGCGGTTGAAAAGTACCGTGACGAGCTCGGCATCGAAGTCGTGCCCTTCCAGATGATGACTTACTTGCCTGATAAGGATGAATATGCCCCTGTTGATCAAATACCGAAGGATACCCGTACGCTGAACATCTCTGGCACGGAATTGCGATCGAGGTTGAGGAGCGGCCGAGATATTCCCGAGTGGTTCTCTTACCCCGAAGTCGTCAAGGTATTGCGCGAGTCACATCCCGCACGAGCAGCCCAAGGTTTCACCATTTTCTTGACAGGCTACACAAACAGTGGTAAAGACCAGATCGCCAGAGCCCTCCAGGTCACCCTGAACCAGCAGGGCGGTCGATCTGTGTCCATGTTACTTGGTGAGACCGTCCGACATGAGTTGTCGTCTGAACTAGGTTTCAGCAGAGAAGACCGTAGTAAAAATATTGCTCGTATCGCCTTCGTCGCCGGCGAGTTGACGAGGTCTGGCGCTGCTGTTATTGCCGCTCCTATTGCGCCTTTCGACCAGGACCGAGCTGCTGCTAAGGAAGCCGTCGAAAAATACGGAGATTTCTACCTTGTCCATGTCGCTACACCTCTCGAGTACTGCGAGAAGACTGATAAGCGAGGAATCTACGCCAAGGCCCGCGCTGGTGAGATCAAGGGCTTCACAGGTGTCGACGACCCTTACGAACCTCCTTCCAAAGCCGACTTAGTTGTCGACTGCGAGAAGCAGACAGTGCGATCCATTGTGCACCAAATTGTGCTTATGTTAGAGAGCCGTGGTCTGCTAGATCGCTTGTGAGCACTGCCAGATTCATGTGGTTTTCTCCGGGATCTATGAAGCGATTTTGATAGGAATGGATGTTTCATATCTGAACAGAGGAAAAACTTGGGTCCACTTGTGATTCGAGTATGGGAAACATGCTTGGCGACACAAACGACACTATGGTATTTAAACACGGTGCCCTTACTAGATTTATTGAGTAGGAATAGATGGCAACGTACGGTCGTCTCATGATAATAGACACCATACTATGTCCATATCACGGGAGTGATATATGTATAATAATAAGTACCTACATACATACATGCACTATGTATGTATATACGTTTTGCGAATAGTAGGTGGCGCATATTTACTAGGTACCTACCTATGTAGGTAATGTATAGATGTCTTTTAGATGAAAAACAGATGAAAAACATACCTAAGTATCCTACCTATGCACATGTGTGTTGGAGACTTGGAGTATCCTATTTTAGGCACGGATGAGATGTATATCGTACCTACCTAGGCAGCTAGGTTCTAGGTTAGGTAGATTACATAGGTAGGTAAATATGGAGAACCCCGCTTTTTGCAATAAGTAACCTATACCTTATGGTACACCGAGCATCAGCGCCCCGAGCTTGTAGTAGATACTCACTTACCCGATTTCACAGGTGCCCTTCCTGCCATCGAATCAAAGGCGGCTGCGTAGCGCGTTGAAGGTCCAGCAACCGCCATCACCTTTTTGCACATCTTAACATACAAGTACGGATCCGTACACTTTTCTATCCATTTCTTTTCTACATAACATCTCACTACCCAATATTTGATTCCTGACAGCCCTCATAAATTCATAATAGTCTCCGACGACGCCTTTCCGAGGTAATAAACGTTGCATTCATCCGACATGCGCCAATACGAATGAGCACCTTTTCCTATCCTCCACACATCATCCACACATCCACACATCCACACATCCACACGTCTACATGCCCACACGCCCACACATATTTGACCATTTGACCATTAAACTGTTAAAACTCGGAACTAGCAGTTGGGTCTGGTCGGGCTCGCCAGTCCACCACCGCAATGGGTTCTAAAGATCCCGATGTTAATTCAGCCACTGATGGTCGCCCTAAAGATCGGCGGCGTAGCAAAAGCGAGCGAGAGAGGGATAGGGAAAGGGATAAGGAACGTGTCAAAGCGGACAGGGACAGCCACCACCACCACCATAAATCCCACCGTTCTAAACATAAAATTTCTGCTGATGGTGATTCGCATACCTCTTCACACCGCCGACACCGAACCAAGGAGGAAAAGGAAAAAGACCGTGATAGGAGGACATCATCCATGAACGACCTAGTACCCGAACTTACGAGAACCTCCATCTCTGGCAGCCGGGTCAGCTTGCCATACCCTTCCTTCAGCAAGGCCCATAGTAAGGAAAGTGTGCTCGGCCATGAAGATGAGGTCGTCTCTGCTCACCACCACGAACCTCTCACCCCCGACGCCACAGATCTTGGCTCTGGTAGCCTGAATAGATCTAAATCTACAGAGGGTTCTACGAGTAGGAAGAGCGCGCAGAAGGGTGACCGACCACCCAGTCCTCCCGAAACTGATGTATCCGACGAGAAGAAACGACGGAGCAAGTCCTCCGCCTCGAAGCTAAGAGATGAACACGAATCGGGGTCGGACAGGCCAAGGTCGAGAACCTCCGGTGTATCTCGAGCGAGTTCTAAGCGCGATGACAAGTCAAAGCTGTCCGTCAAGTCTAAAGCCTCAAGCCAGGCTACTACCATACAATCCCCCCCAACTTACCCCCCGCCACCGCCGCCGCCGCCGCTTCCCCCACCGCTAGGTTTACACACTGTCAGCGACGGCAATTCCAACTTGAGCGACAATAGAACAGTGGGGACCCAATCTACCGCCGCTCCAATCGCACCAAAACGGACAGTCTCATCAAGAACCTCGAGGATTCCCAGCCCGATTGAGACCGAAGACTCTCCGGATTCTGTACAGGACTCGTCGCCGAAAACCCCGACGGCTACGCCGCAATTCCCGCTGCCGCAAACTTTTTCAGATGAGAAACCCAACTCGGGTGCGCGGTTTGAAAGACGAGAGCGTCCCACGCCCTCAGTAACCCCCGCCACCGATTTTGGTCCTCCGCCCCCGCCACCACCTCCCCCTCCATTGAATATACAAGAGGTTCCAAGGATAGACTATCTACTTCAGAACGGTGGTCTAATTAACCCTATTCCAAGAAATTTCCTTTCTGTGATACCGCGTCAAAATGGCACGCGGCCGTCCAATCCGCCTCTGGCGGGGCCGGAAACCTTGTTTGCTCCTTTTTTTAACCTTTTAGACCAATACCAGTCGGTTATTCGGCGGCAGGGCTCGGTCGCAGTGGCAACCGGTCATAAATCAGTCGCCCGTAGACTACTCGACCGACTAGAAGACGTATTCTCTCGAGATCTTCCCGCCGAGGGCTGTAGTTGTATCATGTGTGAGAGGGCACCAGAAGAGCACCGGGGTTTGGGATGGGGGGAGGTCTTGGAACGAGTAGGCGGCAGGGTTGAAATGCCTACGTGGCCCCCCTTTGACCTTGCTTCTCTAAGCTCCAATGCTATCGAGAGCGTAGCAGATATGCCTCCCAGACCTGCGTCCCCAGTCAAACTAGACCCCGACATTGCAGAAGAATTCCGGGAGCACTATCTGCGACAGTCCAAGAAGGTCAAATCTGTAGTCGATCGATGGATGAACAACTGCGCCGAAGCGCCTGCGCCAGCACCCTCCGAGATCGACGACGAAACCCTCACATTTGCCATCCTGACAAATATCGACCAAGAAGAACGGCCGTACTTCAATGCACTACTCTCTGGCGCTCGGGAACTTCAACCTGCCGTGAGGGCACCTACCCCATTACGTAAACCAAGAACAGATTTCATGGTCAAGGCAGGTCTTGCTATCCAGCGTATCTACCGTCTACCTCAGACTCCCCGCGACGCAGAGACAGCCGTATTCCTGGTTAAGTATCCTCTTCACCATGATCTTCTTGCAACCATCACCGATATCAATCCTCAAGAATGGGAGATCCTAGTCTCGGGCCGCTTCGACGGGTTTCTCTGGTCCGGAGCCGACGCCGAAGATTTAATGACGCCTATCGCGGACAATCCACTTTCTCGAGGCACTACGCCTGTGAACGGCTTCTCGTCCCCACCTCCTTCCCGGGGTCCCAGTGTACGCCATACGCCAGGGTTTGGCGCTTCTCGCAGCACAACGCCCTTCTCTGGTGTGTACTCCCGCGGCGCAACCCCCGCCTCTTTTCTCTCCCTTTCATCTTCGACCACGCCTGGCCACAGCCGTCAGCCTGTGTCTCACGATGAAGAGTTCGAGATGGCTGTATTGGCGGAAGTAGAGCGAGAGATATACCAGGGCATGGAAGCTCTGGAAGACGCATTTGAAAAACTTCACCTTCGCGCCGAGATGGTACGGAACGCCCTCCGTCAGCGGAATAACGGTCTTTTGATGAGCCAGCAGCATCGCCGCGCCGGGAGGATTGATGTGTTACCGCAATTATCGGGCAACTCGCAAGGCTCGGAGAGACCGCCGTGGGCTGCCGGGGATGATGATGGTGTTGCAAGCGGAAGCGATTGGGGAGGCGACGATTTCGATTTAGCACCCGAAGATTCAGCGAGCAACATCTCAAGCTCGAGACACAGGCGTCCAAAGCGAAGAAACGAGAGGAGGACCCCTGCACCTATCGAAGAAGACGACGAAGAAAGCTATAGCTGATCGGTTAACTTCTAGTACTTTATGCTCACCGAACCATGGATTTATTTTATCTCTTTACGACCATCACGACCTCTGAAACTCGTCGATACCGCTTCAAACTATTATTTGGGATTTCTGTTTTGCATTACCGTCGAAACAAATGAGTGGTGACTTTCCATAATTGAATACTTCGGCAGTGGGGCGAGCAGAAGTAGAAGGGGATAGCCTTTCTGATAGGGCTAGTTGAAGGAGCTCGACCTGACTGAGGTTTTCTACTTCCTTTCCCTCGTCTCATGTCATTTAGCTAGCTATACATGCATGCTTGCATAGGTCTGGAGTCTATATGGTTCATATGGTTCATATGGTTCACCTTTGAAATGGATGTTGCCTCCCTTTCGTCTTCCATTTACACTGTTAGCAAAGATGAGGATGTTACCAATACACCAGCTGCTAGTGAAGAGGAAATTTCGGTTATTTGATACCATCATTGACATATATATTAAAATTTGTTAGCTGTGATGTTGTGTACGTACTCTAGGCATATTTAAGCTTAAAGCTTCGTATGCCCAATCATACATGCCATTGCTGAAACTCGGCCGTGTTGACATATCCTCTAGGTTAAGTATGGTGTTTTTTTTATATGTTTTCAATTTTATTTCATCACAATTTGTCTTGAGAAGGACAAAATGGGATACTACCCACGAGATTACTCCTCGTATAACTAAGCCTCTTACGCCAAGACATTCAAATCCGAGTACGGTGAGAAGTCGAACAAGCGGATTAGCCAATCGGGCAGAATGTCGGGTCGCGGCTACAAAATCCTAGGTGTCTGTTTAAATCCTCGTAATAATCCTAAGACCTACTTGTAGGTACTTGAATACTTACCTAGGTACCTAGGTAGGTAGGTACCTATCTATGGAGAATGATATCAATTTGTCAAATGTCAACGCCAGATTTCGAGTAGGTTTTTGATAGATCTCAGGGAAGAGTAGACTAATAAATCGCCCGGGCTATGTCCCGTCATCTTCAATTTGATCGATGAGCATTTGTATTTTATGTAGACATGAAGGCAACCTAGGTAGTTTAGCATCGATTCATCGCTACCTAGTGTGTAGTCTTTCTGTGCTGGCGCTGTGGCGTCAGCCTACCTACATTGCAACTTGTGCTGTAGGTATTGTACGTAGATATGTAGTCTAGTAGTGTACTTGTACTTGCCCAAAAGAAGTGGAATTAGGATCTAGCTTTCCGTCACGGACTAAATTGGACCAATCAAATGGTTGCACGCAGTCATATCCATACGATCTTATACCAGGGTCAGAGCAGACTTAGTCGGTCGGCACTGACCTCCCCACTGATAGCCCGATATAGAGGACGGGAGTAGCGGGTGATTAAGATAAAGCGAATATAGTTCGAAGTTTCCGTCTGAGGTTGTCCTCACCCGTATGTGCTTACGGTAACTACATACCACTCGGTACATATGTATATGTACGTATATACCAAGTACCTACGTGTGATGCTCACCTCAGGGCTTGGTACTTTGTTTTGGTATCTACCCAAGTACTTACATATGTACCTATCTAGGTACATCTTGTTAAAACAAATTATTGATGCCATCCGATGTTGCCAATCGTTTCTTCCAACCTAGCTAGCTAGCATACATCACTTCTTTTTACCATGGAACTTCAATATCTTCGAGTTCCCTCTCGCACAACTCCCTTCGTTTTCACCTTCGTTTTTACCTTCGTTTATGGAAATCGACCTGCAATGAACAGCGTCAACGTTCAGTAGGTGCTCCCAAATCCACCGTCTGGCATCGCCGATATACCTACTATACTGTGCCTGTCTCAGTAGTCGATAAGTAGTCGATACACGCTTCTAGTTACATCCGCGTCCGTCTAGGATGATCTTCAGTGACGCATAGTAGTTGGCAACAATCAGCAGGACTAACTGCCTCATATCTCCATACCTACGAACCCCCACTCGATACACTTATTTTATCCCGTGGATGGTCATCCTAGGCCGTCTTATATAGTCAAGATGCTACACTATCTTCGGTTGAACTCACTGATACTTCTCACCCTTCGTGGGCTAACTCTATTACCCACAACATGTGCCAAGGACACGCATTACATTAGCGGGACGAGCCTAGATGGGATCACGACGAGGCTGGCGCTCGACAGAACACCTGCCTTATACACAGGCGATTTTGGTGATTGTCTCGGGGGTCAGAGCTTGCTGAACGTGACCAAATTCGACGCTGCCTTCTATTACGATAATTCCACCATTCTCTTCCATCTCGACGGCACTACAAATATCAGGAATGAGAGTATTATGCGTATAGATGCCCAACGTTTTTATACCGAGTTCTAAACTAATTGCACCATTAGTATATATATCTGTGGAAGCCTATGGCGAAAGCAGGTTTTCGATGACGGTAAACCCGTGCAACGTGAACATATACAGGTAAAGCCATCCCAACCAGGTGGTCCCGGTATCTCTTCATACTAACAATCCAATCAGTATGTGCCCCCTGAGTACCGAACAACCGGTCGAGGCTTTCGCTTTATTCCCGATTGGCCCTCAACAGGTGTCTGGCATCCCACAGATCGCATACGAGGTTCCCGATATCGAGGGCTATGCAAGAATCCAGATTTTTGCCAACTCAAGTCAAACCGAGATTGGATGCTTCCAAGCAGTTATGCGGAACGGCAATTCGTTCTCGCAACCAAAGTCGGTCAGTGCCGTCTTAGGAATATTTACCGCCGTAGCCATAATAGCGTCGTTTGCAACAGCAGCATATGGTGTAAGTATTCCTCACATGAGAAGTCACTACGCCCACAGTTTATCCATACTCGTCATATTTGAGACTTTTCAGTCAATATTCTTCTCTGGCGCATTGTCACTGCCCTGGCCGAGCGTACTCCCAGCCTGGTGGAGCAACTTTGCGTGGGCGGCTGGTTTAATATCAAGTTCGAACGTGGTGCGCTCCCTCGACATCTTTGTTGGCGTCAGCGGCAATGCAAGTCAGGTTGGAGGTGCCGGTTCTACCATCATCAACAACCAAGGAGGACTTACCCAACAGATCTATGGCCGTTCGCTCATGTCGAACGTAACAACCCAAGCATTCGACAAGCGAGTTCCAGAAACTGTTCGAGATATTGTCAAGGCTCTAGCTAGGAGGGAGCCCTACAACCCAAACGACCCCTATGACTACAACTGGAATGGCGATCCGGTACAGCCAGGGATGCCCTTGCCTGGGGATTGGACCGGCTTCGCGGGTGAACTGGCAGAGCTGGGCATTCCTGGTCCAAATGCATTCATGGTTGGTATAGTGTGGCTATTAGTCGCCCTAGGGCTCGTGGTTATCTTCATAGTCGCCTTAAAATATTCCCTTGAAGGGCTAGCAAAGATGAGGTGGATTAAGCAGGACCGCCTCGAATATTTTCGATTCCACTGGACTGGTTATTTGAGCGTTGCTATACTAAGAACGCTCTTCCTTGCTTTCTTCTCTATTGCAACACTTGCGATGTTTCAATTTTCCGTACGTGGCTCGGCCGGACCTACTTCGATAGCAGCAATTGTATTCGTCATCTTCATTCTCGGTATAGGAGGATTAGTACTATACGCTCTTCATTTTAGGTTACGTTTCAGCACATTTTCAGCGGATCCTGACCGCATCTTGCTGCGTACGCGGAAGATATTTGGCCGTCTTCCCTGCGTCTTCCCGGTGCGTATTAGCCAACTAAAAGAAGAGGAATTGGGCGAGAAGCCGGTCGGATCCTGGCCATTTATTCGTTGCCATTTCGTGGACAACGACCCCAATCGAAAGAATATCCACCAGGATGAGGAGTACATAAAAAGGTTTGGCTGGCTGTCGGCACGTTACCGACTCTCGAGATGGTGGTTTTTTGCCTTTTGGCTGGCGTATCAGTTTGTTCGAGCTTGTTTCCTGGGAGGTGGTGCGGGCAACCCACTCGCCCAAGTTTTTGGGCTATTCATTGTCGATATTCTTGCGTTCGTCATCATTGCAGCACTTAATCCATATGAAGGGCAGCGCAATACGGCCCTAGCCGTTTGGCTTCTAGGTCTTACTCGAGTGGCGACAACCGGGCTTTCGATTGCTTTCCTCCCCGATTTCAACCTCAGTCGTATTGTAGCTACAGTTATTGGAGTCATCATTATCGTGATTCAAGGCCTTCTTACAATTGCGGTGATGATTCTAATAATCATTGGAGGCATCTCGTCTTGGATGTCACTATCCCGAAACCGCGAATATTTCAGCTCGGAAATGCTCGAAGGGGTCCGTATTCGGTACTTTGAACACATAGCTCAGAGGGCTACCGATGAGACCCCTCCACCAAAATCAAAATCGAAGACAGGCCCAAAACCTGATTCTTCGAACGGGTGCCCAGAGCTCCCGAAAGAGCCTTATTTTACTGTCACCTCAGTGCGACGAGCCCCCAAGATTGAAGATGAAGGGGATGACTACCTACCTGAGATCAACTCAGTTGATGCTGCTAGTGGTGCAACGTCCACTCCTAGCCTTATGAGGAGAGCCGGTCGCTCTACTAGCATCAGTTCACGGCACTCGGCGAGTAATCTACCTCGTGGCGCTCGAGTTCATCGTGCTTCATGGAGTCCCAGAGACTTCTCTCAGGGGGAACAACTAGACCAGGATCGGCCCACTGCTCTTGCGCAGCAAACGAGTGATAGTTCAGGTCATATTGGGGTCAACTCCCCAAATATTGCAGCCATTTTACAAGGGCAACCATTCGCTAGTAACCTTCAAACAGTAGCGACGATCACCGGAAGCAAGCCATTTACTAAAGAAGTCCCCGAGGTAGAATCAGGTCTACGCGAGGCTGAGGAAATTGAAAAGGATGCGGAAAACGCTTGTCTGGAGGACTCTCAGTAGTCATGGGAATCTTCAGACAACTCCAGGGTGGTACTTATGAAATGATTATTGGATACCCATCCATGACGCATCCACATTCACCCCAATAGCTTGTACCACTATTCCCCTTGCGCAATTTGACCCGTTGTTTGAAAGACCATTCTTTGGCGGCACATCCCCGACGGTCGATAAGAACATCGGGTGGGCGTATGGGTTGTGTAGCAAGAGTATATCGATGAGGCGTTGGGTGTATTCGAACTGTATTCTATGATATTTGTTGGTTTTCAAGCTTTTAGGTTAGCTCGAATGATTAGACGAACCGATAGGAATCGTAAGCCGGGAGAGCCTTTGGATAGCTTTCATTCACCTATGAGCTGCAGTTTTAAGACATCTTCCCGGCCGGTTCACTACTGCTTTCTAGAACGAGAGTTGAGATCGCTTTATTCGCATGGTAGGTTCCTTAGACCTGGCACTCGCAGAGTAGATGTAGGACATTAGGAATCGGTGATCTAGTTATTTAGGTAGCCAAGCCGTACAATTGGTACTGGGCTGTGAAGCTCCGGTCGAAATATTTAGATTATATAAAAATTGCATCATAGGTAGTGGCAAATATGTCGTTGGCACATTAGCTGGAGTTCTGCAATGCGTTATGGAATCCGAAAAAAGGCTCCGTAAATAGGGTGCCGGGAGGAGGGGTGGACCTCGCAAATAGGATTAACGCAAGGGTATTAAAGCCATGGGGAGAATGTAGATAATAGTAGAACGTCTTGAAAAACAGACAGTGTCTCCTGAATATCTAGACCATCACGCCTCGCCTACCTCAGACTTTTACTACATACCTAATATACAGAAATGTTGAGCTATACGTTAGTACCATGTAAGAACAGCAGAAAGGAAACGTGCTAGAGAGAGCAGTAGTAATATATAAGCTCTAGACACGTCGATATCACAGGTGGACGTAAAAGCGTATTCGTCTTCGGACAACCTTGGAAGTCATTGGGTAAGGCTACTCACTGAAGAAATCAAATGCTAGCCCATCAGTTGTGATGTGCGCAATGTGGTATCATTCTGGGCAAACTGCCGGCCCTAATCTAACCGGTGTATCTTTTCGTTACCTGTCCGCCTTCCTAACTCTGTGCCAGGATCGGGTAACAAATGAACAAAATATGCTACCAACTCAAACTTCCCAACACGGTGCTGCTCTCTGCAAAAAGTCTCCGCCAAGAAACAAGCACGCTCCGTGCCAAATCAGCGCTTATTCTTCGATAACAGATAATAAGACGTCGGCGCTTGTCAATAGTGATACTAGGGACAAGGGAGAGAAGGTATGTGGGCAGCCCCCGCCCCCAGAGCCTGTCAACTAAAGGTTGCTGCGTGAGAGGGGTAGATTATCAGGCGGCGGCCGTCATAGACAATCGATTCTTCTTGGGAATTTTCGCGCCCTTGGCCGCCGCGGCCTTTTTGGAATCGTTTTCCTCGGCTTTCTGTGAGAAGTCCTTCCATTTCCTCCATCCATCAAAGTCGATCAGGGCCTGCATGCAACCCCACTCCATCACCTTCCGCTCGAGCCATACGAAGTTGACAGGCTACATTTCTTACGTTAACAGAGATAAAAAAGCGAGCAAGGTGGCTTAGATCTTACCTTGGTTAGGAAATCATTACAACCAGCCGCTAAGGCCTCATGCCTGTCGCTTTGCAACGAGCTTGCTGTCAAGGCGACAATGATGACCGGGCTCTTGAACATTTCCGTATTCACGAGCTTATCCTCCTCTGCGGGCTCAGCCTTGACCTCGTCCGGGGGGCTACTAGCAGAGGAAGAGAAGACGCCGATCGAATTGACTTTCTCTATCCTCCTTATCTCTCGAGTAGCTTCCAGACCACTCATGACGGGCAGCTGGATATCCATCAAAACCAAATGAAAGCCGCCAGCGCGCCACTTATTCACGGCTTCTCTACCGTTCATAGCTGTCTGCCATCGTACTTTTAATCGCTTGACGAAGGCTTCTAGAAGTTTGAGGTTGATGATGTTGTCTTCGACGATTAGGACGTTGATAGGTGGGACGCCACCGTTCAACATGCCCGGTGGTAAGGATGGGTGTTCGGTAGCTTTCTTAGTCTTCTTTGGCCGGTTGATGGGTCGTGGCGAAGATACGCGCGGAGGCGGAGTAGCGGTGCGTTCTGGGACGGGGGGGGTCGGGATCGACGGGGCGGTGGGCGGGTGGTTGGAGTGTTCTGAAGATGCACCTGAATGAGTCCTTGAGCGCGGTTGTCTTGGGTAATTGTGCATACCGGTAGGCGGCGCAGCGGATTGTGAAGCATGGCCGTTGGCAATTGTGGACACTGGCGACGCAGTGTGCATCCTCTGGATCTTAGGCCTTGCTCCAAGCCGCCTTGTCCCGCCCGGGGACGGTAGTGGTGGCAGTTGACCTCCACCGAGGATGGTTAGGGAGGGAGGGAGATGGAGCTGGTGAGTGGCATTCACGGCGGCTAAAGGGGCACCGGGATGTTGGGAAGCGGGCGGATATGGTGGGAAGTAATCAGTTCCCGATTCATGAGGCCGATCGTCGCCGCCATAATACCTAGGATTCGGGGAGGCCTTGGGAGTTCGACGGCTAGGTATGTCAATCAATAGGGCATCGTCGACAGACTGGCCACCTGGGTAATACGCATCAAGAGTCCTACCCATGGGCTCGTCAGGTTGTAATGGTCTAGTTGTCTGCTGCTCTCTGTCGCATATACGAAGGGTTAAATCTGGAGCGTCAAATTGGCGACCGAGTGAGTTCGCATATTTCCTCAAAATCAAGTCGCGGACGTCGTCGACCAAGTCTTCCTCGTTTATTGTGATCAAGGTAGGAGATGCGAGGGGTCTTTTGACCCAGACCTTTCTTGTAACCATATTTCCACTTATAGGTAGAAGTTGATCCGGTTCAGGCGAACCTATTTCACTAGCATAGCCCGTATTCAGGAGGGCTTTAATTAGGGTAGTTTGACGATTCGGAAGGATACTCTGTCGCCTCGGCGGGGCAGCGGGCCGAGGAAGCGATGATGACGAGGGGGATAGTGCGCGGCCGGCGGATACGGGTCTGTTATCGTCGTCGTCGCCGTGATGATGGTGATGATGGTGATCGACGGTAGACGACTTTAGCTGTAGAGCGGAAGCAGAGGGATGATATTCGTGGATGCTCGGCAACGGAGAGACGGCGGCGGTGGCTGTGACTGTGGCTACGGTTGGGTTTGTATTTGTGGTTGAGGTTATAGTTGAGTTTGCGTCTGCGTCTGCGTCTACGTTTGCGTTCGCGTTTAGATCTAGATCGGTGATGGCGGGTACGGGTGCGGGTACGGGTATGGGTATGGGTATGGGTACCGCTGTAGAATTGATTGAAATAGCTTGTAGATCCTTTCCCGACTTGGAAGTGGTGGGAGCAACGGGAGAAGCGCAAGCCGTGTCAGATCGGCTCAAGTTGTTCACCTTTACCTCCACCTCCACAGCACCGTGAAGGCCGCGAGTACCGTGAAGGGTATTTCGGTTAGTAGAGTTGCTGACTAGGTCTAGGTTTAGCTGATTTAGCTTCTCTAGGTGGTCTAGATGGTTTAGCTGCTCTAGCTCTTCCTCCTCTAGCTTCGGTGGAACTGTGTCAGCTTCTCGTTCTCTTTGACCACTTTGACTACTTTGATTACTCCCACCCCCCGGGCTTCTTCGGCTTCTTCTATATTCTCCATCTTGGCTCGGGGCTACGACAACAACAACGCCATCATTCCTCGGTGAACTGTGGCGAGAGGAATGATCAGATCCATGGTCACGGCTGGAACTACCATTAGCATCGCGCTCCCTCTCGCTACTCCCCTTCTCATCCCCAGCAGCAGTACTTAGAGACGCTGCATAGCCGGTGATAGATGTGTTGGTATGTGTGCTGCTGGATGCTCGATTACGGCCAACGCTATGCTTGCTGGAGCCCAGCGAAGGAACACCACTGTGCCTTCGCAGGAGCTTAGCCTTGATCCGGGCTTTGAAATCGCCCATCTAGATCTCTCGTCGCGCAAATTCATAGGGGGGGTTAATTAGAATGAGAACTTGCTGTCTTTGCAACACGACCGATATAATATGTGCTAGTGAAAAATAGTCGAGCCCGAAAGTAGGACAACGACGGTATTAAAGGAGGTAGAATAGACGATGAGGGAGAGTGAAAGATTCTAAACGTGGGGGGGAGCCAAAAGTCAAAAGTGCCATCGAATTGCGTTCGTTTACAAAATATATATGCCGGATCCAATATAACTATATGCGTGTGTATCGCACATTCCCTAAGTTCTTCAAAGCTCCTAGTGGTAGGTAGGAACATTGAATGTAAAAATAATGAATTGCCCGCAGGTACTAGTAGGCATATATGTGTTATGTATTTAACAGGGAGATTAGAAGGGGGGAAGTTGAAAGTAAGGATACCACTAGGTACCTACCTATATGCAAAGCTTCGTAAATAATGTCCCTTAACAACGCCTATATTAATATTTAACTTAATAATATGTAGTACCGCATCGTCGTTACTTTCTAGAATTTCGACCCAGAGGAAAATCAAGCCATTATATACCTCCAGCTATAAGGTACCTACATGTAGTAAACTAATACCTACCTATGTACCTAGTAGTAGTCACTTCGAGCATCCTAGCATGTACAGTATATAGCAGTGTAACAGGTGGTAATGTTTTCAGTAGAAACCCTCCATAGTCTTTAATAAATTATAGGGAATTATGAGAGCTCTCGTGCATGAGGATCGCGATTATCCATGAGCCGGAGCAGGGATTCCTGCATCATATGTGTCGTCTCATTTCAATTAAAGGTCTTACAGTACTCAAGTGTTTCCATATCCATGTCATTTTAATTCTTAATCTCGATATAAAGTATCTATTATAAAAACTAACAGGAACATACTAGGAACAGATCAAGAATATATTAGGTATTTAAAATACCTAGGCATACAACTGGAAATGATTTTTTTTTTTTTTAAAAAAAAAAAGGTCATCATGTTTTCAGAAGGTTATTAAGTCGCCGCAATGGAACCGGTGGACCAGTATGAAAGCTTAAGCAAAGTCTAAGACATTCTAGAGCGGTGCACAGACCTTGTGGAGGTAGTACAGATTACATAACCCCAGTCTAGAATCGCTGGAAGGTTCTTCCGGATCCGATATCCAACTTTCTTCAGCAAGGTTTTCTCTTCTTCCGCAAATTCTTATTAACCCTTTCCATACATCCTACAGTTTGAGGCGTTATATGTCGCCGCGATGCCACCACGTCTACTTATTCCGTCAGCGTCAGCGGCAGCGGCAGCATCTGCCGTGACTAGATCGACTCTACCGTTGAACGTGAACCAATTGATCTCCTTGTTACGCTCGCAGACTAAGGCTAATTTTTCAACAACCTCAAATCGTACTCACTTCAGTAAGGGACGCCGGTTATTCAGGCAATGGATAAAAGGTTTCGGGGCTACCTTCCGGAAACATGTTCCTGGGGATACCAATTATCTCCGAAGGAATGATTTTGATTCAAAGTCTGACAAACCATTTCCGATCAATCCCCAGTTCAGAAGTGAGCCTGTCTTAGATGATCACGCCAGGGAATTGATCTGGGAAAAGGTAATGCGAAATGGCGAGGCCATCAAGGCAGTATCTGCTGAACTGGGTGTTGATATTAGAAGAGTGGCTGCGATTGTGAGGTTAAAAGAAGTCGAAAAAGACTGGTTAGCCAAAGTTAGTTGTTCCCTTTTCGCACCTTTCTCATCTCAACCCTACTCCGCGTTTTTTTATGATGACTGTAACATACCCAATTCGATAAGTCTTGAAGACATACACATGGTTACAAACATTGTTGCGAGCCTCTCTGATCTTAGCGCTCTCCATCAATTTCGAAGTCAGGCAATCTTTGATGGCGACTATTGCTAAAACATCCGCAACCTTAGGGGCAAATTTTAGCGAAACCATATGCGAAGGCTATATTGGCTATGCTTCCTACCCACACATTCAAGGCCGATCAGCGGAACGAACCCTTCGAACCCATTAATGAACTTCATGTACATCCGTACACAATGAAGCAGATCTTCTGGCCAACATCTGAGTCGCGACACTTCACTCGTGCCGATGCCGCCAAGGCCTTTCATCCCAAGATGCTATCGGCAGATGAGCGAGTCCCTCACCCAGAATTAATTCAGATGGAGAAAGAGGTGTTGGAAGGTCACTCACTTTGGGACGCTTCAGAGAGATTTAAGCAGGCTGTGATGGAATCGGAGAGAAGGGCAGCCCAGAAAGAAATTGAAAAGGCGAGTATAGAAGAGAAGTATACCACCCGAGTACACACGAAGCGTTTTGAATATCGCTTCAAACAGATCAATTCGGAGAATGTCGGTTCCAAGGGCCGGGCTCGGAATGCGGTTGGTTGGAGGTATGGTGCACCGCACTACGACCGTTCCAAGGGTGAAATCAAGATTCCCACCTCAGTACCTTAACACTAAGCGAGTCTATTATGTGAGAATCTGTACAAAATCTGTACGAACATATTCAAACAAACATGGGGACGGGCAACCCTCGAAACATCTAACTGCTACACATTCGTCTATGGATAACAGACCCCCAAAAAAGCAGCTAGCTTCTCCGTGTACACATATTACCGAATATTTGCATCTACCCAACGACTATAGCAATAACTTAGCATGATTCTGCCATGGCACAATCCCCTCGTTCGCCTCGTTGACGAGGTTGCTTCGCAGCTGCTTAACACCCTCGGCTGAGAGTAACCCCAAGTTAACAACGCACTTCTCGACAGTGCCGTGGATTTCACGAATCTTGGCTAGCGTTCCCAACATAGCCTCTTTTCTATAAGATAATGAGTCAGCCTTCCAATATATCATCGCATCGAGGGGAAGTGAAACCAGGGAGTAAAGGAAGACGCCGGCAAATTTTTTAAAAAAGCAAGAAAGGGATGAAGAACATGTGAAATGTGAGTCTTTGAAAGGCGTACTGGGACGAAATCATCCTTTGGGCAGATAGAGGGTCGTTTTGTAACGACGGGTTATTCATCAAATGCGCGATAAGCTCGGCGTGGCGCTCCTTCAACCCTAGGTTCGTTAGGCTATACTCGTGTGCAACGACCTCGTCAATTACGCCACATAAGCTTAGGATCAGCGCGCAGATCACTCCGGTCCTATCCTTGCCAGCGGTGCAATGGATAAGGCAGGGTGCAGGCGACGAGGGCAAAGATGAGGCTAAATATTCCAGGATTGTCTTGAACGGCTGGTAGTCGTTGCTTGGAGAGGCCGCCGCTGCAAGGATGTCACTATACGCTACCACGAAGCCCTAGTTAAGGACAAATTGTTAGTCAAGAGTCCTTAAGCTAGGTGAATACGCGGGTTGAACTGTCAGCCTCCTGGGACGGGTTGTGACTAAGTAAAACACGCGAACAAGAGGCACCCTGTATTATGTATCGAGTTTTGGACACGGTGGATGGAATGCCAGCATCTCAACAGGCCCATTGACCACATGCTCTTGAGCAGTTCAACCTTGGCCGTAAGGAAGGCTAGGTCTCGGCCCCCAAATGCAAGATTGTCCCCAGCCCCAATCATAAGACTGCCGCTTGGCCGAAGCTAGTCTGCGGGCCGAGCCAGAGCGGTCGGAATAGTTCCTTCATAGATTGAAGCGTAACTCTTGACCTTATCCTACCTTCCCTCATGGCGCAGCACATGTAATGCGACACATACCTGTGCACTCTCGGAGGAGTAATTTTTGTATCTCAAGGCTAATGCCTCAGGTGAGAAGTCCTGATCGAGGAAGACGGGAACAAATTCGCGGCGAGCGCCATCCCACTCTTTCACCTTCCACCCGCTGTCATTGCCGTGAAATCCATACTTGATCTCAGCGGCTGAACGTAGGTCAAAGACCTTACTAATGCCCAGACTTTGCAGCTTTGATACGCCGTCTTCGGTGACCTTAGAAGGTTCCGATGAGCGGTAAACTAGACCACGGCGAACAACTCTCGTATTTGAGCCATCCTGAGACAGGCCGGAGTCCGAGGTCATGTCTGAGCAACTGACTGGGTAGCCTCCGATGTCGCGGAAGTTCGGTAAGCCCGGAATAGTATGGAAGGGCGGGCTAGGGAGTTCTTCCGCCATCATACATTGATAACTTCCCTTAGACGAAGTTTACCGAGAATAAATCAGAGAATTTCGATATTAGCTGAATTCATTGTACGAGGCTAGCTTAAAGGATGTAAATAGAGTGAGCACGTAAGCGTTCGGAGGTGGTCCGGAACAAATATCACAAAGTGGAGATGAATAAGAGTAGCCAATCAATCTCGGTAGAATCGATTCTTTCATTGGTTGGTGGTAGATCCCCCGAATACATATGTCAAGTCACACTTTCACCGCAACATGGTGGCGCATTCGACTTTATGAGTTGTCAATTGATGGGGAGGAACCATCAATGGAGTAACCTAGTTACCCATGTTCGGTGAATACTTAACATATGTAGAAGCGTATCTCGAAGTTTTGAATATTACTAATAGGGAAGTGAGGAGAGCATTTGAATGGAAACACGAGTATACAGTACTTACCGACCTAGGGTCCTAGATGATGTAGTAGGTACATATATAGAATACGCTACTGGGTTCCTACATAGGTACATGCATACATGATATATGTAAATGCTACATGCTCCAAGCAAGTTTTTAGCAAGTAGCCTGCTATTATAGGTAACATGTAGTATTTTTTCTTACTCATCATCTTACAAAGCCTACCTAGGTATCTAGGTACTGATACTAGGTATATGTACCCAGAATACTACCTAGTATGTACCTAGTACCTAATAGATCTCTCATCACGTACATAGGTGGGTTTTGAGCCTGAATCGATTACATACATGTTTAGGTACCTACAACGTACATACGTGCATACATGCATGCATGCATACATACCGAAAATCCTTCTAGGTACCTAGGTACTCTCTGTCATCTTTTTTTACCTTTTTTTCCCCTCCCATCCCCTCCTCTCCTCTCCTCTCCTCTCCTCTCTTCTCCGGCAGAGCCTCATGTGGGGCCGCAATCTAAGTGTACGTCCCCCTCCCCCTTTACACGTATCCCATGTTTGAAGCAGCCCCGTGGATGACCACAACCCTTACCTACCTTACATGTCAAGCCATTTATAAGTACGTAGATGTTCTTCCATTAACGACCTGATTGAGAAGTCTACACAGGCAACAACGTATTCTCGGCTCAATTGGGATTAGCAATGTGACAGTATACTCTATGTGACCGCTCTAGTAGCCTGACTCAGCTGCAAGTACAATTATAGTTACTTATTTGATAATCTATGCACTTATATTAGCCCTTGGCCCCCTCCTCGATATCACTAACCCTCGGGGGCGAAATCTATATAGATAGTCGCCGCAGCCTCCTATTTCCCACCGCTATTTCCACAGGCCAATCCGGCTGACGGGTCCGCCCCAGGTAGGCTCTGTCTCGTGATTCTTGCGAAAGCCTTTTAGCTGCGACCAGAGTCGACTGCCTTGGCTCGACCATTATGTCAAGTCTCGCAGCTGCAGGTGCTGTCGGTTTGCCCCTAGCTGAGTCCCCGATGCGAGGATCCTTGTGCCAATAGATGGATAAGTGCCTAGCCTTTTCGGTATCGGTTTGGCGAAACCTTTCAATGTGGAAAGTGGAGTGCAGACGCGCCTGTCCAGGCGAGTTAGCCATTATAAATCTGGTTATGGAGCCAAAAATTGGCCTTGTCTCCTAAAAAGGGGTCATCTACCAGGTTGTAGTCATATTATAGCAGCGCTCGTGTTCCCAAACTTGCTAGAGGCAGCCTTGAGCTTGGGTCCCCAAATTGACGCACAGCATTGGTCCTCAGGGCGCATGCATGCCGTCACTCATCCTTTCATAGCCCCATCTTGTTTTAGTAATAATAACATAGGCCTAGCAGAATGCCGCAGTAACTATGGTTATTGTGAAAGGAGGCTATAGGCAATCGCTTTCTTGCAGCGGCGATGTACACAGATCCACCAATTATGTAAATCCAGGGAGGAGCTGTAACCATGAAAATATTCTATCGTTCTATATCTTGTCTATATCAATGAGATCTAATGGCGATACATATAATTCAATAAGTGCCTCCTTTTTCAATCTAAGGATTGACTCTGAGAAACTTTCCAACCCGGGCGTGAGCCATCCTTTCCTTCTAAGACCACAAGCAAAAACAAATGTCCGAAAACCAAGAAACGACATCAACTATGGTGGCTGAGAAGACACAGATACCAGATATATGTTTTCGTGTTCAACTTTTAGGTGGCTATACCGGACAGGGGTATCGTTGGAAGGCGTCGTGCTTGGGGAAAGCTATACAGAAACTTCTGGATAATATTGCTGTACTACCCCTTGATTGGCTGACAACCTACTTTGCGATGTAAGTCTCGCAGCAAGAGTCGCTCCTTATGTGTCCACATTCAATGCACGAATTATTGTAAATATATGACTGATTTCCACCCTTGACGCAAGAACACTTCAAGCATGTTAGTGTTAGACGTGGGCGATAGAAGAAATAGGTGCTCACGCATTTCCATCTCCAACTAGCGTCAGGCCTGCCCGATGCACCGTAGATGGCCAAAGACGTTCCGCAGGATAGGTCACCGTCGACGAAGGATCTATCGGCATGGTATGCGTGAGAATTGCAGCGGGTGGGCTCGCTGGCGTTCGGATATACCGTCTCGGTGCTATGAAAGGCCATGTTTGATATCAAAACCAAAGTTTTTCGAAACAGATAACAGGTGGAAAGTCGTTATATCGGTTTATATATGGTGAGGGGATGATTGTAGAAAATATCACGAACAACATTGAGGGTATCTTCGAGAGATATGGAGGGTCTTATACCTTTACTCGTAGATAACCACAGCCTAGTACTAAGCAGATATACGATTCCATTCGAATCGGCCTATGTTCTCCCAAAAACACTTTGATCATCATTTTCATGAAAATTCAGTGGCTAAGTTGCTGTGTCAGCGTTGCAAAAAGTGTCGTATGACTGTAGGATTCGGTAAGGACAACCAGTACGCCCATTAAAATCGCTAGGTATCCAAGTGGTTTAACGTGAAACATTGTATCTGACAGGCTTAAAATGAAGGCGGTATAGCCAGCTGGTTGAGTGGCTTGAAGTTTGACATGTGATGCCTTTTCCGTCAAGGAGACCCGAGCAAGTTCGGTAGGACATAGAATCCACTCGAACGGACAATTTCGGTAGAATAAAGGCTGTTGATTGACCCGTTCATCTCGCGATACCGACCATAGTCAGGGTATTCAGGTAGTGAATGATACTCTCACGAACATGCTTCAGCCTACTCGTTATATGGACTTCGGCAATGTTCCAATACCTGCGCTGCATATGGATTGGTTCCGCTCTCTCGGTAGCCATTCATTCATGTGACGCCGCTAAAGGGAGTAGCGGGAGTAGCATTGCATAGCCATGAAGACATGAGATCCCATGGTACTCATAGGGCTGATTGTTCCGCCTTCGATTCTGGTTGGATAACCAGTCTTTGTACCTGTGAAACCGCCACCATAACCAGAGGTTCGATTCTCGCGATAAAAACATAGGACCACTCGCACTGCTTACCGGAATCGGAATGACTGCAGCAGCATACGCATTTCAAGTGATCTGAAATCACTGTCAGTGATATGAAGATTAAGTAAATATCCATGTGGACAAGGCAAGGCAGAAGGTAGAATGTGCCACCCGGCACTTTGATGAAATGCCGTGCTCAAGAAAGAATATATGGTGTAAGCAAACTGTAGTTAATTTATGTGTAACCTCGTAGCTGTGGTATATATTATGTAGTAAGAAACGGTAAGCGTTGCCGACAGCCTGACTGACTACTGGCCCAGTCGAGGACTACAATCTTTATGTAGATACATTAATGTCCTACTCGTATTAAAAGAGAGACGTTCTCTGCGGCTCTCAACGTATGTCGTGGGACTCAAAAGATACGTGCAGCAGATTCGGAGTGAGGGATGGTTGGGGCTCTTTCTCATTGGGCCGGCCTTTGGCTAATTGGACCAGATGTCCCCGTGTTGCCCGGCATGGCGGAGGAGCGTATGATACCAATTCCTCGGGTCTCATAAAAAAAGAAGAGTCCTACTAATAGGGTAGAACCGCCGTTCCTTCTATGAGTAATATTACTAATAGAGACATGTCGATGCCAGTAATGAACTTGGCAAATGAATACCTACATATGTATCTTTTTGAAGTAGGCACTTGGTAGAGACAGCGAAATTTGGTAGGTCTTACCCCTGTTTTTTGGTTTAAGGTTGTCTTGGACCTTGCTTGTTAGTCTCTTGGCATTTCCATATTCGGCAAGTAGTGCATGGCACTTGTCCATAAATATCGTAGCGCAAGACAGGGTCCTTCGGGAAGCACAGACAAGAATCGAAGCCAAGTTGAATCTATCAACCAATAGAAAACATCCATCTTTTAGTAGTTTTAAGGTTACTTAGAATGTAATACATGTAGGTACCTATTTACCTAGGGATGTACTGTACCTAGTCAAAACCTTCAAGGTTATCATGCCTTGCCAGCCTGCGTGCCCAACGTAATTACGTCAGAGGCGCGAAGGCCAAAAACACCTATGGGATGTCGCAAACTTCGATTACCTACCTCATACCTGCCTACCTACCTACCTACCTACCATACATGTAGGTATGTAGTAGATACCCAGTAATCTCTAACACAATTCGTGTTTTTCGTACTTTGCGCCATCCATTTTGCCAAAGGTCTCGTTGTATCTTGCCGAGAGAGACTATCTATCCGTCTACGCATCTACTACCGTCGCATTCCCTATTCTCTCTGCTTCATTCATTCAACTTTGCGACTATGGAAATTCTAGGCATGAAAGTGGGCTATCTGCTCTTTTCGGTTCTTCATTTTGCTCAATTCGTCTTGGCAATCACCGTCTGTGGCTTATATGGTGTTGACTTGCAGCGCGCGCGTTCCCATGGCAAATATATGGATGGGAAATGGGTAAGCTGGTTGATTCTATTGCCTACTACAAGCGGACATACACGCATTATGGCTACACCGAGAAGGAAAAGAAGCTAACGAGTACGCTCCCGACGTATAGGTTTATGCGGAAGTTGTCGGGGGTCTTGCGGCACTGACGGCGGTTCTTTACCTAGTACCGTTTATCTTGCGATTCGCTGTTGTGACGATATGGAACTTCGTCATTTTTGTCCTTTGGATCGCGCTCTTCGGCTTATTTGGAAATATGTATATCCACGAGAACCCAGAAGGGAATCAAGATATCCAACGGATGAAAAGCGCTGTCTGGGTCGACTTGGCAAACGGACTCCTCTGGTTGATTGGGTTCGTTGCGAGTATTGCTTATTGGTGGGCTCACCGTGACCGACGTAGTCGATTCACCGGCCGCGCAAGACTTGGTCGCAACGCCTCAGCTCGCTCAACCGCTTGGCCAACATAGTCTCCCTGATGTAGCCTTGGCGTATGGGGAACATATTGTATTGAAGAACGATATTAGTAGAAAGTTTAGATCGGCTGGAGATTATGATGATTAAGGCGACGAAATAGATTTTTGGCATTGGAAGTATGCGCAATACTTTCTAAGCACGGCTTCTATCCAGGATTTAATAATCATGGCGATATGAAGTAATGCTAAATGAGAAATATAAGGTCGACTTATGACCACGACTTACCATAGAGCACGTTTTTATTAAAATGACGTTTAATAAAGCATGCAAAAATTATCGCGGGTACCTATATTTATAATATTTAAGTATATATAAATTATTCAGTATATGTAAGTAATCATTTAATATTAAAATTATTTAAAGATATATATACTAGGTACTTAAGTAAATATTTATAAATGGTATATTTGTTATAAACTGGCCATATACTTGTATAAGATCGCAAGTTGTCCGACTTATGATTCTCTTTTTTTGGTGGTTTGGCTCAGTTGGTAGGTATAAGCCACTGAACTTGCGGCTTAGTCCCATGACATGACAATATTCAAGATTAACTTTTATATGGACGTAATATGTTAAATGCGGAATGCCAATGTACCTTATAAACTCGAACAGCACTCAATCCCTTTCAATAAGTAATTGTTTTAAAACATAATATAATCTGAGTGTATATTTATATACTAAGTATGTACAAGAAAAATCGTTGCTGGCTTAATTGTCACCACCAAGATTCCATAGACCCGCAAAGCTGTGATACATACCTACCTGGGCGTTGAGTGTGGCAAGTGCTGGGAATATTTGCTGCCTACTAGGTGGGTATATGGGAATGACGGGAATGAGAAGCCCTGGTTCTTTTTCTGAGTTTCTCACACCTATTAGCTTGCTAGTAAAACCAACTATTGTCGAAATTTTGTATTTGGCTCTTGATTTGCTCAACGTAAGATGCGCATCAAAGGTCGGAGGCGATTTCAGATCCTACGAACGGCATGTGCTTTAAGTCATTTCTCTCATACTTAACAAGTCAAAGATAGCAAGCCATTAGAACAAGAGACCTATATACATATATCCATCATAACATCTTAACATTTCAACAAGCTAGGCGTGACTGTTGAATTCTGCGCAATGATAAACCTCTAGTTCAGCACAGAGGCTGGGTGACCTCACAAAGTGACCACACTACTCATTCAAGCATTAGCCTGTGGCAATAATTTGAGACATAGGCAGGCAAGTATCGGCAATATAGCCCGGAAGACGCTCTATCATCGGATCACCAATCCATATCTTAGTTTTTAAGATACTTTGCTACGATATGTAATATTGTGTCGTAGACAGGGGCCCTGTTGGGTCGTGTTTGCAGTAATTATTAGCGTTTCGAGACTGTATTCCAATCTTCAATCGCTTAGGCACGACATCGGCGGCGATTTGATGTTCAGCGCGATGTGTTGATCTCTGCAGGTTGGGTGGGTCTACCCTGCCACCCGCTCGCCGTCATCCGCGGTAGAGCGTGATATAGCATATGTGTGATGGTGAAGTAGTTACGAAGTGTTATACTATGTATTAGGAAACCTCCTTTTCTTTTGACTTCCCACCTACTGAATGACATTCTCAACGAAACGATCCCTTCCGGTCGGTAAGGGTAATCATAAGATGGAATCGGCCGCGGTTGTCTGTACGTACCTAGTATAGGTAAGTATGTATTGTAGGATGGAAAGGTGGCATTGATAATGCTCGTACGATTTCAGACTTTTGAGGGTGGATGATTGTCGTGGAAAACTACTTAATACGTACGATAATATAGCGACGACTAGTTTAACGTATCGGCATATAACTAGCACCTGTTTATTACGTGTATTTTAAGTTATTCCTATCGAGCATAGAATAGGTTATGTCGTTAATTTTGATCTTTTTTATGTAAGTATGTAGTTTAGATTTAATAAAACTTGAACAGTACTTAGGTACTTATTCTTAAGAACATTGAAAATCCGCCAAGTAACGGAAGAGAACAAAACAAATAGAATTTGGAAGTAACTCATTATACTTAGTTTCTTTCGCGCGTTTACCGGTTATTTTATAGTATTTAAGTATACTTTAAAAATAACATACTACTTACTTAAAAATATCTCATGATATTAGTTTTGTTCTGAGCTGGTTATGTTTGACTTTTCCCCTACACACACTATAATCCCTTTTCAGGGGTCTCAACGTTCTGTCTCGAGGAGTTCTGGTTGGCTATTAAATATATTTATCTGGTCAGCCCAGGTAGCAGTGTTGACATTTAGGAGCTTACCGCCTACCACACACACACACACACACACACCACGCTCACCCAACCATCACATTTCACTACCAATCAATCCCACCATGATTTGGGGGAAAAAGAAGAAGAAAACAGCCACTCTCATCTTTCTCCGGGAGAGCGATTGAATTTCGAGAGATCCAAATCATAAAGCAGATTATCTCTTTGCTGGGTTAAATGTAAGAAAACTAAGTGGGAGGGAGCGGTCTACTAAATCCAGTAGGTGCCTATCTATTAGGTATCGATTCGTCCCCACAATAGGTACCTATCTACTAACCTACTAGGTGCTACCTACCTATATGTAGGTATTTAGGTCAAATTATGTATTGTACCCATGGATACGCCGAACAGATCCAAGCACACCTACCTACTGCCTCGTTTGAGACGGACCGGAGACGACGATCCTTCCTAACTCAAATCACCTTTTCCTTTTCTTTATGACAGCATGCTCCATTTACGTACCTATATACCTCTGTACTAGGCACTGTACTGTGTGCGTTACCTACCTGCCTAGGATATCAATCTACACATTCAACATATTCCACCAGCACCTTCAGCTATATGTGAGACATCGGTTACAGCTTATCTCCTTCGAATTATTGCATTATCATTGTTTGCTTGAAACATCGACAGTCACTGCGACGAGACGCAGCTTTTCTGTGTAGCACCGCTGCTGCTTTTATAAAGCATGCAATAAGCCCTTATCTTGGAAGGGAAAGAAAAAACAGGATAAATTCCTAGGCGAATCCATCGGCACATACTAAATACAACAGGTGGGAAACTTAGCGGAGCCGTCTGACACCAAAAGCCGACTGAACTACAGGCTTTCAATCGCGACAAGTTCGACCCTCTCTATCTCTCTATCTCTGGACTCACTTAAATCTACCTCCCTGCCTGACCAACTGTGGCTGGTTATGGCCATCGCCTACTGATGAACATATTAATTAATATCTCGAGAGTTATACTAACCAGAATATTATTATTAACTAGATCTACCTTGCTGCGAGATTTGGAGGCTGGCTGCAAGGGCGGGTTGGTGGAATTCAGCTTGGAAGGACTGACGATAACATGGCAAGCTTCGGCCGTTCGTTCAAGCCTTCTTCGTATCTGTCTTCTGTAAAAAGACGACCACCGCCGCCTTCAAGAAGCATGTCCAGCTCGTCCGAAGCGTCACCGCTTCCCTCTCCCGACATTCGGCAGGACGATATTATCTTCTCTACGAGACCTTCGCCGAATCTGATGACGGATAATCCACAGTACAAACAACCCGGAGCTTCTCCGAAGCTAAGACCTAGTGGTGGTATGTTTCTTTTCTTGCTTGGAAGCATAGAGTGATCTATTCTATTCTATCATACTACTTTGAGAACATTGCTGGAAATCGGTTGTCGGATCTTTTCTGTGCGACGCAACGTAAAGAATAATAAACGTTGTTTACGCGGGTCGGATTAGAAACCAGTGCCCTTTTTCTATTCTTTCTTTCTTTTTTTATTTTAAAAATATTTTATTTTATTTTTAGTTTGCTCTATTCTCCCTACCACTCACAAGTTGCCGGGTTGCCGTTCTGTGTTATTTGGTGAAGATTGCCATTTCCGACTTGTGACCGGTGGCGGAACTAGTAAGCCACTAATGCTCTCCACTGCTAGCCCCTAAGGCGGGGTGCATTTTAAGAATATCTAGGATGGCTACCCGTTCGTTTAGGTCTTACCTTAGGGGTCGTCGAGGGGAATCTTGACCCATGTACCCCTCTTTACTGCATCTTTTAGTGTGCACCTTTTACAAGTTGGCTTTGTTAACTGCGTCATAAGACAGATGAATACGTGCTAATCAATCTTGCAATTGATTTAGGGAAAAATGACCCGACGCTGTTCGACTCTCCTAGATCAACACCTGCTAGGGCCAAGCCAATTGCTATCGAGTTACCAACCGCCAAGAAAGTCAACAGCGCACCTGTTTATACCCCACCCGCACCTCTCTCCGCCCGCGGCGATCTTCCTGGGTATGTTTCCAGGTTATCAAGTGGAAAGTTGAACACATGGATATCCCAGCTAATCAGCCATCTCTGGTGTAGTGGCTATTTCCCCTTGCACGAGGACCAAGCCCGAGTCTACTGTCCTCACCCATTTCAGCTTGATGCTTCTAAGGCTCGAATGATATCTATCGAACGTGCTGGCTACTCGGGCTCTCTTGATACTAAGAGATCTATTAGTACTGGGGTGGCGATGGGAGCTAACCCTTCCACGACCCTTCCTGTAACTATGGCCGAACGATCTACGCGACTTGCGCAACATAATCCTCCAGGTCGGTCACAACCTAGTTTCGATTCCGGATCCAACACGCCCGTCGCTAGTTACAATCCGACCGGAACGCAGGATAACCCTCTACCGATGGGTAAATATTATCCTACCAACTACGTGAAAAGGAAAGAGGAGAAGAGAAACAGGCAACAAGGCAGGCCGCCACCGTCGAATCTTATTCCCTCCCCTCCGACGGGAACTAAATCGGAAACCCAGATACCCACTGCCAGAGACACCTCTGCGATGGGACATTCACGCAACGAGTCCGACGCGAAACGCAGGCTACAGCAGTACCAACGCGACATGATTGCTCAAGCGACAATAGCTCTTAATGGCGGGAGTGTTAATGCGGCAACGATGAGTTCTCTGAGGACGATCGGATTCACCAGTGTGTCCAAACCGAGTAAGCCGAGACTGGCGCCCCTAGGATCTCCGGGCCCAGTGACACCTATGGAATTGGAAGGTTCAGAAGACGGCTATTTGGGGGCACGAGGCCCGGCGGACGTTCAGGTCGAACAGATCACTCGCGCTATTAGGGCCGAGGAGGAATGTAAACGACGAGAGGGCGCGACATCACCGGCCGTTGAACTGGGTCCCAACACATTCTGAGTGCGCTATCTTTCATTATAGCAAACAGCCTATGCTGTTACATGCTGTCACTGAGCCGACTAATGTGCAATACCATTACTTCGATCACATCTCTCGTCGCTATACGTTTTATTATGAGGGCTTAGCGGCTCCTTAGCAAATGCCCAACTATGGAGGTCTTTTCTGATCTCCTAAATCCCGGCAATGCTACGAGAACAGGACGGGGATTTCTCGTCTTATGTATCAACAACGCCATTCGTTTCTACCCTAGAGTTGCATTACGCACTCCAGATCTACTTGTTGCATATTTGTTCGGCTGGCCGTCATTTTGCCGCCGACTAGTACACGTATCGGCGCTCCGAGCCGCCACGTCTCCTTTGTCTCGTTATGATACCCTAAAGACTGGATGATACGACTACATTTGCATGCATGGATTTAACAGGCGCAGGGAACCGGCAGATGGATTGGAAATTGAGTGATAGTCTGACTTCAACATATTGCTTATCGAAGTATCGACACTGACTTTTATTCTTCCTACTCGATCAGGGGCAGCTCCCGAGTGGACACTCGCCCGTAGGTACTATCAAGGACAGGAGACAAGAGCGTAGGTTAGGAGATTCGGGAAAACAAGAAATATATAGTTTGGAGGGAACTGGGTGATATTCACTTGCTGTGAGTATATTGATTTGGTGCAGTTGAATGGGATTACCTCACCTCAGCAGACTGGATGCAACTTCAAAATTTCCTTTTCTTTTTGAAATGTGAATATAATCAGATCCCGCATCAACAAGCCATTAATCTACCACCATATCGTGATTCGCATCGACTTCGTGTCACATATGACAGCCTAGAGTACTGCGACCCCTATAATACACATTTTCTTCTTTCCACTTCACGTGCCGCGTGCATTCCTACCCTACTAACAACGACGTTGCTCTACTTCTTCCTATTCCATTTCGTATGTACCTTAGTCGTCTTACGTCCCTACCTTTTTCTATCTAAGATTATAAGCTATAAATACCCCCTCGGCCGATGTTGCAAGAATTGGCTTGGATATTGAAATGTCTCTGAAAATACCTAATAATCGCGCACTATGTGCGTGTCTACTTCAGACCATCAGTCCATATTGCCAAAATAGGGTTTTGTTAGAATGCTGTCGTCTGCTAAGGTGCTTTGCAATAATTTGCTGGGAAGTTACCCCTGGACCCATCTAACTCGCCAACCCACCAGTCCTGGTCCGTGCCGGTTTTCTTCACGATTCTTATCCTGTCACCCTCACGGAAAGATAGGTCACCCGCGTTCTGTCCGGTGAAGTCGTATTGGGCGACTACGAATTCTTCTAGTCGGTTCAATCCAAGCTTCTTTGGCGGCGGGGGTGGCGGTGGCTTCTTTTTGACCGCAACAGAGGCCATGTTAGCAGTTGTGTTGAGCGAGGTAGTAGATGCTGATGTCGACGCGGTCGAAGGCCGGCCGAAGTAATCCGCTCTCGGCTGAGTCGACCCTGGGGAAATAGCGGGCGATAATGTCTGCCCAAGCCGCGAAGCAGTAGTAAAATCGGTAGGGGTAAGATGATTGGCAAAGGTAGGCCTTGGTGCTCCGGTGCTTGCCTGGGATGCTAGTGATGTTGATGAAGGGATCCGATTCGGCCGCGGACCAGGCGCAGGAGGTGCGGCACTACTACTTCCGATGAGCCCAGAGGATGAACGGCGAAATCCATTCTCCCCTGCGGAAGTCATGGACGACGTGGATGGTTTCCGTTCATCGTTATTGGTTGGATCATCTGGTAGCTTCATGGGTTGTTTGACGGCTTTGCCTGTTGCAATGCACGTTATTGATTCGACTTCGCGCTTAATGGGTTCATAATCGGCTGACCACATGGATACTACGCTTTCCATTGGGGGTGGTGGCGACGGAAAGTCATAATCCTGGCAATAGTTGTGAAGTGTGGTATAGTATAGGCCGAGGAGTCGGTTCTGAATCATAACCACTCCTCCTATGAGTGGTGGTATTAAGTTAAAAGTCGCAGATACAAGGGGTGGTAATGTCTCCCTCAGATGCGAATCTGCAGCATGAAATTCCTATTAGGCTTGTTAGCTTTGGTTCTATCGCTTCATCTGGTTATGCTGTATCTTGTACCTCAGCTGCCCGCGCAACTTCACCCTCGGCCTTCGACAAAGCTGCTTCTTCCTTAGGGCTTCGACCCGACTTTCTTTGCAACTTGTTGACCTTGTCTTGACACTTCTCATAATCTAACCTCTTGTTTTCTCTTTTCTTGATTGTCTTCCTTAAGGGGGCAATGCAATCCCGTGCATCTGTGGCGGGCCTGATGATAGTCGACTCGATGAGGCCAACTTCGTCGAGCACTTCTGCTTTTAGGTCGGTATAAACTTCTTTCAGTTTCAAGGTACGTTCGAGTTGAAGTTCTGGGGTGGATGCGGTTGGTTTTCCGTGGCCGTCTGAGGCACCAACTATGGGATCCCAGAGGCCATCATATTCTGTGACTATGCCCAGTTGCGCCATAGCCAGATTGATCCAGGATTCGCGCCATGATTTGGTATGGTCAATGATCTAAATATTTAGAGGTATCAGTAACGTTACTTGGATTACATGCTCGAATCGCGCGATGGAGTGGTTTTTTCTCTTCTCTTCTTTCTCTTCTTTTTCTTTTTCCTTTGGTTCATACCTTAACAAGAACTCTATCAGCATCTTCGTAATCGTTCAATAAGACGGCGACCTTGGCATTATCTCCAGGACTCTTGTGGAGCAATTTCCCAAATTGTCTTTGCATGGATTGCATGTTGGGCAAGTTGGCGAGATTTGTCCTAGAACTAATATTGTTGTCCAATTGTCCAATTGTTTAACCTTCAAGTGAGGCACTTGGCGGGGTCTAGAGGCTAGAGGATCAATTATGTATGCGGGGTTGATAGCTTTCTAGATATGGCATGATGAAGAGGTATCCTAAATGGACAGTACCTACAGGTAGGTATAAAAGAGCGAGCAATTAGAAAGAGAGGGATAAGAAGGGGAAGAAAAATTTCAATCGCTGAGGGGCTGAAAGTGGGAGATAAAAACACGTCAATTAGCTAAACTGCGCCTCTCTTCGACTTAGAAGATCAATGTATTTACCTACTAGGGGGCGAAAACAACAATAGGCAGAAACGAGGCCGGAGACAAACCCATCCGTATAGGAGTCGGGGGAGCTGAAGATATTATAAAGATTCCAAGGTTACAAACTTAAGGCGTGGGGTTAGAGACAGCCCTAGCTGCCTGCTACTAGGTAGGAGAGGAGCCCAGCGAATGGATTAGGTAGCTGCCGGTTTACCGAGCCACTAGGATCATAACTTCCAATTGACGAACATAAAATGTAAAACCTTAGTTCTTGAGAAGAGGAACGGAAGGAGCATTGAAAGTTACGGGTAAGTACATACAACTATTAGGTAGGTATGTAGGTAGGTTGCTTAATGCCTACCTACCTAGGTACATGCCTACTTGGTATGGCAAAGTTTTGCTGCGACAAGTGTGGGAGGTGGTCGAAACCTTAGTGTAGGAAGCAGTACCTACGATTCAGTCTTGCAGGATGACCGACTAGGTACTTAGGTAATTAGGTAATTAGGTAGTGGACATATTTAATTTGGTTCATCGTCAATTCCCACCTTTCCTTACCTAGTAATGTCTTCCAAACTTCCCTGCTAGGTAGGTTGGTAACTGCTTAACTCTTATGTCGGTATGTACATAAAACCAACTTTGAAAATAATAATGAAAACGATACGAAGACATCATAGCCTATAAAGGGGGTGCTGAGATGATGGTTACATCTCTATGGGATTTAAGTTCAATTGGTACCAAATTTAGGTAGGTCTGTAACTGTTTGAGTCTAGCACGTGCCAACGCGTTGTGGCAAATCACGCGGGGCGTACCTTCTTAATGGGATTGACCTGTACTTGGATAATTAACCTTAGAAGCTCAACTGCGCATTAATAACCTCTAAACTACCAAAACATTTCAGATCTTCCCCTTGCCTTATCAGCGAGCCTTCGCGTATTCCCGAATAACGCCACTTAATGTCCCTCTGCATCCATTAATGGCAACGGCAATGGCTGCGACTCTGCAGGTTATGCACAGCTCTGCATCTTTGCATCGCCAGCAAGCCCCCTCTACCGCTCCGGTCCTCGAATTCGCATGCCTCTTCACGCGCGACCTTCGCAGGAAGCAGAAAAGATGGCATGATGGAAGATTAAAATATCATACATTCAACAAACGTATCATGGTATACGATGATCACGGCAACTTTGTTGGAGATGCACATTGGTGCGAGGACTACGACTTGAATGACGGCGATGAAGTCGAGCTTGAGAGGGGAGGTGTGACTGTCCAAGTTTCCGAATGTATTGGGAGTCGGGATCAAGACCTATCCGAGCTGGTGGACAAGAGGGCCCAGGAAAAAGCCGAACGACAGGCCGCTGTCCTTGCGCGCCGACAGCTCGCGCCTGAATCTGCCGCTATACCACAAACTGCCACTCCTCACTTTCAGCTACGGCATAAACCTCTCCATCATTTGATCGGCACACCAACTGGACACCATGGACGCGCACTCATGCCTACCGAATCCCCGTACGAAGATAGGCTAAAAAAGAATGTGTCGCCACAAGATAGCACCACACACCCTGTGAAACGGAGAAAGCGAGAAGTGTCACCTCCAAGTAAGGGCGGTTACGCGCAGAGCTTATTTGGCGCCGCGCTGACACTTTCGGGCACGCCAACAAGCACTCCACCACTACGGAGTAGACCTTTGAAGGCTTCACCTGATCCAGGTCCTAATAACAAGGATTTAAATTCTGCGCTTATACTAGCACGCACAACGGCCACGGCCACGGCCACAGCCGTTCAAAAAGAAAGGTTAGTCCACGCACCCGGGGCTGCGCTATCAAGCAAAATATCACGAGTACCGGAAGCTCTAGTACAGGATATGAATGATCTCCAATCATCACCACTTCCTATAAAAAGTGTTACCGGTCCCCATCAGCAACATGGCTTTACTCATAGCATTGAGCGACGACTAGGATTGAAGCGAAAGGGGGAGACTAGAAGCCTTGTCGTAGAGGACGACTCGCAGTATCCAGTATCTGTGAAATTAAACACAGCAAGTTTAAGTCACGACCAATTAAATCATGCGCAGCCCAAGGGTAGGTGCGACGTGCTTGATGATGTAATCTCGGTAACATCTCCAAGAAGCCAAAAATTTGGGTATACATCCTTGGTATCGAAATCTAAGACATCAGTTCAGAGCCAAGGCCTTTTTACGGCACCAAAACTTGGAAATGTACCAAAAGCGATAGGCTGCGACCAAGAACAAGCTATGAGCGAACCTAGGACAGAGTTGCGCATTAAGCCGAGAAAGAAGCGAGGCCTATTGATGATCTCTGAAAACTTGGAGACTCGCAATCGGTCTTCATTGGGAAGAGTAAAGAGTCGAATCGATCGTCATGATCCGTCTACTTCACTAGCCGATAAGACGAACAATAGTATTCCTAACAGGGACGGATCTTCGGACATTGAAAACCGTGAAGATGACCATCTCCGGCAACAGGAAGAGAATGCCCTTCGTCCGATAGGAAGTATCCATAAGAGCCCTTCCAGTATAGTTAACCCCGACTCAAATGGTCCTAGCAGCGCTGCTAGTCATAACTGTAATATGGTGGATAGTGAAGAAGTTTCGGATATTCGAAGTCCTATCCTCGGAGAGAAGAGTGGACGACATGAGATGGCGTCTCATTCTCGGTATGACGAGAAAAATGATAGACACACAACGATGCTTGAGCCCACACATGAGAGAGTTGTTCTAGCTGACACAACTATATCTCCCAAGCGCAGAAGGCAATCATCTGGAGAGAAAATAGCTCCAGCGGAGAACAATATAAATCATTCAATGGTGGAGAGATACGATGGAAGGCGGGCCACACCAGACGAGGATGATTTACCTGGCAGTGTCCCTGCTCCTCGCCTTGTTCGTCTGGGTCGTAAGAGCATACGTAGCAGAGAGGTTATTGGGCTTATTTTTGACGACGAGAACATAAATGACTACGGAGGACTTCCACGAAAAGTGGATGAAGGTAAGTGTGGGAAGGGGAGCCTTACTTGTAACATGTCCGCGAACCACATGGAAGTACAGGCTACCAAATCCGAGACGAGTCGCATAGATATGACAATGGCGGATGATAACCGAATTGGTATAAACAATCAATGCCAAGACTATTATCCCATCAAAGGAAAAGAAGTTGTCGAGGCCTGCACGATTCCTCGATCCTCCCATTACAAAAACACAGACGCAGTCGATGTGGAAGCATCTTCGAAATTTCTACGGAAACAAGCCAGGCTTGGGATGGTTCAAACAAGCGCGTCTTTAGACACGCAGGCTCATGTTCTTGGGAACACTACAGCGGTCTCACGGCGGTCTTTGAGGATAGTGGCCAACCCCGCCACCCGAGGCAAGAAGGCTGCCAAGCCTTCGGATGCTGCCGGCCAGGTTCCGCAATGTCCGCTGCCATCAGAAGCAGTGGTAGTGGGGAACCCCTCGATTTCTGCAAAACAAGGAGATGATAGACGGAGACCCAGGGCAGAGACTCGAACCAAAGAAGCTGCCAATGCCTCGATGTCTGGATTTGCCCGAGCAAATGGAGGTCCATGGAGTAGAGAAGCCCATGATCTTTTTGGCTTCACTCGACCGCCATGACGGATATACGGATTGCTGAGTTCTAAGAGTTTCCAAGCTCGGGATTTTATGAGAAGGCAGTATGGTCAACGAATATCAACTGGGACTACGGAAATTCTTATTGCGTAAGATAATTGCTCATAGCAGGTCCGATGGCGACTTGGCAGTTTATGCCTGGGCCCCGCTACCTCCTAGTCGTAATGACCACCGAGGACGACAATACTTGCTGGTGTAACAATTCCTATACAGAAGCACCCACGAGTCTATGATTGCTAGGAGTTTTGCCTTATCGTTTAGGGAACTAGCAATGAGCGCTGCGGCGTCAATAAAGAGAACCTAATTCAGCTTGACCGCTGAAACAACCCACCGATCGTGTTATATATTAGGACGCGCAATATATCGTCTACGAAGTAGCATGTTTGAGCCAATCTAAATATCAGATGAACGATTTGCTACGTGTCAAGCAGGATCTAACCATTTTGGTATCTGTTACAGTACTTGTAATTCGATTCTCAAATACCACTGGGCACTAGGTAGACTTCAAGGTTCCAATGTCCCTTAAGGTATCCACGGATGAGGTATTGTACATACTTAATACCCAGGACCTATCCATAGATGCATGCGCCTATTTGTACCTGGTAGGTAGGAAATTACATGGTTACGTACCTACATACCTATGTACATAGGTCTTAGGTACATATGTAAGTGGGGTGGTGTCACTATACCTGCATATGCCTGTCCCGGAAATCGCTAAGAGGAAAGCCAAAGGGAAAAAAGAAAAAGAAAAAGGAAAAGGAAAAGGAAAAGAAAAAGTAGGTCAGCTTCCCCGCTCTACTTGAATATCTCTCAACTCATCTTTGCTAGGAATATATTCTAATTAATTATATGGACCTATATCGCTCAATTTACTGGAAACCTTGAAGTTTGGCAATGATACCTATGTAGGTATATAAGGTCAACAGCTCCAACTCTCAACTCGTATTATCCATAGCGCTCACAAGAATTACCTGGTTGCGATATTCACTAGACCCTAATCCCCAGTATAGAACTTGGACGCAGTAAAGATGTGAGTAGGCACTGATGGTCGGAGCAGATGACGCATTATCTTTCAACTAAGCGATATCCAATGGTCGGTAAGCCGTTCCAACTGAGAGAGTCCATGTGGTCGCTCTCTGAAGTGGAGGTTGTTTGGTAAGGAAAATTCTGCCTCTTCGTCAGCCTCAACTAGGCGCAGTAGCAGTACTACTCATGCTACCGGTACAGAGAGTACATGCACGTTGCCGGGTACATACCTCTTAAGCCGGTCCCTCAAATAATTCGTCTCGCCCTATCTCGAGTTGAGCTTTTCATCCCAATTACCACTGGCAAATATACACAGCCGGGCCACCAACGACCTTGACTTTCGTCCCATTCAAACTCGCCTACACCTTTACTTGATAATAATATTTCGCCCCTCGCTTTGCACCATTTCCCACCTTACCAGTCGGGTCTAGCACCCGGGTTTATCGGCCGGCTTGTATCCATACTACCACAAGGCTGTCTACTGTTGCAAGACTAGTGACTCTCGCGACGGAGTCGTCACGTTATCCTCGGTCTCGACAATGGCTTCGCCCGCCAGAGACCGCATGCCACCGCTAACTCTATTGGCTCCCGTCCAACATGTCTCTAGAAGCTATGAGCCACGAAACGGCCCTAGGATCATTGTCGAACCAACACAGGAGAACCAAAGGATATATAACGACATCCGTCAGACGCATGAACGCATGCGCCTGCAAACCCACGTCGCGTCCCAGCAAAATCCAGTGCCTCCCCCATCTACTCTATCTGTTAGTACTGTGCACTCACCAATCGACGATCCCGAGACGACTTCAACCCAAGATGTCCCGGCACAGGACACGGATCGGCCGAGACGGCCGCGAGGTAAGAGGAGAGGGCCGCTCAAAAATGATACGAGATTACACACCGCACTGAAGCGTAAGCTCAAACTTGCTTGCCCGCATCACCGTGCAAAGAAGATAACAGTAAGGCTCTACACCATACCGCGTTGTTCTTCTCGTCGCAATCGCTAAATGTGTATCGCTAGTGCGACTGCCATGATTTCAGCAAGCTGGAGGAAGGTTATCCTAGCTTCACTCTTCCGCCATCTCCAAATCGCGGCAGGTCGCATGATCATAATGTCAACCTACCGCTCACGCCTGTAGAACAAACCCTGAACCGTGAAACGTTTGGCGCCGGCGGCGCTGCCATGACGCCATCAGATCAAGATGGCATCACCAATGACATAGACTTGCAATCGCCGTTCGGAGATCACGAAGGCGTCATCCGCTCAGATGTGCGGCAAATAGTCACCGGTTTTAACACCGCTTCGGTATATCTCGACAGCACAATGCTTCAGGCCCCGGGGTTACCATATCACCCAGGTAACGATATCGGCTCGCAATCGCCAAGGGAGCACTCGCAGGAAGATCTTCTTGAGATCGGTAGCCAGATGCCAGCTTATCCAAACCGTTGGCAGTGCGAGTATAAGGGTTCGCCCGACACCGCGTCCGAGACTTCGTCGGAGTTCTGTCCCTGGTCGGGACCTTTCCGAGACTTATCTTGGCACTTTAAAACAGCCCACCACCCTTTCTATGACGCTTCTCCACGCTTCTGGATTGTTTGTACACGTTGCCATGCCAAATCTCGGGCCACGGATGATCTCGAGTCGCCACTGCCGTCGCCCGGTTGTAGTCGATATCATTGCTCGGGTCCTTACCGGCGATGGTATTATGGATCGACCAGGGAGGAGTCGACGTTAGGGTCGGCAGTAGCCTTGACTCATTCCGACGAGTCAGAAGCTGGGTTTTCTTGCAACCTGCAACTAGAAGGAAACCAGTTGTGGCTAGGTGGTGAGGACCCGATTGGCGGTCCCATGGCGTACTTCGGAGCTGGTAGCTCATACGAGCGTCCGCATTCGTACGGAGACAAATGGGATACAAGTACCGATACATCCGACCCCTCTTCCAGCTGTAGCCATTTATCGTTAGACGATGTCCGTATTCGAAGCCGGAAAGACTGCGTCCAGTGGCATCCATCGGACATGAGAATGAAAATGTTCAACTCCGTCTGTCAACCGAGGCGTTCACCTTTCCAATATCCCATACGATTATCACCCTTTGCCAAACTGCCTATTGGCCACCTTCTCTCGATCATATTGCCATTAGTAACTACGATTATTCGAGAAAGCGGCTACTTCACTGAGCGAACACCGTCAACTATTCGCACTATTGATTCTGACGTAATAAGTTGGTGGTCCTTGTTATCACTCTTGATTGGATTTGCGACGACATGGACTATAAAAGATAGAGCGAGATATTGGGCTATTGACGATGTTAGTGAAGAATACCCCCCCCCCCCCCCCTCCCTACACACACATCTTTAGCGACATATATTAACAGGCCAAAGTCTAAATGCCGAGCTCACGGTCGCCACCATCCTAAAAATCGATACCCCTTCGCCGAGCCCTCGCGATGGCGTCGTTTTGGAGCTCTAATAACAGCGTAATGAGTTGGGAATACTGCGAAAACATACATTCGCATTCTGATATTTCGTCTTGTTGATATATAGGTTAGCGAGCGGCTTCTTTGTGCATATTTTGCATCGATACCCCCTTCGTCTCTTTGGAAATTGAGATGAATGCTCTCACGAGTTTCCGTTTTTTTTCCGTATTAACATTGGGTAATATGTGGATCAGAATTATTACAAGATATGTATGAACGAGTGAATGTGTTTCTAATTCATATTCATACTTCCATAAATACTTAGATATATATGAATGCACATGTGGGTTCTACAGTACCTAATATATCTACGTATAGGTCATGGGAATTATAAGTATGGATAGATGGATAGGTGGATATAAATCTATTCCTAATTATTCCTTGATATATTTAAACAATTACATAAGTAGACAAACATTGTAGATATTAAGTAGCTTCTTGCCAGCTTTGCTCGCCGCGTGTAAGGCTAGCTAAGCTAATCAAATACAGCGCTCATTTGAGTAGATAGTTTCACGTCTTACACAATATTACATACATCCATTAGGTGCACATGAGCACACGTTTTGGTTTTTGACGTCAACCTAGCCCCGCAGTCGTGATGAACTTAGGCCAGTACCTAGTATATGCAGGTTCTCAAGTATGATCGTGATCTTAAAGGGAGCTAGCTATTAAAGGTAGGTAGTAGATCCCTTAGATCTAGCAGGGGTTAATAAAACATGGGATACACAGGTATGTATGAACTACTAGGTAGGTATGAATACCTACATACCTACTACGTATGTAATCATTGAAGGAATTAAGGGTAATTAGGTTCCTATGTTGAGGTACTAGGTAGTGCCTAGATACCTAGGTACCTGGGCACTAGGTCTACCTACATATGTAGTAGTAACGCCTACCTACACTTATTAAACACATAATTTAATGACAGCCTGTGATAATTACCTAGTTTTTTCTATGGTCCGAGTTCTAAGTTCTAAGTTCCAAAGCGATGCATGCTTCAAAGCGCACTTTCTCGGGTCCGTTCAATTTGTTGGAGCTTACGGGATTGGTCGAATCTCGGATGAGTCAAAGGAAAGATTGAACGAGGGCTTATTTGGTTCGCCGATGGATGCCTCAGGCTTCCGTGCATGCTTCTCCAGTCTTGACGGGACTAAGATTAGGAAAGTGTTATTTTATTCGAGCAGTTTCCTGCAAATCACTAACAGTTGTTAAGACGAGGTACTTAGGAATTAGCGGCATCCGCTGGACTTGTACCCGCCTTAAATAATATCTGATTGGCCAAATCTTTGAACTACTTCTTCGCCGTGGTGGGTCTTATAACCCTGCTCCGCCATTCTTGTTGTCGATGAATTGAGGCTTTGCTCGCACTATTGTATAACCAGAGACTGGGAAGTCAGAAAGTGAAATATCATCCTCTGACTCCCTCCCGAACTTCGAACTCCCGTTTCCCTTTCCTTCTTTCTTTCTTTTCATTTCTATCCGTACGCGGTAGATACACCCATCCTACAACTTCACCTTGAAGTCCCCCATTCGCTAATCTCCCGAGTCCCTGACTTCTGAGCCAGGCACCATCGCTCCAGCCATACTGGTGTCTTGACTCTGAGCAGGTTTCTACCCCCGCCAACGCCAACTAGCAGCTGACGACCCTTGCGATTGACTGCAAGTTTGGCTTAGTCGTCAAAACAGAAATCTACTGCACGCAATACCTACCAAAACACAATCATACATAGTAAAGTAAACTACCTGGAGTCAATCGGAAATATCCATTTCAGACCAGGCCATCGTGGAGTCGTCTAAGGAGCGAACGAGGTGCTCACTGGTGAATCCGTGCCCAGACCTATCACATCTACGCTCTTTCGAATCCGCCAAGCCACCAGTATCTCTAAAGTGTATTATAACTACTATTCCACCGTCACTAACAGTATTATCGTCATGTCGAATACGTCCCGAAACAACTCTTCTACTTCTCTGATGGGCTTCTCCGTCCACCAGCCTTCAATTGGCTCCCCCTTACAGTTCTTCCCTGCTATGGGTTCCAAGCAGCTGGACGAGATGATCGACGCATACGTTCTTGGAGATGCTCCTATCACCGATAAGCGTGCTGCGGTCTCCATGGAGTTCTTTGAACATAGCATGGCTACTGGTGAACTCTTCAAATTCTTCATGGTCTATCCTTCTCTAGGATCTGCCACGGAATCGCCGTCTGGCTCCATGCTTGACTCCGGCTATGGTTCTAGCTTCACCTCTCCAGTCATGTCCGAGAGCCAATGGGCGCAATCTAGCAGTGCTCCATTGCCGTCTAGCGAGTCCATGCCCGGGAAAACATCTACTAAGAGAATGGCTCTATCCAATGATTTCTCTCATCTCCCCGGCATGAAGATCATCACTAAAGATGGAAAGGACGTCACTAATATGACATCCCGTGGCTGCAAGACCAAGGAACAGCGTGACCACGCCCATCTGATGCGGATCATCAAGGCATGCGACTCATGCAGGAGAAAGAAGGTGCGTTGTGACCCCAGCCATAAGAGGTCGACAGGTTCTTCTACGGCCAAGATATCCAAGAAGACGAAGAAGACTGCTGCTGTAGCGACGCCGTCGTCAGCACCACCACCTCAACAGACACTAGAGCCTTTAGGAAGTTTCCTACACACTCCGTCATTCGATATTTCGGACGAAGCCCCATCGTTGTCATTTGACTCTGCCGTGTCCGAGGTATTGGTCGACCTTCCCATGGACTGGAATCAGTTCATCCAATTCGACGAGGAACCAACCGAACCTATCCCAACTGACTACGACTTTTTCCACGACCCCCAAGGCTTCCTATCGCCTACGTCGTACGCCTCGGTCTCCCCGTCACAACAAATTACGTCTGCTCAGACACACGGCGTTGACAGCATGGTGTCTGACACACTCGGGGGAGAAGCACGACTACCATTACCGCCGTACCTAATCCCAGGTGGTGAAGCTAGCAATAACTACGCCGACTTCAACCTGTACTCTCCAGGTTCTTCAACTAGCCTTGAAGACGACCCAAGCCTAAGCAAGGAAGTCGCAGCAACGCCTCTTCCTGGCTACTTTGAACACTCCCACCATCAACGACTAGTAGATTGTGGCGGTCAGGAGACTGCTATACACGAGAATCAGAACTTTGATACGCAATTCGCTCCTGCAAATATACAATGCCGTACTTCACCTTTAGGATTGGAACAAGGTCTGCCACAAGCCTGTTTAGACACACTGCCATACCCTGAGGGTGCACCTCCTAGGTATAGAAGCAGACAACAGCTTGAACAATGTCCCGAGTGGCATGTTTCGACTTCCCCAGATGGGCTCAGCCTAGCATCGACTGTCGAATCATATAAGTCATGGCCGCAGCCACGTAATATATCATCGCCGACAGAAGTGGACTTACGGAGGACCGGTCTGGACTCGTTCATGACACCACTAGATGCGACATCTCTCGGGCAAGGGTACCTGCCTAAACCGATAACTAGGTCGATCGCGACAGATCAACAGCTATTGAGTGGTGCTGGTACCTCGAGTACTACGTCTAGTGCTCTGGTAGCGCCCTCATCCATGACTACAGATCAATCATCAAGAAGTCAATCACCGCAGAATCATAATCGCCACGCCCAAAGCGTAGGTTTACTTCAAAAATTCAAGGGGTATCTTAAGCTAAAACTCTTGCAGAAGCCCGTACGTAGTGTGTCATTGATGCTACGCTCTCCTGCTCTAGAAAGTTACGAGGCGGGCGTAGCATGGCCGTCTCTTGTCTCTTCGTCACTGCCTACTCAGCCTACGCGATTCCCAAGGAACATACCTTTGAAGGCGATATCGTCCCTCATGCCAGAATTAGGCATCGAAGACGCCCATGAAGGCAACAATTCCGCCGATAACAGTTCTGCTGGCTTAACTACCCAGGATACCACAATGCCCGGCGCCAATACGCAGAGTGGCCCCCCCGATGGAAGCGTCCCATCTGCATCTCTATCGGGACCTAACAATGGTGTGCTCCGTTCGAGTATACTAGTTTCTCCTCTTGCCATGACAGCTCTCCATGCCTTGACATTCTTATTTATCATATGCACGGTTTGCCAATGGCGGATATTCAGCAATAGCGCTGAACAGTTCCAAATTACCCCCGTTTTGGCAGGGTTCCTACCGGTTGCCCTTGCTTCTACCAAGCTACGGCAGCGTCCCATACAACATGCGGACACGCAGGATCTGTCCGTGCGATCTCGTTCCTTTCTAAAACGACTTCCTTTTACTGTCACCGGCAGTATCAAGCTGGGGTATTTCCAACTATCAGGGAGTTTCTCCAAGAGTCATTGCAACTTCGAAAAGAAATATAGCTTGCAGGTATCTAATGGGTTCCAAGGGATGCGACGCTTGCAACACATCACGAGTATTGCGTGGTGATGACGGTCATTGCAAAGACGATGACGACGATATCACAATTTGGGATGGATAATATGTATGTATTTATATGGTTGGTTGTGCGGATGTGTCGCTTTTAAAAGGAAGATACCCTTGGTTGAATAGAAGATGGTCGATTCGATGTGTGCTTCTGGCTCGCAGTAGAGGAAAGACGGTGGTTGAAGGCTGATTTAGCCGACGATCGTACACCTCCAGGCTACCACCTACCTACTTATAGTCTTAGACCAATACGACCCTCAACTGCTTTTATTAATGCAACCGCCCCCTGTTAGCAACTCTATGAAATGAGTGCAAAAACCAACCTTTCTTAGCAATACATATTTACATATGTACATGATACCTATTGCTTCCAAGGAAACGTCATCATTAATACCTGATGTCCCTACCGTACATATAGGTAGGTACTACGTATATGTACCTAGGTAGATGTACATAGTAGGAGTACATGGGTACGAACATGAAGCCACGGGTGTTCCCGCATTCCAAGGTTGAAATGGGGGGGAAGGTGGGGGGTGGCCTAGATTTGTATCTAGCCCTACATACATAGGTACCTACCTATAGCCTAGGGCGAATTAGGTAATTAGCTCTCCTAGTTCAAATGACCGCAGAAAATTCTCAGCCGCGTGCCGCCGTCGTCCATCTCATCTTAATATATAAAAATCACATCTTTATTTTTTTCATCTAATATCAATCATGATTATTTACCCATATCACACACAAATCACTGTCATCTTCTGAATTTTCTACTTCCCTATATTTCGTAGCGGCTTTTAAATGGCCCAAAAATCGAAACATAGCAATTTCGTAGATGCACCTTCGTTAAAAATCTGGGTAGATTCTATCAGCCACGTTCCTATCGAGGTCGCCATCTCCATAGGAATCGAACTAACGAGAGGATATATGCAGGTCTCACCTTACTATTTATTGAGAGCTATAATTAGCGTTAACTCATCTAATAACTAGCAGTCTTTTTATGTTTGATCGGTGTAGGTGGTGACAGCTTCACATCTCTTTTTTTTGGATGACTGGAAAGTGCAATAATTACATGAGTCTACCTGGTTAAGCAAGAGAGGGAGTCATAATTTTCCAAATAGGGAAAACGCACATTCACATCGAGGAAGGAACGAAAGGGGACATAACGGAAAGAGCAAGGGAAAGTTTTTTTTTTTAAAAAAAAAAAGAGGAAGGAAACAATGGCGGGACACAAAATGTCAGGTTACGTCGCGAGCCTCCGGCAGGCACTGTTTGCATCTTTCATCCAACTCTTCAATCGTATCTTTCCATTTAACTCGACGGCAGAAAAGGCACCGCCTAAAACAGCACAGCAACAGCCATCAAACCCTTCAAAAGCTTCTACTGCCAAAAATAAAAACACCGATTCACCTCTTTTATCTTCTTCATCACTTTATCTTCATTCTTCACACGAACTTCGTCACAGCTCTCCACAGTCCTTCATAGACCTTGAACAAGGTATTCAACCCTCTTTTTCTTCTTATTTTTCTTCCCTGTCTTCATCCCAAGACGAATATACAATGGCACCGAACAAGAAACGCGGTGGCCGAAAGCGAGGCGGCTCCAAGAACAACGCCAATGGCAACGGTATTGGTGATGGTAATTCTTTACCCGACGCGCCTAGTGCTCCCTCCAACGGCCCGTCAAACGCCATCAGTAATCAATTTACGGCCACCCAACCCACTGTACCGTCCCCGGCCTTACAGGGCTCTGGCCCGGCTCGTGCCACCTCTCCAACCAATCAAGGTGACACCAAAGCCAACTCTTACCAACCCGCCGGTCAACACCCTTCCGGAGCTGGAATAGGCGATAACGATCGTCAATCTTCGTCCCAACAATCTAACTATAGCCGAATAGAGAATCTTGCCACTGCTAGAAATGCAAGTTTCTCTCAACCTCAGTCATCGGCGTTAGAGCCACTCGTGATCGAGAATCAGGCGCATATTCAGGGATCGGCTAACCGCAGCCATTACGCCAATACGGCACGCAACCCCACTCCGAACCGACCTGGCATGGCGGAGAATATTCCACCTAGTAGGCTGCCCGAGGGTCCTGACTCCGAGGTTAACTCGCATAGTATTCATAGCTTTCCGAATGCAGTACAGCCCCCTCGGCCTAGCCAGGCTATTACCACGCTCCCTGCCAAGACTGTCGTTATTCCGCGGCCTACTGTTGCGCTACCTCTTACAGATAAGACCGCTCCCAAGCTCGCTCCTGCATTGCCAGCTTCTATTCATAACCACCTACCTGGTCTGATCGAACCGAAGACGGAGGCGGAGCGGATCGAAAGAGAACATCATCTAAAATTTATGCGGGCAGCACTCGATATGGTAAGCCCCCCCTCCTATCTAGTACATTTCCTTCTCGTGTGTCTAAGTGCTTTTCGCAACCCGACCATATACATTCCTATCACCAAGCCGTGCCTGTATATATTGTACATATTGGTCAAATTACTAACAACTATCTAGGGAAATTTGGCCCTGAGCACTAACGAGACACCCGTTGGTTGTGTCATAGTTTATCATGGAAGGGTCATTGCTCGAGGCATGAACGCCACGAACAATACCCGCAACGGTACTCGTCACGCCGAGTTTATGGCTATATCGGCCTTGCTTTCCCGTAAAGGGCCGGGCGACGTCGAAGATGTTGACGGCAACCCAGCCCTCGACGATGCTTGCTGGGGAGATATAGATCCTTCAGACGGCCACCTCTATCCCTACGGTCAGAAGCTTCACCCCGCCCCAGTGGTCAGTCGTGATATTTTGTCCGAATGCATCCTTTACGTAACAGTTGAGCCCTGCGTCATGTGCGCGTCCCTTCTTCGCCAACTGGGAATCAACAAGGTTTACTTTGGTGCTGTCAACGACAAGTTTGGAGGAACTGGGGGTGTTTTCAAAATTCACATGAACTCCAAGCCAGTGTCGAAGCCAGCAGACCGTCCCTATCAAAATGGATACGGCCCCCAAGATGTCAGTCGCATCGCCAAGGGCAGAGTTGGTCTCGCCCCGCGCGACGAGGATGATGGGGACGGTGGCAATGTAGAGCGGGGTTACTCGGTGGAGGGTGGCTATCTCCGTGACGATGCTGTTTCTCTACTTCGACGGTTCTATGTCCAGGAGAATGGCCGAGGTAAGTTTTCTCTTACGATAGTAATAGTAAGCCCCTCAATATCAGAAACTAACACTCATCTCTCAGCCCCACAACCTCGCAAGAAGGAAGGTAGAGCTGCCCGCCTATACGCCATGGAGAACCAGGGCAAGATCGACGATAACGCTTCCGATGGCTCGGACGCTGCGGCGGATGCTGAAGAGGATGTCGAGGTCCAAGAGGACTTATTCGATGGCGAGGAGAATATCGAGGCCGCCTACAGTCCTACGGAATCCTAATTCCAGGGCTCCTACTCTCAAATATCACTCACGACCTTGATGATCACGATTCACATACCCTGTACCATTATGATGATAGAGCTGATTCTCACGCATTGCATGGAAGGCAGTCTTCTCCCGGCGCTATCGGTTCCTTTTATTTCTTTGTTAATCCGGGACCATCTCGTTGATACTGGGCTCTTATTTTTCCAACCAATGATGTCATTGTGAGTACCAGGATTTCGCGGCCGACAAAAATAGAATTAAAAAATGGTGGGGTTGGGTTCGAGGCCACTGGTTAATCTTGCCTCCGGATGAGTGTACCTTATAGCTAGACGTTTCGACTTACCCGTTCCTCTCAGATAGTCACGTCCGTTTTCTTCACCGACAAGCCCTCTGCCTCCTAGTGATGCACGAATACATGATTCATTGCAATTTCAGTCTTGTCCCCCTTATTGACGAAATCTGACATTGGTTGTAAGCTAAACAGCGGACGTACTACGATCTCTCCCTCTCTCAATATAGGGCAGTGACTATCTGCCATATCTCGCTGTTATCCACTAGTATATAAGCTAAAGCAAACAACTGGATTGGATAGTGCATGGGCAATGAGAATCGCCGGCTTCTAGATTCGGGGGATTTAGATATCTAGCAACTCATGAATCCTAATCTCATTCGAATCTTGCATGATTCTAGATGGCACTTGGTGTAAGTTTCAGTGGTGGATTATGGAGCTTGCTAGGTTCCAGGGTTCTTAGACTGTTTTAGTTTGCACTGCAAAATACTGTGCAGGCCACACTGGTCGTAACATACATACTTAGACATCCATGGATGTCATTGAACTCTTTCCGCCTGTCCGCTGGGTCCATCTCGATTCCTGGAGATTTCTCGTTGTACGTAATAAAACCAACATAGTCCATTGAACCCTAGTACTCCTAGTATATCAATTGCCCCCGTTTCCGAGCTCTACGAGATATCTTGGCGTGATACCCGCGCACGGTATGCGTTCGCTATGAATGACACTGTACAACAAACCCAAGTATAAAGGGGTTGCCATCTACGGCACGCGATGCCGTATCCTACCTTCCTAGGTAGTTGATCGGTCGGCTTTGTTGGTATTAATTAAGTCATCCAAGGGGCAGCGATGCTCCTCCTTCTAGAGCTCACGGTCCCCAAATGGTTACACCTATCGCCCGCGCAATGGTCATCAAGCCAGCAGGTATGTGGCGGTGATAAAGTTGCGATCCGATCTCCCGTGAGCATATATTTCAGATATGTGTAAAGATCATGTCGAGGGGTCGTAGAAGTTGGCCTCTCGATGTGAGATATACCTATGCTTCAACGCTACAGCCTACCAGGTTGGCCAGCGTGTGTAAAGAAGTATTGATCGCCTATCCCATCCCTTCTTGTAAAGTATGCCTAGATATAATACTACCGAGACGATACCAGCGTGCTGTAGTTCGTTAGTAAGTAAGGTAGTGATCTGAGTCATCCGATTTTCTTTTCCCGATTGCTATCGCTGTCGTAGATCGCCCTGCCATATGGATCGTAGGGTCAATCGCCTCTGTCAATCATATATTTCCGTAAATTCATCGAGTTTAATCTTCCTGTCGGAAATTAGACAGAATAATGGTACTTAACTTCAAGAGGTCGAAGGTTGGGAACGTGTCATTACATTCTATCTTGGTAGCACGAAGTTCACCTCGTTGAGGTCATCAGCTCAATGGATACCTTATAACTCCCAACAATCGATGCGGCAATGATATTGACAAGATGATGTGTATATGTTGATCACTAGTGAGAAAACTGACTAGGATTGTGGACGTTAGACGGTGATATGCCCAAATAAATGCCGATAGGTTACGTACCGAGTTCGGGATAGTGACTGTCACTGATAGCTATTAGTTGATCGGGGAGAAATTTGAACTTACTGTTAAAACACTAGGAGTATGATATCAGATGGAGTTAGCCGAGCCATTTGACTCATTCCCAGTTTCTATCGAAGCGCTGCTAATCAACAGCTTGGTAGTGTCACCTGTCCCTCAAGTTCGGCATATTTGGGACTGAATCGATGTCCGAGATTTAGTTCACCATAGATCTCAAGTTGGGAATGAAATGTGGTAGAAATTAACGGAATGATATCGCTGAGAATCCTAATGACATAGATCTCCAATATCTTTCGGTCATATCTTTTATCACGCGGTGAGTATTCTCTGTCAACAACTCTTGTCCAATACTCATGGTTATGGGTGTATGGCTAGCCGCAATTGTCTCTCCTTTAGACTCACGCAGAAGCATGCATTTTCCACCTCAAGGAAGCTCATACCATATCGGGAGTGTGATTCTTTTTATAGATTTTTTAGTTTTAGTTTGGTTTCGGTTTTTTCTTACCATTAACATGTTCTAGTATCTCGATACTTGGATACGTTATTACTAGGAGTCTCCTAACATATTAATAGAACTCTATGAAGGGAGGCCAAACCACATGCACCCTCGAAGCCCACTATTACCGAAAGCTGCTTGTTATGTGTTCCGAGAGTGATATATAGCGAGTTCATCGAAGACATTCATCCCATATATCGGTCAAGTTAATCAACATATTCGCCTACCCCGCTCTCTATGGTATTATCTGCTTAATGCGAAGTTGACGGATAGATACGCGGATAGACAGACTACAGACAGATAGATAACTCACTCGTGAGCTGGATATTTTGGAATATGACTGACGGTAACAACGCTAATTTGTGGAATCCCATGTATCGAGCATACCGTCATTCTCTTGTCTAATAACCTTGGTCGATGACGGGGTAGGAGACGAAGTAGATTCGAGAGGGGGATCTAATTGCCTGATATCCAAAGAGGTTGGTTATAGGGGATATTTCCCGACTAATTTGGAACTATGCTCGGTGGTCGCGGGAACAGGGCTGCCGTATAGATCTGAGGAGTTGAAGTAGGTAAGATAGGAATATGAGAATACGCCCTAAGCCCCTACGAGAGTAAAGATTAGACTCTTCGATATTCGCAATGAGACCGGAGGGAGATCGTCGATGGAGTGTTGGGACATTGCTCCTCCCCGATGGCGGCTTTGCTGAGGTCACGTCAGAGGAGCGGGATGATGTTAGACACGTTCGGGATCTACACCCTCGACTAACCAAACCAGCGCCAGGGGTCTCCTTAGGATGGCACTCTGTTAATGCTCGCCACAACCGCCGCATTTCCTCGGTTTTGATGCAGATAATCGAAATAAGGCACGCAGCGGATGATTTATGTTATTTGAAGAATGCGTGCTTGCGCGAGGCTGAGCGCTGTCATCGAGTGACATGCCCACATCTTATCGAGAGGCGTCACTCCGTAATCATCCGCTCCCCGCTCCCCGCCCCTGGTCGGCCTGGGATGATGGCTGATGGCTGATGGTGATGACCGAAAAGTTGTGATACAGTCTACCGTAAGGTAGAGATGTGGTCGCCATTTAGGCCTCGCCGTCCGCCGTTATCCTTCCCACACTCTCCCAAACAGTCCAAGCAACTAATGTAGTGTGGAAAAGACACGACGCACTAAATCTATGAAAGCCACGCGTTAACAGTGGACTGAAGACGGCTTGTTCAGACGACAAAGTCGGAGGACGACTCGTCCCTGCTTAGACGATGTTGATATCTAACGAAGTATTGGGAGCATTTAAAGATTAGGGGCGTTGTCAACCGACCTCTCCTTGGGGTGAGGGGGAGGGTTCGAAGATTAGGTACCTAGTTTTCTGGGTGTTGTCCATGGGTGATAGGTTGGCGTAGTCTAGGGGAGGATGAGGATGAGGAGGTGGAGGGGGAGGAGGAGGTGGTGGTGGTGGAAGAGGAGGAGGAGGAAGAAGGGGGGGAGGGATAAGGAGAAGAGAAAGCAGGAGCAAGAGGAGGTAGTCCACCAGCTAGTCAGTCCGCCATAGCTGTGGTGTGTCTCGATGGTATAGTGAAGTTAGAAGAGGATGAGTACCGGAGGTGTCGGACTAGGTATATAATCCGAAGAAGCTGACTGGTCTGGTATGCCTAGTAGAATATTTGTTAGGATTGGTGCGTGTTATCTCGCGTACTGCTAGGCAAGACAAATAAGATACCTACTGCATTACATGTAGGTAGTAAATAAAAATACTTACTTACCTACTGTACTTGATCCCCCAGCCTTTTTGTTAAATCCATAGCATTTATTGAACGTGTAATTAGGTCAGTGGCACGCTATCTTTTTTTTCTTGTCTCCCCGATTTTTCCAATCCTTATCCAAAATCTAAATTCTCTTCCTGCACAAGATTTCCGTATTCTCTTTCCCTCCCTCTCCCTCTCCCTCTTTTTCTTCACTCTCACCACCTACCTCTTACCTCAACATACACCGTACAACATATATACAACGGAACACACCCCTAAAAAACTTGACTTTTATCTTCTATCTTCTATTTTATTCTTGCATCTTGCATCTTGCATCGCCGCCGATATCTTCGTCTTTAAGAAACACCCTTACCCCCTTACCTGGCTGGGTAGGTACTGGGTAAGTGTTCGAATCCCTAAAAATCCCTACCTTCAATGGATGTTGTAAGCACGACCACAGTACAGTGTAGTGACCACCATATTAAAGTAACAACTACGACTCCTTACTAGCGTGCATCGAAAACCATATTTCCTCCCCCCTCCCTCTCCCTGTCTTTCATCCCCGAACTTCTTACCAAAACAATCCCAACCCTTTCTCCTTCTTCAACTTAACTTTTCGTCATCCACCACCAACTTTTACCAACTTTACCGACTTCACCGACTTCACCCACTTCACCAACTTCACCCGCTTCACCCACTTCACTAATTTCTACAACTTTACCGCCAACACACATCCAATCTTCTTTCAAGCCCAATTAAACAACGGAGAAGAAGAAGGTAAAGTCTCCTGATCTCAACCACTCGTAATGTACAAGTCCCAATCATATCATGTCGTATACTTGCAAGGGGGTGTTTTCCCATCTACCTCTTCATCTTCATCTTCATGCCTATGCCCATGTCTATCCCTATCTTCATCCCCTTCTTGTCGTCGCAAAACACGCGCTGATTTATAAACAAGTAACTAATCTAGTTTAGTACAGTTCGTTGCACGAGCTCCTACTGCTGTTCATAAGCATATTGAAAGATTTCACCGATTATTTCTGCTCGTACTACAAACGCGACCGCACTTACAGGCAAGTACATAACATACCTCATATATACATACTTCAATAACGGTACAAGGTGGAAAGCCACCTAGTCTTAGGTGGGCTCAGCCTATTGGCCGACGGAATTTCTTACTTTCCCTTTTCTATTCCCACCCGACCCCAACACTGCCCATATTGCCATACAGCGTACATCGACCTCTGAACTTGATCCTTGGAGCTTTTTTAGCTGCATTGGGGAGTACCGGAGTACACACCGCAGTAACGGCACGATACATTCATTTTAAGTACTCACATACAACCTACCCACCCTTTCCTTCCTACTATCGCCGCCCACCCACCTTAGTACAATCTACATCCATGCATATGTACTAAAAGCCCAGAAACCCACCCTGGTACCTGCAATACCTAGTACGCCAATACGCCAATACGCCAATATAATACGAAATACATACACATGGCATTCACCATTCACGTATTACCTAACTTACAACTTTCTGCCTCCACCACCTACACCACTCTTCTTCCTTTACCTTTTCCAAACACAACCGCATATACCCATATCCAACGCGTCATATCTTACTGACATTGTTTTATCTTTGCTGGTAGATCCATTGTCGCGTAATCCTGTCATGGATTCGTTTGTAACCATGTCGCCGACGCGCGCCTTCTCTTCAGAGTCCAGCGTCGGTGCGGCTGGTGACACATTTTCTAACGCCACGTCACTGAGCTCAACACCCCCGACCACCATAGCCGACACCATTAGCCTTGCATCGGAGACTTCTAAGATGGACGTTCCTACCTCAATTGGTCGCAGTGACGACCCCGCCGATCAAATCGACGTCGACGCGCCATCCGAGGTCGCCGACTCCATTGTCGCGTCTGCCGAGCTTCCTAGTCTTATTCAACTACCTGACCTTTCCGATTCGACCGCGCAGACTGCCATTGACACGCCCACGAACGTTCGTTCGCGACGAGAACGACAGAGCGCGCCTATTTACAACATCGCCGAGTTAGCTGGCACTGCCATTCATGGTAAACGCCGATCTAAGGGTGACGATGTATCCGACCGAAAGCGCCGAAATACAGTTACCGGCGGCACTCCGATCGACGGCGAGGGGGAGAGTCATGGTGTCGCGAAATCTCCCAAGTCTGCTAAGACGTCTAAGTCAACTGAGGCTGGGCGCTCTCGGCGGATTTCTACGCGTTCATCTGGCATTGAAGCAGAGACTCTGGCGGGTAAGTTGTCTACTCTAGGCAAACGTGGTAGAAAGACCTTCGAAAGGGGTATTTCTAAGATGTCGCGTGAATTACGACGTCTACAAGATACCGATGAGTTCGCTGGCATCGACAAGAAGCCCGTTCTGTATACCACTTGGGCCAACGGAAAGTATGTCAACGAGTCCCAGCCTCCCAAGAAGAAGGCCAAGGTGGCCGACGAGACCCCCGCCGTCCCCACCCCCGAGCCAGAACCTGCCGTCGAAGAAGATCTGGTCCCTAGAAAGAGACGAGCCAAGAAGTACCTCGATCGAGGTTTATATGCCGGCCAGGATACACCGGTAGATATATACCAAAGTCTCACTCCGTCAGAGAAGAAGAGCCTGGCTCAGCTACCCGAGCTGATGCCCAGCGGCGGAGTGAACAAGGTGATGCCTATGCCCATGTACAACGGCATGCGCACGTTGATCCATGGCAGAGATTTTAAACTACCTTTCGACATCTGCCACCCGCTCCCACCCGGGCAGCCGAAGCCTGATGAATGGCGGAAGATAACGAAGAGTGAGTTCTCTTGCTTAATTCGCCGTTTTCCTTTTTACCTTTCCCTCCCCAACCCTATCTAAACTCCGTCTCTTTTCTCGAGGGCCTAGCTAACGCATATTTAGATCGATTCGTTGGCGACGCTGGAGCCTACTGGAAAAAGACACCCCATTTCAAGGATAATACCTCGAAATGCGTGTGCAAGCCACAGGAAGGATGTGGAGAATCATGTCAAAACCGCATTATGCTTTACGAGTGCGATGAGACGAACTGTAACGCCGGCCCCGAGTTCTGTCAGAATCGTCCGTTTGCTCAGCTGCAGGAGCGTACTAAGGAAGGCCGCAAATATCACATAGGCGTCGAGGTTCTCAAGACCGAGGATCGAGGTTACGGAATTAGAGCCAATCGCTGCTTTGAACCTAACCAGATCATCATGGAGTACACGGGTGAGATCATCACCGAGGAAGAGTGTGATCGTCGTATGAATGAGGTGTACAAGCATAATCAGGTAAGACGCATATCAAGCTTGGTATGAATGTCCAAGCAGATTGCTAACAGATCCAGTGCTATTACTTGATGTCTTTCGATCAAAACATGATCATTGACGCGACGACTGGTAGTATCGCTCGTTTCGTCAACCACTCGTGTGATCCGAACTGTAAAATGGTTAAATGGATCGTTTCGGGACAGCCTAGAATGGCGCTTTTTGCCGGAGACCGCCCGATCATGACAGGCGAAGAGTTGACCTACGACTACAACTTTGATCCTTTTTCGGCCAAGAACGTACAGAAGTGTCTGTGTGGTAGTACTAACTGCCGAGGAGTATTAGGACCAAAGCCCAAGGAGCAGAAGCAACCGAAGGCAGCTAAGGGGAGTTTAACAGAAACTGTCAAGAAAGGGGTCAATGCAAGCAAGAGAAAATTTAAGGATGTTCTTGGCGAGAAGGACGACGATGAAGGAAACGCAGCCAAGAAACGTAAGATCAAGATTCCGACGGGCCCCAAGACGCACGGTGCTCGGGGCAGCTTCTCTACCGCTGGCCTTAAAGCAGCTAAGGGAGCAGCTACTGCTTTCAAGCGTAGCATGTCTTCGATATCGGGCGGTGCTAAATCCGCTCTCAGCTCGAAGTCAGCTACCGGTAGCAAGACGACCTCGGCCCGAAAATCTAAGGCTGTGGTTAGAACCTACAGCAAGACTAAGGCGCAGTCGAAGCCCCCGGCTAGGCTCCGAACGAGCCCGAGAATACCGCATTCGCCTAATTCGGGTTCTACTATTATCGCCGCAGGATTCGAGAAAGCTACAACGTCCGTTTCTGCTAGCAAGAAGACGATAACCTCATTCGAGTACGACGAGGCAGACGAGGAGGATGAGAAAGACCACCATGGCTTAGTGTCCTCCAAAAGAATTGTCGAGGTATCCCGAACTGAGAGCAAGATTCGAATTGTTGAATCATGAAAAATTAGCCAACCTTTCCGGATAGGCACCGATGTCTAGATTAGCATCCAACCAGCATTGCGTTTAGCACATGGGCCTTCAGGCCAATCCGGTATTGTGTTCTGAGATTACCAGACCTTTTTGGTGAGGTGTGATGTTTTCCCAACTCACCGACGTCTCCGACGGGTCGAGATCCAGAGCGGGCGATTCAATAATTATTATGGACCTAGCATCTTTCGATTTCCCGTAGTCCAAGGTATAGAGCGGCAGATTTCATAGGTTTGCGTTATTAGTGAAAGGCTATCTTCGGGATTCCTGGAGAGACATGGCGGAGAAAGGATGTTTTCGTCATTGTGTACACTATGAGGAACATTGCGCGGGCATTTTCAAGGCGTATGGCGTAGAAAGAGCTGATATTTGCTTCTCCCTCCCCCAAACCCCCTTTCTTAGATGGGAGGGTTGTTGAGGCCATGAGCAATAGGGTGCGTTGTTATTATGGATGTTTACAGGCATGGCCATCTTGCTTTGCATGCACTACCTAAAGATTTGATGATCATTAATCTAAGGTTGCTTTCCAAAAAGAGATTAAAAAACAAACACTCTTGATTTTATTTCTAAAATGCCATTTCGTTGTGGCTTAATATCCTACCTAGTTTATAACGATCATTGAAGCGAAGTGAAATGAACCATTCTATCTACTTCATACCTACGCTCTTGTCCTTTGCTGTTAAGAGCTGGCTATTGCAGGATACTATCTCTGTTTGGTGGACTTGGTCTCTTCTCTTGGGGTCCTTTGGTGAGTTCGGGTGTTAGGTGCTGGGGGACGACAACCTATTCAAGTAGTCGGATATTTAGACAGCTAGGAAAGGGAGCGTAACATATCTCATCGGAAACAACGACAAAGAGGATTGGTAATATATTAATATCGGGACAATAAATTCCAACGTAGGTTTCGAGGTAAAGTTTTGTAGTAATCATGATAAAAGGGGGCAGGGAACATACCACAATCCCTTTGTCAGCATATAATTAGTAGATAGGTGCGCTTCTATAGGTACCTACCTAAGTAGATATGATTGGGCGCATGTTTTAATATCGAGTTATACGGCACTGAAAAACATGGCTCCTATTCTACTCAGCTATAATACCTACCTCTCTATACACGTAGTAGTTCGGATCACTTGACAATGCGAATACGTAGTACTGATGTGTATATAGCATAGAATGGGGGATAATAGCTGACGCGCCACGCGTACGATATACACAGCCAAGGCGATGACGGTGTCGATGATTCGATTTCTCAGCTAGACCAGGGCAGCTGATTCATATGCTACGCGTGAAAGCATGTCAATGTAGACTTACTAGCAACAAAGCGGTCTAGGCTATAGGGGACCTAATGCAATCTCGTCAATATCCCCGTACCATACACCTGCATATTGTCATTGCATGTACAAAAGGGGGGGAGGATGGAGGGGGCGGTTTGCGTGTTAGTTTTGAGGCTGTGCATGCTGGCACATCAAATTGGTGCTGCACAATCATCCTGACTGGTCTCGCTTGATAGGTCAGGCAAGGTATAATTGGCTAATCTTGTGATTCCGATATTATGAACTAAGCCTGGATATGGATGAAGTAGACGTTGAAAATGGGAAGGCCCGAACATTCCCAGAGAACGTAAGTGGTTTGAAAGACCAGGAAGACCCGGGTTTATTAAAAGGAAAGAAAAAGAGGGTAAAAAATAAAGGTAAAAAAATGTGGCAGTTACTCACAGTCTTCTAGGCAGTCGCGGTAATAGGGAGAGACTACTAGGTACCTAGACGCCAATTCTATTGGTGGAGCGCACATCATGCATGTGTACCTACTTAGGTAGGTACCTAGGTACCTAGGTACTATATGCGTATACATGTGTATTGATATTCCATGGAAATTTTGGAGATTAACTTAAACTCCTAAATCATCTCTTTTCAACAATAACCAACCAACATCATCGAATCTTTTCATTTCTTGTCTTTCTCACACACTCTCTCCAATTGTGTCCCTTCTAGTTCCATCAAGGGTGAAACGCGGCATATCCATATCTGTGCGGTTCCACTCTTCCTATCCATTCGTCAAGCCATATAACCGTCCCTCCGTCATCCTGCAGCCTCCCCCCCAAACCATCAGACTGCTAAACTCTCAACTCATCAGCGCCCTAGTTTAAACTTGCATTGTATCCATGTTCAAACGGCGAGCAGTTTATCTCTAAAAGAGAAGAAGTTAGAAAGCACCTGGGATATTATCTTGATTAAAAACTCAATTCACGACCGAATACACTACTTTCAAAGTGCGACTCGCATAATCCTTGTAAATACATTCAGCCTGCGCCAGCTAGCCTCGACGTGTCTCGGTCTGGGCTTCAACCACAGCAATTCTAAGAACCGTATGCGCAGCTGAAAACAAGAAATTCAAAGCGGCCATGAAGTCGCTTAGGATGAGCAAGGTGTTAGGCACCATCAGAAAGAAGAATACTAGTGATGGTATGTCTGAACCTTAACCTTGTGATATGATGTGGGATCTGGCATCTGTTGATGCGCAACTTGCAAGTTAGGCAATTTACAGTTCCCGTTTTAGCTAATATTTCCTTAAGGTGCCGGTCCCTCTGTTGCTGTTGAAGGCGATGGCCCTGAAGCTACAGCTGCCCGCTGTGTGGTGTGTATATCTATCCAATCTAATTCTTGTGTAGAGTAAATTCGAGATCTCTAATTGTTTACCGACTAGAAATCCTTCTGTGAATCTAGCTCTAGCAATGCCGGAGACGAAGTCCTCTACTTGCCTCCGATCGTCGATGCTGCCGAGTCGTCCCCCGCCGCCGCCGCAGAATGTGCTCGTCTAATTAGAAAATATCTGAAGAGAGACTATTGGACTAAACCCTCGTACCAATACAATGCCATTATGCTCATTCGCATCCTCGCCGACAACCCCGGCCCAACGTTCACGAGAAATCTTGACCAGAAATTCGCCGACACTACGAAGGAGCTGCTGAGATCCGTTCGCGACCTAAGTGTACGCCAGATGATGATGGAAACGTTGGATTCTTTCGAAAATACGAAGGCATATGATGAAGGCCTGACCCTTTTGATAGAGATGTGGAAGAAGGAGAAAGATAAAGCGCAGCGGCAATATGGTGTATGCTATATTGATTTCCCGTCGAAACGAGACATCACTGTTACTAACACCCGCCAAATAGGGACTTAATCCGCAGCCCCCAGGGCCACGGACACTTAATGCGCCGCCGCTTAACTCACACTCGCAGAATTACTTTGCGCGAAGCCATTCGAACCGCAAACTCCCAAGCCCTATTGAGTTAGCAAGTAGACTCGAGGAAGCACGGACATCCGCAAAGTTACTACAACAAGTTGTTACCAACACGCCTCCCGTTGAAGTACTCAGCAATGACCTGATAAAGGAGTTTGCTGATCGCTGCACAAGCGCAAGCCGAAGTATACAGATGTACATGACCGCTGAGGATCCAGCTCCTGACAATGACACCATGGAGAGTCTTATTGACACCAACGAGCAACTCCAGGCCTCATTGAGCTTACATCAAAGAGCCATGTTAAATGCGAGAAAAATTGTTGCTGTCATGGATCCTCAGCCTAATCACCAAGAGCCCGTGAGTCCCGTAGAGTCAGTCCAGAACGGGCTAAGGTCAGAAGCCCCACCTGTCCCATCTCGCAAACCGAACGGCAAGGGTAAAGAAAGGGAGTACGAACCCGCTGTAGCGGGTCCATCGAGGACACACACGCCTGCTATAGAGGAAGATCCGTTCAGGGATCCCGATCCCGATCAGTCGGGATCAAAGACTCATGGGATTGGCGGCTCAGGATCTGGCACCGGAGCATCTTCTAATTATATCGAAGAGCCTCGGTTGGCATTCGAGCCATTTCATCCGGGCTTCGAGACTACACAAGGCTACCTAGGTAGGCAGGAGAGTGCTCTCGGAAAGGAGACGATGCATGGGGCCGCAGGGAATTCTACGTCGAGCGCCCGAGAATCTCGAGATGGCGATGAGAGCAGTGATATTTATGACGTTACGCCTTCGAAGCAGAAGGAGCCGATATACCGGTATTGATCAAAATTTGGACTACGTATACGTCTACTCCCTAGAGCCTAATGATTAGGGCGTCTACGATAGTCCTTGATTCAATGAAGTGGCGAGAATTATGATGGGAGAAGCTATGAAGACCTTCCATAGGCCTCTATGTTTATGTCCAATTTGTTGATTTGAACTTCCCCTTTTTCTTTCTATACGAGATTCCCCCAATTCGAGGACTGCGATTCATTGTTCCCGCATGCTTCAATACCCACTGTTCGCCGATACGTTCTATACACCTACCATCATGCTAATAATATATCATGTTATATATATGCCGCTAGATATGAATAGTCTCGAATGACTTCAAGAGATGACAGTTGCGTAGGGAAATACCATAGGCACGCCGGTTTCACCACCTAGATTTATAAGTGGTAGAAATTATGAATGTATCGGCAAAGTGGTGCTTATCTACTGATACATCGCTATGCTGGATGACCGGCAATTTCGATTCGGGCTTTTCTAGTCAAGTTGCCAATATTGTTTGGCATGGTATAGCCGGGTTTGAATAGATAGGTAGTAATTCGTCGTTGCCTACCTAGGTAGGCAATTTCTCTATTTGTATTAGATCTATCATGACACAGAGGAGACATTATGCTCCGTCCACGGGTTCTACCGTAGAATCGGCGTGGAGCTAAGATTTGGCTAACGAAGATCATATCATGATACTTCATTCGGCCAGAAGCTATGGAGAAAGGAAAGAGCTGTTCTAGACGCTACACTACCCGCAATTAGACTGGAGGAAACAGCTGATTGTAATAGACATTGATGATTTTATTTACTATTTACAAGAGCATCGTTTCCTAAGTTCCTGGGGTAATAAACGAGATAAGTTCTAGGGCTCATAGGATCATATCGCGAGATGCAAGTAAACAAGGTATATATGATTGGATTACTGATATGTGCTTCAACATCATAACTTGGAAACTGTTGCCGAGCAGTCGTAAGGCACTTGCAAGAAAATATGTTGCACTATTATAATATTCTTTCAGTGAGCGAACCGGAGTCGATGTCGGTTGTGTATAGCCCCGTAAAACATCAGTCGAGCGTCCAACGAGAAGTTGCGATTGGACTCCGTGGTGGTGGGTCTTGTGGTCGGTCGGATTACGCTTCCGTGCAGTAGCACCCACTTCCCCTATCATTTCATCTGCGTACTGCTTGATTCGTCCGATCTAGCAGCGCGAGGTATGTGTTACCTAGATCTTTCCTAAGTACATACCTGGTACATACCTTTAGGTACGTAGGTATCTACTTACATGCTAGCTGGAGGTAATCAAGCTGTCAAAATTCTTCCAGTTCACTCTATCTAGTACTGGGTACATGCAGTACCTATCTGAGCCCCACTTTTTAATTTCCTATTCGGGTAACTGACATATCACATATGCTTTGAGACCGTAGATTCGGCTCGAAAGAATGACATATTAGGTATTTCATATACGAGACGGCAGAATCCGTGATCTTTTTAACTCAATCCATGTCCATCCACGTGCGAGTTCAAGGTTCTGTCCCAGTACCTTGTGCGCGGCTAGGCATCTACTACCAGTATTTCGTAGGGAGGTACGTTCATGGCGGCGGGAGGAACCATACCTTTGGAAATAGCTACAAAGATGTGGGGTCGGCGTCTCCATTTCGGGCGAAGGTTGCGAATTTCACGTGGTTCTCCCCTAGGTCTTAGGTACGTATTTATTTATTCTTCATCCCCTCTCATCATCAGTCATCTGATTTTCTGTCCTCTACATTCAATCATACAGCAACCCTAACGATACCTAGTTCACACCATATCCTAAATGCTAAGTAACTATCCATATCTCTGAATATGCTCCATCTTTCTCGATACGCGCCTTAGGTATTGTTATCCGATTCATCTTAAGTTTAGGTACCACGCACGACATATGTACCTAGTGCTGAAATGAGTGCTCTCGTTGAATCTTTATTATTAGTCCGATGCCGTATTTATCACTTCATATTAACTGGCCAATCTACGTCCTTTCTTCTTCTGTTTTCCGTTCTATCTTGTTCCGGGATGATATTAGACGTTCGTTATTTTACCCATATATGGTCTAGCAACCATTATGGCCAACCAGAGTTCAGCTCGAGGCTTAGAAGCCAATTCTTGCCTTTTTTACGTCCCTAGTAGTTTCTCTGTCTGATATATTACCTTCACCCTCCCAGTCCCTGGTCACTCATCCCTTCGTTGCGTATTGCCATAAACTGTCATGATCCTAGTAAGAGTTCCATATAATAACACTCATCCATCTTAAGGAGGTGGTTGACCATCATAGCGAGCTCATGGGCCATGGCGGCAGAAACAACCAGATGTCACTCTATGCCGGCATCGTCGTTCTATAAACTTAGTATGGAGTTGTTAATATTTATCTTTCACCAGGTATGACGTCCAATCTATATTCCGTGACCTGGAGGTCTACAAGATTCCATCATTAACTATGTCCTTCTGCAGTTGCGGGACATTGACTCTCGGGCATTGGCTAATGTTCGTCAATTATCAAAACGATTCGAAGCCATCGTTACGCCTATTTGCTTTGAATCAATTTACCTCAACGAACGTATTATAGCACCCGAGACTGAAATATGTTTCCCTCGGGTAATCCAAAGTTTATGCTCGTTCACCAGGCATGTCGAAGTGAACAGTGATCTTGACCCAGTAGCTACTAGAAGATTGTTAGACAGATTGCAGCGGCTTTCATCGCTAAGGTACTTGCGATCCATCCAAACTACCAATATAAGTAGATGACTAATACCGTATTTATTGCAGATGGTGTTATGTAAGAACACATTGTTCCGGAAATTTCACGATGCCTTGTAATATCCTTGGCTTAAAACACGTCCATAATAACATCAGACTATATGTCGAAGACTTACCTTTACATGGTTTCAACGGTGACTCACATGCTCTAAACTTCCAAGGAATACCTACGAGTAGCCTTGTTTCTTTAAAGATGTTTGCTTCTATACCATCGCTAACGAGCTGCCTCGGGTCATTGAAACGACTACTTCTTGAGTCCCGATCGATCGAGACTTTCCATCATGATGATCATGGCCAAGGGACACAATTCTCGTTTAAGGGGAACGAACGATTACCGGCATTCCGAGAACTGTCGCTTCGCTCCTATGACTGGAACCATAGCATTAGCGAAGTCGAAAAGCACTGGGACTTCTCGCGGTTGCGTCGACTGATCCTCGTCGATGTACCTTTGTTCTCATTTCTTAATTCAGTGCCTTTCACCCATCTTCACCAGCTTCACACATTACATTGTGAAGACTTCAGCACGCATCTACCAGACCAGCGCCAGGAAACAACCAGGATTCTGTACAAGCTCGCCCTACAGATACGAGCACTTCATACATTCAAAGTAACCTGCCACACAACTCTGTTCCCCGTATCCGGGATTCTCGTCCATGCCGATTCGCTACGTATCTTACGTTTCCGCGACTACGTTGGCTTCGGTGATGAAATAAGGCGATGTCCGACGATGCAGGCTGAGGATCTTTCTCTTCTGTCCCGTAAACTCAGATACCTCCATACAATCGAGCTAGACATGGATGTGGACCTATGCGAGCCGGCTTTGTTCATCCGCGCACTCTGCAAATTTCCCCAGCTAGATACCCTCGTCCTCCACACGCAGACGGTCCTCCAAACTTTAGAAGAAAACCAAGGGAGTGCAGATCCCGACTACGATGCCTCCATGAAAATATTCTCTGCCCTAATGAGCGGTAAGCAGGGAAAGTTGTGGAGGAGTATCACGATTAATGTGGGCGGATGGAAGCCTGTCAGTATGTACTTGGCATCAATCATTCTTTTCTTCCCCTTTTGGGTTGTCTTGGGAGTGAATCTCTCCCTTTAAAGATGGCCAAAGAGTCTCTTCTCCTGATTCTTAAGACGTGCTTAAACCCTCCAGAACTCTTTCCTAGAGTGTGATTCACTGACCCCCGCCCTTGTAGTGGTTCGCCGGATTAGTGAGTCGTGGCAGCAGCAGAATAGGCGTGGGTTCTTTGCCGAGAGGTGCTTCGTATTGGAGAAGGATACGGATAATGTTGAGGTAGAGGTTCGTGAGAAGATGGGTGTGGATAATAGCCCTGTCTGCAGATAGTGCTGTGAACGACTCTGTATGAAGACTGCTCAAGGATGCAAAGTGGGATAAATAACGAAGTATGTCAGCTAGGTAAGTAACTGGACCTTATTAACTTATCATCCCCTTTTTTTCAACCTTCTATCCTCTCTTGATCTCATGGTTTATGTCGACGGACGGTTATTTAACCTCGAACTCGTTATACTTCGTCTATTAGTTCTATTATCCAAATTGATAGGTGACCATAGCCAGTTACGTAAATACTTATACACCATTCGCTGCATATATTCCGTATCTTTTATCATTCCGTATTTTCAACACCTTTACACTTCTATATTATATGTGTGTCACATATATCATACGAAGAAGAGAGGCCCTGATAAGCTATAGGTATCATATACGTAGCCAGCTGCCGCAAGCACCTTTGAATTATACATGAGTAGACGCTGACCACTTCCCCGTTGTCAAGACCATTTTCTTCGTCACGATATTTATTTTTTATCAATCAAAAGCACAGCAGAAGGAATAGTCGCACAAGATGCAAAAGCCTTGGTTATTTACCTTGGATAGGTTTTTACGAGCTAAGCTAAGAGCATTTGAGTAGTGGTTATTCTGATACCGGCATGTATTCATTTTCTGTGCGTACAACTTAGAGTCATTGGAATCACGATGACGGTTACATGGGTACCTAACTTAGACAGCTTTCTCTCCCCTGGCTAGGAAAATCTCTCTCCTTACCACACCCTTCTCCCCATGCCCACCGATACCAATCGTTATACCGGAACCAAGGATCTCAAGGGAGAAGCGGTGCCCCGCTCCGGCGCGCTCGAACATCGCCCGGACCCTTTCCTCGGAGAGGCCGTGGTGCATGACTCCGTGATTTCCGGCGTTTCCGGACATGGGTCCGTGTGGCAGGAAATCCCAGACCAGCAGGACACCGCCGGGGCGTAGACGTTCGACTAGGCGGTCGGCGGCTAGCTCCGGGTCCGCGAAATGGTGGAGGCCACCTCCAACGGTAGCTATGTCGAAGCCGAAGAGGCGCGAATCTGCCAAGATATTAGACGGCTGGGGTCCGCCCGCCCCTATGAGGTCGCCTACTATAGCGTACATCTCGTCACGGGATAAACCCTATGAATACGTTAACTATCACAATGTCTGGCCAAATCTAAGGCTAAGGCGTGTGTGCAAACTGCTCGTAGGCAAAGGAAGGCTACGGGTTCGGCGAAGGAGAGCTAAACATAGAAGTACCTAGAAGAATGACTTGGCCACCGGATGACCTAGATTGGATGGACGGGAATATAGGAGAAAATGTGTATGTCATAAAGAGGATATTCAAACTTATGCGCACCTGGTTCTCTGCTTGAGAGTTATACGCCATAACCATATTCTCCGATATATCGATACCGATACATTGGGTCGTGTAGGGAGCGAGTGCCTACCAAGATGAGTCAGAGAAATGATTGGTCATATGGAAGCTGTAGCTCTGATTGCATGTTTTGGTGGCACAACTTACTCTGGTCATCATGCCTGTGCCGCAGGCATAATCCAGAAGCCGCACTTCGTTCCTATCTTGAGTAGATTTGGATTCTTCGACAGGCTTCCTATGACCTTCATTCTCGTCGTCATCGTCGTCATCGTCCACAATGGCCCAATCGACACCGATCCAATCTAACCGCGATTGGATCTCCTTGGTCAGGCGCTCATTAAGCTTGCCGTGCTTGGTATCGTATGTCGATGCCTCTTCGCTGCAGATACATCAGCGTTAGCTCCAATCCTACCCTCTTCTATGGCATCTAGGTAGTCCGCCGTGCCGTGCCGTGCCACGTCAATCGATCCACAAAATCGATCGTGCGTACATGTATGCTAGTTGAAGAGCAGAGGGAAGGGCGCCACTAGACAATAGCCTATCTGAGCAACATGATGATCTCTAGACCTAATCTGGGGAAGCAAGGTGAAGTGAAGTAAAGCGAAGTTAATAAATAGGGGCGACTAACGGCGCAAGATGCCACACTGCTCTGCTCTAGCAGGATAACAGGACAGCAGGATAGCAGGAGCAGGAGCAGGATTGGAGGTGGGTAGGATGGGGAGGTAGACGTCAAAGCGCACATACACACTCCATTGAATTAGTAGCTGAAGTCGCTTTATTTGGGCATACGTGTATGCAGTGACAAGCTAGGTCTCGACATACATCTGATATCAACTAGAGCAATTCCAACGACCGAAAGGGGATCAGATCACCCCAATATATGTGAAATGCAGACCAAAACAGGAAATGACGGGCGTGTAATAAGCGAATCAAATCGGAGTGAGCGAAGGTCCAACTTACTTGAAGTGTAACCTATTAACCTCGGCCATAATCCTGCTGTCCTGAGCTGACGAGCTGACGAGCTGGCGGGTAGTCGATGTTTTGTTTTCTGGATGAATATATCGAGAGCTGGATATCTCGTCTCTTCATTAGGTACCTAGGATTCTAGATACGTATCACATCTCACTTATGAAGTATTTCTGTATTTCTGTGTACGAAGTTCGAAGCCCGGGACGTTCTCCCTGAAATATGTCTCGCCGGCGACATTTCGACAACTTCTCGCACACTTTACTTGTCTACCTAATACATCGCGGTAACTTTTAACCTGTTAGGCTCGATTAGTAGGACCTTAAACCCTAGAGTTACACCGGGGTGGATATAAAACCAATAATCAATAATCAATAATCGAATACCTACATAGAGTGGCATAGTTACTAAGTACCTATTATGTATGTATGTAGGTAGGTAGGTACCTACCTGATAGTTTACCTACCTAGCTAGTACATACCTACCTAATAGTATCTGGTCCTTCTACCTTCCGTTTTGTACCTAAGCAGGTAGGTTAACATTTCCCCTCTACCTACCACCTAGTATGCTTCGCATTTCCATTTCCGTTTCCATTTCTACTTACATATGCTCTCTCTGACGCTTACGAAAACTCAATGATTGTAAAGTAGCCGACGATGTTCACCGCCTCAACATCGTACATAGTACGCGTTTATTTATTCAAGTATGGGGATGGGGATGCTAGATGGTTAGATGGTTAGATGGTACTCTACGCGCCGAAACGGGCAAATCGGGACAAACGGTGCGGGAAGGATACCACGGCACGCAACGACGGGCTCGATCACTGCAACCATGAAAAGCAATAAAAACTGGAGTCGATGGGTCGTTGGAATCGTGGAGTTGGATCCCCTCGTAGGTCGTACATGATCCCATGCCTTGCATGGCTTAGAATACATCTCCGCCTACATACTGGCCCCTTCCTCCCCTTCCTCTTCCCCCGGCGGGCGCGCTTCGGACAGTGCCTCCCGCAGCTGCATGGGGGTTTGCGAGTTTCACGAGCGGGTAGGAGGTGTGGTACCACCTTATCTATCGAGTCGGCCTTTCCTTCCTTTTTTATTTTTTATTTTATTTTTTATTTATTAGAAAAAAGGGGGATTATGATTTTAAATATCTTGTTTTAGGTTCAAGGTTGTTTTGTCGTGATGTGTTGTAAGATGAGATGGAAATCCTTCTAGCTTGGAGGGCGTTCGAAATTTTTTTTTTTTTCATATTTTTCTTCATATTGGGGGCTGATTATTTTTTAAAAATTGATTTTGTCAATGTAAGTTTAGGTACGCCTACGCCTATGAAACTGGACCTGCAGGTTTCGCAGCGGACCGCGGTCACAAGAGGAAGTGCATATGTAGAGCGTGCTGCTGTGGCATAGCTTTTAACCTGTAGTAGCGGGTGAAGGTAGTGATGCAGCAATGTAGCATGCGCGCGCGGTGGTCCAAATCAGATTGAAATCTGGGTCGACCCCTAATGGTCTGGTCGTAAGGGACTGGGCGTTGCCAATGCGCGGCCGGAGGTTTGGGTAAAAAGACGCAGAGCACGTAGGATGTACGGCGTCACGGGCGTCTGCAAGGTGAAGAAAAGGGAAATGCGCCGGCGCGATAAAGAGTGGAGTTTATGAGGTGCCATCGCATTGGATAGTTTGTTGGACTGAAATGCGCCTTGTTAATTCCTTGTGATAGCTACTGCAGAGAGGGATGGGATGTAGAGAGAAAGCAAACGGCCGAAAGGGTCAGAGGGTTAATAGAGGGTTAGAGGACTAACTTAGAGGGTTAGAAGAATCATCTTTAGCTGATACTAACAATGGGTGTGTAGGTATGTGCTTTGGGCATCGACCGGCGCTTGGCCGGATCACTGCAGGTGTCGGTCTGCATGTCGGATAAATTTGCACGAGGGATGGGAAGGATAGGTATAACAGCGCTGTATTAAAGGTAGCAATGTACGGTGATCCCGCAAATATGGATTTTTTGGGAACCAGTCGTAGTAATTCTCCTCTCCCGGCAGCAGGGGAATTGGGAAAGACACACGGGGTAGAAACACGCGAGATGGACGAATGAATGGATGGCTAAGAAATGACAATGAAACCCTTCTTTTCACCTACATCCAGATTTCTTACGACAACAAACCAACATCCAATTCAATCAACGATGTTCAATGCTTGATGTTTGATATTGTTTAAGGAAATTTAGGTGACGTAGCAAAGCTACCAGGAGATTCGATGTTATGTATGTACGTTAGTACCTACCTAGCTTCTACCTACTTAGGTACTGGCTAGTAGGTATCTACCTAGGCATGTACCTATGTAGGTAAGTGACGTGACATAATCGTGGAAATGGAAGTGTCTACCAAAACACGGATAGGTACCTAGATATTAGTAGTTTCCATACATCCACCTACGTATCACAAACACCTTGGCTTGACAATTAACGGACAACCGAGAATGCAAGCGCGCTGAGTTGGGGCAAGGCAAGTTCGACGAGATACGGCATGTGGAACCTCCGGAAGTCAATAGACTACATACTATGTACCTCCATGTACGCTGTATTTAGGCACATACGCAACGTGCAATGTACCTGCGTGTACGTGGTAAAAGATGCATGAAATCCGAAAGAAATCCCGGCTATCTGTACCTACCTACCTATGTAATAGGTATGTAATATATATAGTATTATCTAGCAAGTGCCTATAGATATGTAAGTAATTGATAGTAGGTATTAATGGTAAGTGAGATTAGGTACAATTCTTGGCATGTGGTACTGCATACATAGGTAGTTAGATGGATGTCTGTCTCTGGGGATTTTGGGATTTTCCATCACCCTAAACAGAATCGACGGTTGCAAATATTCGGTCCAAATCTCACCGCCGATTCCCCACGTACGTACCTGTTGTAGGATTGGTTCGGCACCATCGTCGTCATCATCATTAGGTACCTACCTACTAGATATTATGTTTCATTGAAGAGTAAGTTGCTATTATTTTATATTTACCGTGTATGCAACACCTGTTCATGCAATAGCTATCGACCCATGTGTATACTCCTATACCGCCTAACATTCCGCAAGTTTACTTCCCCACCTAACAGGTACTAGGTAGGTACCTAGATAAGACATGTGCCATATGCACTAGGTACCTACCTACATATGTACCTACCCAGGTGTATAGTAGTAAATATGAAGAGTCGGTTACTGGAGGGAAGTGAAGGACTATAGTTCCATTGTACCTACATGTACATGTGGCGCTATGTGCTTCGCGTGACCGAAATGGTCGTTATCATACATAGGTACACATGTAGGGCGTATGTACGATACGCTTGCAGTCGGCTTCACTTCATGCCTAGGTACATAGTATATACTGAGTACTCAGGCTGTCAGGCTACCTTTCAATGTTGCTTGAAAATGCAAATGTGCGTGCGTGCGTGATATAGCTGTGTGGATGATTCCTGAGGTCCATTGAAAAATATCTAATGATGGAATGGTAGAATATCTATCAGGCCCAATTAGGGAGAATGCTCTGCAATAGGCTCCCGTGTTATACTAATAGCTTCTCCCTAGAGGGGTCTCAAGATATTATAGGAGTCTATTGAGAAAGGATATGTTGAACTAGTGCTCTGCCAAGCCGTACGGACAATTTAGGACGGCCAGCCCGCGATAGGCGCACTTCGTATTATACACTACTACATAGTAGGCATACCTTAGGTACCTAGTAGGATTCATCTTTCTCGCAGGCTCTACTAGACCGCTGGCCTATATTTCGGCGTCGTAGATATTCCTATTCTTTTACCTAGGTACCGTACTGGGTATGCCTATTACTAGATACTCTATATTAGGTCACTAGCAGGGATCGAAGTTGGGCAAAAGGCTTATAGGCGATTTCGTTTCGTAATGCCCTTCGAAAGGGAAAACCCTGTTCGACCCTCTAGACGCCAGCGATGCGACGTTCGTTAGGGTTAGTTTCGTAGGACTCTGTTGATCAGTAAGTCTAGAACTGTGATGCCAGAGGGGCAGGCTATAAACATGACATGCATCCCCGGCTTGTATATCTTAGCTACAACGCAGTAGATGGATGGGTAAGCAGAGGGTGGATCGTAAAGTACGATGCAACACTTCAACGGCGGCTGGTGGGGTACAAGCGCCAATTCCCCCAGTAGTTCGGAAGACGACACGAAGACTAGCGTATATATCGACAGTTTATCGGCAGGTTTCCTTGCTTCATTGAGTTCTGTCAGTTCCTCCAAGCTCTGGAAGAAAAAAAAAATACGCCGAGCGATTTCGCTTATACCCGTATCAACCAATGAGAGATCGGGCAGGCTGGCAGGTCATATTTCGAGCTGTGTAAGCGCGAGCCTATCAACTGACCCGACCTTACGTACGGAGTAGTTCATGTACTATGAAGCTTGTGACAACGGTGGTCGCATATAGTGACAGTTTGAACAAGAGGGGATTTCCCTGCTAAAACGGTGCTTGGACAACAACCACTCTGGTATTAGCCCTCCCCCCTTGCTTCCCTTGTCCTTGGGGGGTCGTACCTCTGCGTAACGATCGGTCAAGAGTCGAGACAGGGGATCAAGTATCGCGAATTGTTTGTATTGTATTGTACCTACTACCATCATGACCATCATTAATTATATCCGGATACTGATATTTGTACATTTTATCTTCCGGGGTCCGCTTAGATCAACCAGGAGGGGATTTGATTTGCCCTGTATCCACCAGAGTCGGCAACGGTTCGGGGCCAGCAAACACTTACTAAGTTTACTAAGTTCACTAGAGATTAGTAAAAACGGGGATCAATTTACGGGAGCGGCTCGCTGCATGCATATTCGGTCACGTGAATATGACTCGAGTAGGTGCGAGTACCCCTCGATTGGCTTGATTGGCTTGATTGGCTTGATTAGCTTAAGGTCTTCACCACCTATCGGTTACGAGCTCGGATGAGCCTATGTAAATATGCAGCTGCCACCAAGCCCGAGAATCTGGGTCCATCTTGATTTGGTCTCCGGACCACCAAATTGTCGGTGTGATTACTATCTTAGTATCTCCACAGTATGTACTATGTAGTCGGTCCAAAGGGATCTTGTCCTATCCTCTCTTCTCCTTGGCGCCCGCGGGCCGCACGCCTCATTGTTTCCTCCCAGAATTGCGGTCTAGGTCCCGTTATCCCAAGAGTTTAGGTGTCGACTTCGGCTCTACTAAATCTACTAAGGCAGAGCAGAGCGGCAGAGAT